ATCACTGGGGTATAAATAGAGCACTCTCTCATGCTCACCAGAGGGCTCCCGACTCAATATCTGTGCCTCGTGCTGTAATCCTTAGGGCTGACCACCAAACCTCTACCTTTCTTCGCTCCTCGGTATATCGTTTCAATAATGTCAATGAGCTCTTGCTTGTCCTCCAGTACCCAGTTGAGCTTGTTGTTGTTACCAGTGCCGAAATCGCACATCATGTGCTTGTTGCGGAAGAAGAATAGAATAGAGCAAGGATCGTACAGCTCGTACATGGCGTTGAAATCGGGAACCTGCTTCTAATTAATAGCAGCTCTCACTCATGGACAAGATGAAACCTACCTCATCGATGTCACATAGGTAAATGACGGCAAAGTTCTTGACGCGGTCGGCTATCTTGTAGAGCACTTCATCTTGCAGCATGCAGTCCTAATGCGAGTCAGCTACTTGTTGGTGACAGAAGAAGAGCAAGGGATGAATTCTCTTACCCGGTCGTGGTCACGCCCAAACCGGATGACGACGAGACGGTCCTCTTCTATGGAACAAGTCAGCACTGAAATCACATGTGAAAACTATGATGAGCAATAGTAAAGAGAATGACGAACCGGATAAGATGGCCTGGTCGACGTGCCAGCCGGAATTCAGATGCGGGAGAACGACGGATCCCATTTTGAGATGAGATGACTGCTTAGTTGTTCTATGGTGGAGATGACTGTCTGGAGCAGTTGAGTCTTGAGCCTTGAATTGCTTTGTTGAGATTTTGGATGCATCGGGCTTCAGGTATTGCCGTGCCGTGTGGCTTGACTTTTGTGTGGCGCATCTACAGCAGAACACTCTAGGAAATACATGCACTGTTGCCTAACCTGGAGGCAAAAAGTTATGTGAAGAAACGACAAAAAGACATCAACCATATATTGAGCCGGAATATTCAGGCATGAATAAAATCTCTATAAATGAATAAATAATACAGAATTAATTACAATACACCGCCTCCAGGTCAAAGCAACTCTACGCCGGAATCTGAGCAATACACTCAGGTGCAACACTGTTCAAAACAGCAAGCGGATTCAACAGGCTCAAAGGATTGACAAAAATGTCGTTATCCGCTGCTTGCCAGAACAAATCAATCAAACCATCCTTGTTGAATCTCATGAACCGCATCCCTCTTGCACGATATTGGGCCCCGTTAGGAGCAACCTCCGTTCCATTAACCATTGTGAAAGTGCCATTTCGCGTTCCCTGGAATATATATTCGGTAGCAACCCAGTTGCCTTGGCCAATGACAAACTCGTCGTGCTGCAGCAGATCCGGCACCGAAGTGTTGTAGCGAGTAAACAAGTTTACCAAGGAGGCACGACCTGTTGAGTTTCGGCCATCGGAGACAACCGTGACGTTCTCCGTGGCAAGGAGCCCGTTGGCTGAAGCGTTCTTGTTGTTGAAATTAATGTTGAATTGTGCAGCCTTCTCCTTGATTTTGAATGTAAAGCCGGACGAGGTGTTGGCAATAGGGTTTCGTACAATCGGCTCGAGGGGTGGCGGTGCTATCTCGCCGGCAAATTGAGCGTTTTGAAGTCCACCTTCACTGATGCTAACGATGCGGCTGAGAAGCGCATCTTTGTCGAAAATCATAGTCTCTGCTAGTGTTGTCTCAAAGCGAGCATCTGAGCTGTTTGTAGTGATTCTGGTAGCACTAAGTGTTGCGGCGATGTTTCCTTCGACAATGATGAGTCTGTCAAGGAACTGAGCTCGGAGTCCTCCCGTAGGATCAAACGCCAATGCCTGCTCAAAAGCAGCTCTTCCAAGATTTGTAGATCCGCTGAAATAAAGGTCGACATCGGCTGTGGCCAGGCGACCGTTGGCTTGGACTCCCGCAACGGTGTTCTTGCTAAAGTTTGGATGGAATGACGCGGAGTGATTGACAACCTTGTCGATGTATTCTTCTGTGAAGATGAGGCCTGGCACTCCCACTGGTTTCTCGAGGGTAGTGCCAGTGCCTAACATGGCCAGCACATACGCAAGAACGGAACGCATTTTGATAATGATTCAGGATTCCTCTTGTGGTTTGCGAAATGTGTGTAATGCAGAGTTGTATATTCAATGGTTCTAACTTCTATCAATCAGATTGCAAGTAAAAGGAGAACAAAAGCAATAAGTACACGCAAGCCTTGAATAAACACAACCAATTTGGCATTAATGGTTTCAAGCAAAATAACCCTATTCGTTTGAAAGGAGGCGATCCGACGGAGTATTCCAACGCGATCGTCACTTTTTATAATTTGATGTGGAATCATGGCTACCAAAAATAATCACTAAGACCACCTGGCGTGCCAAGCCTCTCCTGGTATGGAGTTTGGTGAGGCCGTGCATCTGGAAACATAGTCTGGAGAAACTATTTCCGACGAAAATCCCCAGCGAGTGGCTGCTATAGGTTGGAATTGTTTGATGTGGGCGGTTGATGTGGTGATCAAGGTGTAAGCTTCAGCCCGCTGCAGCCAGGATTGGGGCGCGCTAATACAGCTGATACAGGAGATTGCAGACAATAAGGCTGAACAGCCGATGCTAAGACATTGGTAATATCTTATTCATCGACTCTGGCCGTCTCACTACTCGAATACTTCATAGATTACTCTCACCTCCCCATGCTTCACTTTGCATCCAATAGGATAAACTCCTAACTAGGGCAACGGCATCTTTGAGGATGCATCACTGAGTTTCTAGTCTTGTTTTCTCGAGGAATAGCTTATAACCTTAATTACTCTAAATATTAAAGATTTCTCTATACCACTTCCTACACGAATTTCCGCTGGCTCCGTAAGGGTTGAGCGTGTGTAAACTATGGCTGCACCAAGAACTCAACATTCGTTTCGCAACATCATGGACCAATTTCTAGCAGCATCTTGATACAATTACGGGTAGATTATAGCTATTGTCAATTATAATCAAGAGAATAGCGTATATGTGACCAGATCGTTGACGATTATTAACTCTCTTGTTCTTTCAGAAAGATTCCCGCTGCTCGGAAGCCGGATTCAGCTATACTCAACCACGTTCAAATTGACTTCCAGTTACATTTACTAAGCATGCCACGATGAATAATAGTAAACAGTCCTCAACTCAGTAGGTTTAGATACCCCTTCTGGGTTACGTTGGGCTGGAGCTGCCGCACTTACGCCACAACCGGGCGTTCAACATTTGCGACTATGCCGAATATGCGGGTGTTGCTTTGAATGTATGCAAACCTGGCGCCACATCGCCCAATGCTTTGGATATCATTGACTATTATAAATCTGATGATTGGATATCTTTGAAGAAATGGCCCCAGCTAGGTCGGACGAAATAAACTTACTTTAACATTTCTTAGGTCGTTACGCATATTAAACATCTATGGCAACGCTCATGTCGCCAATGACGCGGTGCCCCATTGGAGATGCCGAATAGCTCCGTTGTGACAGCTTCATTGCTCTCGAACTATTCACGTAGACTTAAGATGTGACAGCTATAAAGATGGCACTGCACAAGCGTTCTATTCAGAAAAATCATCAACAGAATCTCATTAACATCATCATCACACACAATCACCAGTATTCCAATACAACCAACCAGCATCTCATCAATTGACACTCTTCATTTACCAAAAACAAACTTCACACTACACTACAAAATGGGTGCTCTCGAGGAACACAACAAGGCTATCGTTAACAAGTATTTCGAGGAATACTGGGTTAAGGGCAATGTCAACGTGGCCGACGAGGTCTGCTCCGACGACTTTCTCCAGAGCTACCCCAACCATGGACCTCGTCACGGCAAGGAGGGAGCAAAGACAATGCTGAGGGAGTTTATGGAGGTATTTAATAATCATCCCAAACAAGGTGGACTCATAAGAGACTAACAGCTATAACAAGGCATTCCCCGACTTGACTTTCCGAGCTTACCAGACCCCATTGATTGCCGAGGGCGACTACGTAGCAGCCCAGTGGGTTGGCGGCGGCACTCACACCGGCCGTGCCTTTGACGACTTTACCGTGGGCGAGCTCAAGACGCCCAACACTGGCAAGAAGATTCACTTCTCTGGCATGACCATCTTCACTCTCAAGAATGGAAAGATTGTTAAGGAGATTGCCGAGGAGGGCGGAATCACTGTTCTGCAGCAGCTCGGAATTGTCACCCCGCCTAAGCCTGGCAAGGAGATTGTTTATGATAAGGATGGCAATCAGGTGTACTAATGGACTGATGCAGTCCTTGCTATGGAATGGTTATACTATATAGACAGGTTCATTCGTTAATTTAAAATGATGTATCTACAAGCACTTCCGTCCACAAATACTCCCGGATATGTGAGCGCCTTCCATCCAGATTCAAAGAGAAAATGCCCGGAGTTTGGATCAAAGCTCAATAGAGAGTGAAAATCTGTTTGAGCCTAAATTCCATGTTTTGCTGCTGAGAGAGGCTCGAAATTCGATGACCGAAAAACGCTGTAGACCTATCTTTGGGGTTCTGCACAAGATTATAAACGAAGCTTGTATGTTGCTATATCTATGCTTACAGCGTGCTTTTGGATGCAGTTATCGTATGAAAAAGATCATAAGACGCTATCGTGAGGATCCCTGATACGGTCCAATTGCCGGCATGGTATAATCGCATGACTTCCGCGACGATTTCTAAAAGTTGAAGATAGGGCTGTTGGCGTAGTTGATCAACAACTAACGAGCTTGCGAATTGGCAAAGTACAGCAAGCTAGCGAAATCCTCCCGCTTTAAAGTGAGTTCAGCTGGGCAGGGGTCCCTAGCTGAAAAGAGCTGGACACTGGGGGATGTACAGCTGTGGAGTAGTGAATTCGAGGCTATTGGAAAGCGTTCTAGGCCACGCGGAGGCCGCTCATGCTATGTTTTAGCGGAGATAATTCTCCTTCAGAAGATATGGAATGCCGTTTTATTATAAAAGCATTAGATACTGCCTTGTTCATAGATCTTCCAAGGTTATAATCTCCGAAACCTTACATCGAATTACTGATACCTCATTTGCGCTTAATACTATTGCATACATTACCCTTGACATCTTGCTCAGAGTTGCCCATAATGTCTGAGACAGTTTCCATCGAAGACCTGGAGGTTCGCAGATTCGTGAGAGAGTGGCAGAAAAAGGATTCACCTCTTCGCATTGACTGCGCGAAAGCCATGATGTCCTGTCAAGATGAACAGAGAGACGCCGAGTTCAAACGGGTCCTCAAGAAGCACGGTTATGAGCTTCTTTCCATAGAGAAGCTGGTGGAACTTTTAATGAATCCTCCACAGGATCTAATCGCCCCCGTCGATATACTATTGAAAGCAAACCTACGATCGATTTGGGTTTCTTTGCAGGCGTCTACATGATCACCTCTCCACCCTGCCCTTCAATCAGAGAGATTAGGCAGCTTGTCGTGGAAGACTATTGTATTTCTTGGATGGAGAACGGTTTAAAAAAAGCATTCAAACCTACGGTAACGGTGCACGAGAAGGTCGCTTTCGATGGGAGGAAAAATTCGGAGTATCAGGTAGAGTGGGGTGATAAGGAAACGGAATGGTTTTCAGCACGATATTCGACGCAGTTTGACGACTCGGCGAAGAAATTGAAGCAGATGTTTTTAGGATTTCGGAATATTCAGGGTGGGATGCAATGGCCGTTTGGCGGTATTCGGTCAGACAAGGCTATTTAAGACGTTGCAGACTCTTAGTTGGCAATTACAGCGGGAGTCCAACCGGAGTCATCTTCTTCGGCGCCATTGACTATTTCATCCATGGACAGCGGCAAGCTTTAAAAAAAACCTTGAAGGCGCACTCAAAGAAGACAGAGTCTGGAGGATTGAATAACAGAGGGGAGTTTCTGGGAGACATTGAGCATCATAAGGCTCATGCCCTCACACCTCACGAAGTCTGAATTGACGCACCTCTCCGGCAAGCATGTGGAATCCATAATTGGCAAAGTTTGAAGATCTATCGACTGCAAACTAGAGATCAACCTCATCAAAGGTGTTTGTAGCAAACCCCAATTACATGACATGGTTAGTGTCAGGGGAAACTCGTCCGCTGAGTTGCTGGCTGTATAAATCTCCATCACTACAAGCTGGGCGATAGACCGAATGACAAGTACATATTGCTTTATCGAGTCGGAGCCAGGGTTCTTTTCTGCTTGAATAGAGTCGCGATGTACCTGGGATACTTAGCTTAGTTAATTTTCAACCAAAGAAAGTAAACAAATGTATTGAAAACATAGTCTATGTCCAGAATTCGCGTTGATTCATTTACCGATCTTGTTCAACTCCCACTGGCGATGGTCCAATTCAGTCCAATTTCCCAACTTGGCCAAGCTGGACCCTGAACGTGATGACATCGTCCACTGATGGGTCTCACTAATGCACCCTGACCGCGTTAGCGGGGGGGTTGAACCGCGACTTTAATATTTTCTTGTCGCGTTCTCGAATTAATGCCTGTAGACTTCATATCTGTAAAGTGTTTTAATTCCACAATAACATAGGCCTAATATTTCCTCCATTAAGCCGTCGTCAATCATGTCGGAAACACCACAAGAACCTCTTACCACCAATTCTCGAGCGTAATGGTTTCCAGTTGCGCAACAGAGTGTTCAGTGTTGACGGCGTCGAGCGTTATGATGGCGAGCGTTTACAGAAGCTATTCAATCCCTCGACTCTCGGACATCCGCACGATCAAAGATATACGGAAACAGACACCCTGAAGCTGTTCAAAAAGAGATTTTTCGCTGCTCAGTTGCAATTCTATGAAATCCCTTTCAAGAAGTCATCCAGCAAACCGCAACTGCACCTTCTACTTCAAGATGCAGTTCGTCAGGGCAAAGTAACACCCCCCAACTCTATACGCAGCACACAATTTGACCACTAGACATCTCATTTCCCATAATGTCACCATTCCTAATTCGCGAGTAACTATAGTGTGACCGTCTTCCCCTGTCAATACTGGAACTGGAGACTATAATGCGAGCCGATCATGAGCCTCTGCAGGCGGAGTGGGAGGCCAATTACATAGCATGGCGTAAGGAGAAGAGGCGAAGGGACGATGAAGCCTTTAGGCTTGCCAGGCGAAGGGAGGACGAGGCCTTTAGACTTGCCAGGTCAGCCAGTGAAAGGGCGGCCCTGGATCACGAACGATTCATTGCCACGTACTTCTTGACGAATGGAAAGCAGGATATGAACAAAGTTAGAAAACTACTGGTTCTGCGCAAGGTGCAGAACGCACGGAAATTTGAGGATATGGCAAAGACAAGAGCACCCAGCCTGTTCATCTGGCACAGTCGGTCAGATCGCAATGTCTACATCGGATGGGATAGGGACAAGGTTCTAGATTTGGCATACAGAACAACAAAAGATGATGAAAAGGCAAACAAAGCGCGGAAAAAGGTATTGTGGGAACAGCAACTGGAAAGACACCGGGAATATATCGCTCAAGCACAGCTCGGAGAGCCGAGTACAGGGCCAAACAAAGACCCACAGGGGTTCAGTCTTGATCGATGCAAGGGTTCCTACGTTGTCCGCTGCGCGGAGATCGCAGACGAATGGCTGAGCTTCCTAAAGGGACGAACTTTCACCATGGATATATGGAGCCGAGATGAAAATACTCTGGTCGCGGCATTTGACTTTGGCTTAATAGAGGGAACCATGATCCTCGGCATGACGGAGGACCTGCTCAAAGACGATCCCTACGAATCCGACCAAGACCTCGAAGCCCGTTTCAGTGACGAAGAAGAGGAAGAAATTAGTTTGGAGGAGGAAATGCGTCGTTTTCTAGAATGGGGCAGCGGAAGGAAGCGCAAGCGGAGGGATGAAGCTGAACTGGAGGCCAAACGGCAGGCCAAGGCAATGAGACGTGCCGTGTATACTTCCGATCTCGTGGCCGCAGAACTGACAAGGGCCAAGTCGTTTATGAGCCTGACGCTGGCCACCTAGATTTCCGGACCGATAACTGTGTGGAATTCGCTGGCCGAGTCTATCTAATGACGTGGGTTGGTAAAAACGTCTGGTTCTACGGCTACAAGGTTTCAGACACGCCGCGTGTGGAGCCGGAAGACTATGATACACTTTTTAAGAGATCTGGGTCCAAGTATATAAAATCGGATGTAAAGAACTTGTAGATAGGAATGATGTCCCGGAGTATGTGCCGTTGCTTTTCTTCCCCTGTCAATTCATGCGCATAGTACTGTATAAGTCATAGCCAAAGGTCGGCTGTGAGTCAGCCGGCGTTTCTTTGAGCGAGTTCTTCTCCGCAAAGTCAATGGTTTGACAGGAGGCTTTTGTCCCCCCTGTGGCAGGTGCTAAAGACTATATCACCGAATCGCCGAATCTCCGTTAGTATTCTTCTATAGCATTCATGTGTTATTCATGACTGTCACCTTCCTTCTATACGGTAATCTTTTTCACCAATAAAACATTCACTTCCTGAGAATCGGCAGCCTGGAATTCATATTTCATGCCAAACACATTGCCCTCAATGGCAGGGCAGACTCCTCTAGGACAGAACATATTAGACCGTAGATCACAGCTCCAACCCATCCCCCATTCGCTTATCTGCCGAAAACTGGCTAGAATCGTATGCTAAAATGCTTAATACCCGCAAATTACATGCGGTCTAACGGTTGGATGACAGGCTAAACAACGATCGAATGAATGCCGACCTCGTCGGACTTGTGTGCGGTCTCCGCCCGCTCAAGCCGCGGAAAGATCTCTCTTCTACCGCTAGTTGTCTCTTTTAGTCGTCTCCTTTTCAGGTTCTATTTGATTTCTGACATCATAATTTTAAATTATTCTTATTAAGCGGTAGAAATAAAACTCCGAACACCAGCCAACGTGTCTAGTCTTCTCTCATCAGGTATCATGCTGTGTATATGGCTAAGCATATCTCTTCAATCATTGACAGTATCACTTCTTCATATAATAGGTAAAAAAAAGAAAGGTGTACAATCCTATTTCACCTGGAATCATGTGGCCAAGAAGCTGAACAAGTGTCGTCAAGCTTTGTGTTGAGCTTAAATGTGAATCTTGAATCAAGCATTTCTACACCGTAGAGCCCTGCAAGCCCATCTGCACCTCCAATTCTAGGATTAACAAGTGCTTGATTAGTATGAAAACAAACCTCTAGCCGACTAGCTCTTGTGAATGCCGACTAGGCACGGCATTCATCATTCAACCTACTCTACGCCGTCTGTTCGGCGATCTGTCATGCTTGCCAAGCTCTGGTGTTTCAAAGATCTTGCACTAGTATAGTATATATTTGCGAGAACTTGCAGAACCCACCAGGCCATGCCTAGTAGCTTGTTATGCCGATGCCAACGGGCCATTGCCAGTGCGACCCTATTACCATCCGATTTTTACATCTCGCAAACAGAATAGGCAACCGCTGGCTTTACACGGATTGTCGTCGGCAGTATTCCGCATATGCGTCCTGTTGCAACGTTACACATCATAAGTTTCAATAAAGAAGGATAATATGAAAATTGCAATTGTTTTATCGGATCTCGCGCCCCCCGATGAGCCCGATGAGCCAGAATGACAGTTGGACATGATTTCTCTAAATATGAATGGCCCAACCCCCGGATTTTAGCATATTATAAGAGCTTTCAAAAAACTTACAAGAAACATTATCATTGAAACTAAAGATTTGTTTAATTTATTCCAATCCTTTCATAGTTACCGACAATGCGTTTCGCCATGGTTCTCGCAACGATGGTCGGGCTGGCCGTTGCCGTGCCCAAGTCGCCTCTTTACAAGAGACAGTGCCCGACCCAACCCCAAGGCTGCTGTCTGAAAACCACAAATTGCCAGACTTGTTATGAACAAACTGTGCCTTTTCCATGCAACTGTGAATGCTTGGAAGTTGGAGGTTGCCCCTGCACTGGGATTGACTATGATCTGGACCCCCCGCAGTGTGTCCTCTGGAGCGCTGGGCCTGGAGGACATGTGAGTTGAAGATATTTTATACGCTCTATTGTCGAGTTTTCTATGGCCATGGCTAACTGTTGATGTAGTGTTAAATTCATCACCAATTCATGGAGCAGCAAAGTGTTGGGGGGTGGGCTCATTTAGGCGGAATACACTGCTTGTGACTTCAATGGGTTCGAATCTGTGCCAACGCACTCGATGACACGACAGGAGCACTTTCAGACTTCAAAGAGAGTTTATGTCACAAACAAAGATACACAGAGAAACTCAATGTTGTTGGTCCATGGAATGTTGACAAGACCTTGTTCCTTGGCATAAACCGTGCACGTGATGTAGGCAGCTTCCCGTCCTTAAATTGACTTCCTCATTCTCTTCACGATCATCTTCTTCTCCATCCACTCTTCCAATCCTCAAGGTGAGCAACATGCCGACACCACATCACATGCGCTTCCTTCGTGACCACTTCACTTCAGAAGAGGAGGTGCTGCACGCATGCATCCGCGACGAAGATCTTCAACGGCTTAAGCAGCTACTGGGTGCTTCGCCCGCTCCGGACGTCCAGTTTAATTCCTACGGATTCGGTCCGCCAGTTCATTTCGCTTCATGGTGTGGCAATTTGGAGGCCGTCGAAATGCTTCTAGCGGCTGGCGCAGATCCTCTACTTGTGAGCGAAGGCGGCGAGGAGCAGCTCATAGCCATCGCATTCGCTGCTGGAAGGGGTCACCGAGACATTGTCAAGCGCCTCTGGGGGTTTTGTCCACCGGAAGTTCATGTGCGTAGGGGCAGCAGGTATTCGTCGTGCTTCATTATGGCGGTAAATCACGGACATGCTGCTATTGTGGAAGATTTGCTAGACTGGTGGGATGGCTGGCCACACGAGTTGAAGTATCATGCACTACATGGCGCCGCACTGCAATGGCGCCTTGCGGTAGCTTCTTTGCTCTTGCGCAGAACATCATTTGACCAGTCCACTCTGCAAGAAGCACTGCGGGTGGCTACATATCGCAGAGCATTGGTGTCTGACGGTGACAACGGACATCGCGAGGCCATTGACTTCCTGAACCAGCAACTCATGATTGAGTTGTTGATTGATGCTGGGGCAGATCCGAATGAGTGTCCAAACAACGCGCCGCCGCTTATATACGATGTCGCTTCTGACGCAAACCTTACCGGCGTGCTCAAGTCTCTGCTTGAGAAAGGCGCAGACCCCAACAAAACCGACGGGTCTGGTAAGTCTGCTCTGCATGTTCTTGCTGAGCCTGTTGGAATATTGGGTCCGATCCATATAATGGGCCGACCGTTGCCTATAATGATGAATGAGACTGCGATTCGCCTCGTATTGCAACACAAAGGTTCTGTATCTCAGCCAGACAATGCAGGTGAGTGTCCCTTGCACCGGGCTGCTTATGGACTAGACTTGCGTCTCTTCCGTCTATACCTGTCATCCTGTCCAGAGCAAAGCCAAGAGTCTCTGCTTCAGTTAACAAACCATCATGGGGAGACGATGCTGCATTTTGCTGCCGCCGGGTGTAACGTTGAGGTGATGGAGTTTCTGATTGCTCAAGGTTTGAATGTCAATGCAACCAATTCCAACGGCTGGACACCCTTGATGTGCGCTCTAATTCCCATCGACCGTCGATATTATCGGACGAAGTCGGCTGTCGAAGCGATACAGGCAGCTCAATTTCTTCTCTCTCACGGCGCTGATACTAGTACCGTAACAGAAGAGGGCTTGACGCCGCTACACGTCCTCTCTCTGCACCGTGATAACGACGTCAACGGTAAGATGGCAGATTTAACTAGGAAGTTAATATCCCGCGGTATCAACCCAGAAGCTCGCGCTCGTCTGTTGAGACTAGACAACAGTACTATCGCGCCCTCTCTCGGCTTCCCCTGGGGTTACCGTGCGAGGGGCGTCATGGCAGATCCGCCAACTCACAACATGGTCATACAGCCCGCACTGGCGCCGTTGTACTGGGCAGCCCAGCGCGGCGCTGTCGGTGTCGTCAAAGCACTAATGGCTCATGGCGTCGATGTTTCGTCGATGGACGACCAAGGTATCACTGCCACCAGAATGGTAGCCAACTCAAAGTTTTTGGAGAGGCAGCCCGAGCTTGTTGAAACCATTATTGGGCTCTTGCTGGCTGCCGGCGCTGGATTCTAAGGTATTTGTGTAAGGTTTCTATCTGTGTGATATCCTGCCTGGAGGAGACAGGAGAAGGTAAAGTACATGTTAGGTAAGGTAGACACGGTAAGATGAATGCTTGAGCATTTAATCATCCTGGGCCATGTGAACGTACAGGAGCGCCATTTCAATTAACTGAAATCATGTTGCTCTTTGTAAATGATGCTTTAGAGTGATATATAGTGAGAGTTACAGGTATGTATTGTGATGATAAGTCACTGCTTGCTCGCTTTGTGGGGCAGCTGTCGATATCCGCTAGCATACGGATATAAGTAATGAGCTTCAAGTTGGCTAGATAAGCAAAATAAAAAGGACAAAAGCACGCAATGACAGGGCTTGACTGATACATTTCAGAACGTAAACTTGATCCAAACCTATGCCAAGACCTTGCTGGTATGTAAGAGCCTGCGTTACGGTAAGCCATGTGGTGAGCTGAGATGTCGCTGTTTTAGGCATGTAAATGGACTGAGCCATGCAGAATTATATCACTCAATGCCGTTTTTAATAGCCAGCTGGACTAGAGATGGTAGGCTTGTAATTATAGCCGAGCCTTTCTCGAATTGATATAATCGTCGTGTTATGACATAACGGAATTGCCGAGATACAGTGTAAGTGTCATAGACCGCCCAAAACACATCGCGACCGGTAAGGCCTTTATACAACATGGCTTGAACTCCAATGGCAGAAAAAATAAAAATAGTGATAAATAGACCGTTATTTTATCGCCATACTTTTTTTCTCTTTTGCTCCTTTCCCCCTATCATGCCATTATGAGGGCGAAGGGAAGACACGCCCATGGACGAAGGGATCGCCGTCTAGATGTGGGGACCGCCCATCTGCCGGTCACGTTTCCCGTCATGTGACTTACGCAATCCGCTCTCCGGAGTCCAACTAGTGAATCGCCGCCGCACTTTGAACAACCGGGCATATCCTCCAAACAAACCCCCAGCCATTGCGGCCTCAAACCACATCACAGCAACCCGCAAAACACAAAAGGAGCACCTCTCCAGCAGCACTCCGAACAAATGGCCCTCCTCCGACACACCGTGCGCGCGGTGCGATGCGCCCGCAAGCCGCTCCCTATCACCGCGCGAAGCCTCTCCATGACGTCCCGACGACAAGGCGGCCACGGCAACGAGTCACAGTTCGAGCCCCCCTCGGGATGGCTCTGGGGCATCAAGCCCGGCGAGAAGCCTGAGCCTGAGGGATGGGAGTGGCCGATGTACCTGTTTGGCGCCAGCCTGTTGGTTGCGGGTGTTGCTTTGGCTTTCAAGCCTGATACCTCGTGAGTTTGCAGCCGTTGTTTTTGCTGCGTCCAGAGACGAATCGACGATATCTTTACTTCCATGGGACTTGTTTCGCCTTTCTTTCCGTGAAGGCTTTCTAGGATGTGGAATTGGGAACGTGGAAGTGGAATATATCGTTGGCCTCGTTGCTGCGCTATTTTGATTGTGGAACATGCACTGACTTTACGATTCATAGCGTCTCTACCTGGGCTCTTGAGGAGGCACGAAGGAGATTAGAAGCCGAGGGCGTTCTGCCAGACCCCTCAAATCAGGAGAAGAAGAACTAAGGAGTGTGGCTGGTTTGACGACGTGGGGGTATTGAACGAGTCGGGTTCATGTTCACATAGAGGAGAGGAGGGGGGAAATGGTATATCAGACTCGGGAAAGAGAGTGGGGTGGGAGCATCGTTGGAAGTTGCCAACATGTACATGTTTACGGCATTTTATTTTCCTGGTTTTCTATCGTTACAAAGACATGGTCCCTCAAACGGCACGAATATTAGACTGGGTTGTTGGACAAAATGATTCATGATTGCACTGCCAATGCTCAATATGTGACGGCAAACTTATAATACGCTAACCAAATGGTTTCCCGGTGTCTACTCTCTTTTTTCTTTCTTTCTTCTTCTTCTACCCCTTACACCTTGACGCTCCACTCGTGCTCAATGTCGCCGTACTGGATGGCCTCCATCCACTCCTTGATCTTGAGCGCAATCTCGCCAGATTCTTCAGTCTCCTTCAGGCCACAGTCAACGAGCTCGCCCTTCCATGAAATCTTCCTAATAGGGCTGACAATAGCGGCGGTTCCGGCACCAAAGGCCTCCAGCAAGCGGCCCTCCTTGGAAGCCTCAGCCAACTCTGCCATGGTGTACTTGCGCTCGCTAATCTTCCAGCCCTCAGGAGCGAGGCGCTCACGGGCAAGCGCAAGGACAGAGTCTCGAGTAACACCCTCGAGAATGGTGCCGTCAAGAGGAGCAGTGACGAGCTCCTTCTGGCCGGTAACCTTGTCCTTGATGGCAGCGAACATGTTCATGGTGCCGACCTCAGTGACGTACTCCTCCTCGCCGAAGAGCCACAGGTTCTGCTGGAAGCCACGGCTGGCAGCCTCCTGCTGGGGGACAATGCAAGGAGCGTAGTTGGCACCAAGCTTCTTGTCACCAACACCACCGGGCCAAGCGCGGACGGCGTAGTTAGTAGCCTCGAGAGAGACGGCCTTGAAGCCAGTGGGGTAGTAAGGGCCAACGGGAGAGGCAATCACGTAGAGCAGGGCAGAGCCGGGGGCGCCAACGCCGAGAGTGCTCTGGGTACCAATCAAGGTAGGTCGCAGGTAGAGAGAGTAGCCTCGCTGGGCGGGGATGAAGCGAGAGTCGAGCTTGGCGAGCTTGGAGATGAGCTCGACGAGGGCGGTGGGCTCAAAGGTGGGCAGGGCAATTCGAGCCGCCGACTTGTTGAGACGAGCCATGTTCTTGTCAGGGCGGAAGAGCCGAATGTCGCCATTCTTGTCCTTGTAAGCCTTCATGCCCTCGAAGCACTCAAAGGCATAGTGGAAAACACAGGTGGCTGGATCCAGAGACAGGTTCTGGTAGGGAGTGATGCGAGGCTCAAGCCACCCATCGTCCTTTGTCCACTCAATGGCAAGCATGTGGTCTGCAATGATTTGTCAATTATGCCCTACTTTCCATACACATACAACACAGAAAACTCACCAGTAAACTCCTTGCCAAAGACGAGGTCCTCGGGTTTGAGCAACTCCTTGGGCGCCTTGGTCTCCTCCACGGAAAGTCTTGAAGCATCCAGAGGGCGCTGTTTTGAGTGAGAAGCAGCCTCGGCCTTGATGCTGTAGAAGCGGGCAGCAGGGCGATACGCAGGAAGGAATCGCGAAGCCCGGGTTGCGCTCAAGAGCGCCGTTCTGGGGAAGGCTGAACGCATTGTGATTGTGAGTAAGGCTGTCGTGGTTTTTCTTTCTGAGGCCCGGCGGGGTTCCAATTATATACAGCGTCAGATATTCAACAAGTATAAGACCACCGGTTCTCACTCGAACAAATGCGACTGAACTCCTTTTGCCCAGTGCAACCTCGCCAATTGGACTTCTGGACAAATATATATAAGGAATTGTCAGAAGGAAGAGAAAGATCGCGAAGACGGAGAGGGTGGATAAGGATAAGGCGAAGAGTAAACTAACCGCCCGGAGCGGTACCGGACTTCGGGCTTAGTCGTGCCTGACGGAGTACATCGTGGGTACCAGGATCATACGCACTTATACGCCTTGGCTTGCGGTACCTCCAAGTTAGCGCCGGGCATGTTGTTGCTGAACAGCGAGTCTTGGTGCTCAGGCTACTGTAGTACATGAATTACTGCAATTAGAAATTGCCCGGAGATGGTTCAACAGCCCGAAGGTACCCGCGCAAGCCGTAGCAGGCCGCTGATGTTTAGTGTACTCGGTGCATTGTCACTTGCTGGTCTGGGCAGGGAAGACAATGACAATGTCGAGGAGTCACCGATATAGGAGAAGCGTGGACTGTAGTAGTTTGATTGCACTCATCTAAGTTGTTGGTGATGTATGAGTTTGGCTAATTGGATTTGGGTGAATCATATTTTACAGATGCCAACTCTATCTGGGTAAAGTACTGGACCCTAAAACTGCGTACTTCGGGGACTGAATTAGCAGTTACTTGGCAGGTTTGTCTCTCTGCATGCACGAGTTACTAACATCAACCTTCTTAGTCAGACGCCTACTAAGAGCACCTGTGGCTTGCAGGCGTGGCGCAGTTGTCGCCAAGCTGCTTGATAGCATCATGTTATCAGTGGCGTGGCCAATAGCAGACAGCTTCGAATAGCATCAAACCTGGCTCCATGCAATTCGGACAATCTCCAAAACGCGTGTCATCGCTCAGCCTCGCCCTCTGATTTGGCCAAGCGGCAGTACATACGCAAACCCTCCTACTGCACAAGCCCTCAGCCTCGAAATCCTGCTGTACCACTCCAAGTGCGCTGGCGCATTTAACCCGTGCTATCAGGCCGTTTTGGCGCATTCAAGATCGTGCCTCTTTGTTTCGTTTGTTTGCTCGCAATGAAATGATCTCTTAATTACGACATAAGATTCTCTTCCACGCGACCCATCATGTTCTCCAATGCGCTCAAGTCCTTTGGCAGCACCAACATCTCCTCTAACTATACGATATCTCCGAATCCTACATCAACGGCCGGGCCATGGAAGATTTACGATGCGAAAAAAAAGTCCACTGGCAAGACGTATAGCGCCTTTGTCTTTGACAAAAAGGCCCTAGACGCACACGGCAGTTCTGTGGGCAAGGGCAATGCTGCATCCTACAAACGCAGCGTCGAGGAGGTGGTTGAACGCCTGAAAAAGGAAGCGTCCAGTTTGGCCAAGCTGCGGCACCCGAGTGTCCTCGAACTTGTCGAGCCAGTGGAGGAAACAAGAGGCGGTGGTTTGCAATTCGTCACAGAAGCTGTCACTGCGTCGCTGTCAGGCTTACTACAAGAAAAAGACGATCAAGAACGTTCTGGCCCCGGTGGACGATCCAGCCGATACGTTACAGAGGATGCCGACGGTGTACGCAGAAGGAGAGAAATCGAAATTGACGAGCTGGAAATCCAAAAAGGTTTATTACAAATCAGCAAGGCATTGGAGTTTCTACATGATAATGCAGGCCTTGTCCACGGCAACCTGACTCCCGATGCAGTCCTCATCAATGCCAAGGCATGTCCAACTCTTCTATATGAGCGTTATCATCCGCAGGCTTCGACAACTAACCATGTAATAGTCTGACTGGAAGATTAGTGGACTGTCGTTCTGTAGTCCCGCAGACAATTCGGCCAAGCCTACCTCGATCCATGGCATTAGTCTGCATGAAGTTCTCAACTTGGACCCTAGGTTACCCAAGTTTGTCCAATTAAACCTAGACTACACCTCTCCAGATTTTGTCATGGATAACAACCTGACCCCCTCTGCCGACATGTTCTCACTCGGTCTGCTGTGTGTGGCTCTATACAATTCACCCCACCAGTCGCCAATAGAGTGCCATGGAAGCCTCTCTTCGTATAAAAGGACGTTTTCTTCCCCTTCTACCGTCCCTACGACGACCAACAACTATCTCTCGTCTAGACCACTGCCCAGGGACTTGTCAAATCATGTGCTCCCCAAGCTCATCACAAGGAGGCCTGCGCAGAGAATGACAGCCAGAGAATTTCAGCAAAGCGAGTATTTTGACAACGTCCTTGTCTCTACAATCCGGTTTCTCGATACTTTCCCTGCCAAAACTCCTAATGAAAAGTCTCAATTCTTGCGAGGTCTCAACAAAGTCTTGCCCTCTTTCCCCAAGTCGGTTCTAGAAAAGAAGCTTTTGCCGGCGCTGTTGGATGAGATGAAGGATAAGGATCTTCTTTCTCCGATCCTCCAGAATGTCTTCAAGATACTCACCTTGCTGCCGGCAGCGCGGAGAGCATTTAGTGAAAGGGTTCGGCCTGCCTTGAAGGCTGTCTTTGTGGAAAACGCAAAACAGAGCCAAGAGAAAGATCCTGCCCGAGACGCTGGTCTGATGGTCTTCTTAGAGAACATATCAGTAATAGCAGACAACAGTAACGGCGGGGAATTTAAAGATGGTAAGCATTCTCATTTTACCCTAAACTTCATTTGATCTCACCTATGACTGACACGAACACCCCAGACGTATTGCCCGTTATTATAGCAGCCATTGAGTGTCCCACTCCTGCAATCGTTGATGTAGCTCTGAGGAGCTTTGCCGTTGTCCTACCCGTCCTGGACTTTAGCACAATCAAAAATGAGCTGTTCCCCGTTGTTGCCGCAGTATTTGGTCGAACAAACAGTCTTGCCATCAAAGTCCGCGGTCTTCAGGCTTTCGTCGTCCTCTGCGGTGGCTCCAACGATTCCAGTGCAGACGATGCAGGCCTCAGTGGCTTGGAAGGAACCAAGAAAACGTCATCATCCAGCGCTCTGGATAAATACACCATGCAAGAAAAGATTGTGCCTTTAGTCAAGGGTATCAAGACGAAGGAGCCCGCCGTCATGATGGCCGCGCGGGATCTGATGTACGTGGTCGGGCAGACAGCCGACGCCGATTTCGTAGCCATGGATATCCTGCCCATTCTGTGGAGCATGAGCTTGGGGCCGCTTCTCAACCTCAAGCAATTCCAGTCTTTCATGGACCTCATCAAGACATTGTCACGCAAAGTTGAAGACGAACAGACGAGGAAATTGCAGGAGCTCTCCGGCTCCATCAACGGATCTACAGCCGCCATCAACGAGGACTTCATGGCGTTTGGCGGAGTGACTGGAACCGCGTTCGATGCTACAAACGGCAACGAGGATGACTTTGAAGTGCTGGTCAAGGGAAGAACAGGAGGCAGCTCGAGTGCCGCAAGGACGCCGAGCTGGGAGGACTCACCGCATGTGGCCGCCGCCAGCGTCAGTCGATCGTCAACGGCAACTCCCCAGACTCCGTCCTTTTCCTGGTCGACTCAGCCCCCCATGAGCCCTCCTGTGAAGCAGACGAGCACGCTCCAAAGTCAGCAGCCTTCTTTCCGCACTGTCACTCCTGACCTCAACCGCTTCGAAGTCATGACACCCAGCTCGACACAGTTCAGCCAGCCCTTGCAGCCGACGCAATCTAGTTTCCAGCAAACGCCGGCGCAGCAGTCTGCACCAAGTTTCGGTTGGTCGTCTACCGCTTCAACCACAACCAAGAGCTTCACGCCGCCGCCATTGGCGTCAAACTATTCTTCTACGTTGTCAAACTCCAGCTCCGGTTCCGCGTTCGGCCAAGGCATGACCAGTTCCATGTCCAACATGTCTCTCAACTCGCTCAACGCCCAAAGACCCGCGCTGAGCGACTCCCGCGGCTCATCGTTTTCCCTCGCACCACCACCAGCCGGTAACTCGATGACAACTCCTTCTTCTTCAGGACTATCGGGATTCAGTCTCGCGCCACCGCCAACAGGATCGCAAAACGTATGGGCTTCGAGCAGTCCATCCCAGCAACAGAAACCAATGGGCTTTGGTGGAATGAACAATAGCTCGATGGGGGCCATGGGAAGCGGAAGTTCGTTTTCAAGTAGCGTCCCTCAGCAACCCCAGGGGCAGCAACAGCAGCAGCAGCCAAAGTCCGGTCTAGAGAAGTATGAAAGTTTGATTTAGCGTAGACTCATTATTTTCCTTACTACCTAATAATCTGCAATTTGGAATCCATGCTTGGAACGAAGAGGAGGGGTGTAATTTGTACAAAAAGGATGAGAGGATCATGGAATCTCCTTGCCTGTCAGGTAACTTACTATCTGCAGGGGCAAGGTTAGAAGATCACAAAAGGTTTAAAAAAGGCCATGCAGTACTCTGCTGCGATAATGCATATGGACTAAGCTATCTACAAAAGACGTTGATATCTACATAGCATGTCTGGAAACGGGGGAAGTTGCAAAATAAATAGATACCATCCAATAATGAAAATGCTCCGCAAAATGTTCTAAAGAAGAAGAACTAAAGAGTTGAAAATAATATCTGCAATTTACATATGCGTGAGTAATTAGTATCTACGATCGACACGCTCAACTTGTCATGTTACATAGAGTTTCGAGACAAAGTTTCCCTATCTCGCCCTCAATACGAAAACAAAAAAAAACAATTTGGAATGGATAAATTACTCATCGCTCCGAATCAAAAAGACTAATCATCAAACCTGCTTACGCCCCCGCCATCCTTCAGACGCACCGCACCATCTAATTCCAGTAAGGCTGCTAACAACAAAGTTCACCAGAGTCCACTAGCATACCTCAACAAAAAAGGCAAAAAAATGACACGAGAGGGGAAAGACAAAGGATTCGATTAGAACCAGTCACATCATTGTATTCTCATCATAGTCTCAAAATCTCTATGTGGGAAGTACATGACAACTCTAGAGAAGTCTTTCTCGTCATGCCCTCCCGTATTAGCGAGGCCACCCTTCTAAGCCCCCCTCCCATTCCCGTGTATATGTATCCCTAGTGAAAACGACAGAATATTATTTTGGGCAGAAAAATTGGATGCCAAAGCTCGCTTGACATGCTCACGAATTAAACAGTTGTAGGCTCAAGGGGGTAGAACAGAAGTTGATAGAAAACAAACGCAGACACAGAAACAAGAACAAGAGCTCAACGTATTGCAGAAACGCAAACGGAATAACATAGGAGATCCGGAACGCCGAATGTCTTTTAAGCGGACAAGGCTGGAAATGTATCGGCTGAAAAGAAACTGGCTGGGAGGGGGGCGAAAAGAAAAAGAGAAAGAAAGAAATAGGACAACAAGACCAGCGTCTTGTTTACTGAAGCATCCACCGATTCCATAGCTGAACCCGTTCAGGCGCTCTTGGTTCCCTTGGCTTGTTTCCCATCTTTGCCATTTTGAACAGGCTTGCCATTCTTAACATCGCCATTCGGAGAGGCCTTGCGACTCTTGACATTGCCGTTTGGAGAAGCCTTGCCATTAACACCTTTGACATCTTTGCCGTTCTCCATCTCGTTGGCAACTTCAGCCTCAGGCTTGTTCGTTGTAAAGACATGGCGGCTTGCGTATCCTTCCTCTGTGCGCACATCAATCTTCTGGTCGACCGGCACCATCTCGTGAACCAATGGCCAGTTGAGCCGCTTGCACAGCTCAGCAACCACAACGTCGCAATCGCCCAGCAAGTCGATATCAAAGTTGATGTGGGAAACAGCCTGGCGCGAAACGTAGATTTGCGGGATATGCGGCGGGAGAAAGCTGACAATCTCGGACACGGGCGTAACCTTGAGCGACGTTCCAATGACAATCACCAGATCGACCTTGTCACGGTCATTTTCCGTCAGGCGCCGTGAGAACTCATCGGGAAGAGCTTCGCCAAAGAAGGTAATGTCGGGCTTCATGACGCCAGCACTAGGGATGTCGTACTCAGAATTCTCCTCGGAGCTGTCATTGTCAGCCCACCGCCGCCTCTTCTTCTCTGCACCTGCAGATCGCTTTCGCTTTGGAGCACCAGAGGCCTTGAGTGACGAGAGACATCTAGTGCACTTGGGGATCTTGCCGGCCCTAATGTCTGGAAAGATCTTTTCGCCCTGGATCTGGTAGTGGCACTGGACGCAGCTGGCCGTGCCAAACGAGCCGTGGCACTGAATGAGCTTTTCCTTGGGTAAACCCGCCTTGACTTCGAGATTGTCAATGTTTTGCGAATAGTTGGTAAGCAGCTTGCCGCGCTCATGGAGCATGGCCAGGAACTTGTGGGTGGGTGTGTAGCGCTCAGTTGCGGGAATGATGTCCTTGGCGACAGAGTAGAAGATGGTCGGGTCTTGCTTGAACACCTCAATGTCAAATACCTCTTGTGGGTCGTTGAGGCCTAAATGCTCCAGCTTGGAATACAGACCAGTGCCCTGGGATCGGAAGTCCGGGATGCCCAGAGAGGTGGAGATGCCGGCGCCCGTGATGACAATGATATTCTGGCACTTTTCGATGAGCTGCACAGCATCGTCGAGGGTGTTGTAGCGGTGCAACTTGGCCCGCTTGGACAGCTCTCGCGTGATGGCCAGCGACAAGAGGCTGAAATAGGCCTCATCCGGCTCGCCCTCGAGAAAGCCAGGCGGCCGGATGCCAAAGGCGCTGAGGAGCTTCTTTGCGCTATATCGGCCAGCATCGACGGTGCGCTGACAAAAGACAGCAGGCCCCTGTTCACGCAGTTCGCGACGCAATCTACATGCCTCTTCTGGAGTGCAAATGTCTGGTCCTGCAAGTGGGAGAGTCAGCACTGGGGATTCCATCACGACAGATCAGGTCATGTGTAGTTTCGAATCAGTGGCAGCAACCAAAGGAGGCAATTTCCGGCTATCCCCCAGACTAGTCGCGCCCATTATTGGCTTCGGGTATTGCGTAGTGTAGAGATTGAAGCCACCACAATAACAAAAAAAATTTAAAAAATAGAACAGAATGAAAAAGGCACACTGAGTCTCCCCAACACCCCAAAGCCGAAATGAGGCATTATGAGTCAACTCATGACCGTCATTTCCGATGAGAAGAACAACAAACAACGCAGAATACAGCAATATGTGCAGAACATGATGCTGAGTAAAATAAAGGTATGGGGTGGCAACTTACTACCAGAGAACACTCCACTCTCATCCGTCAGATCCTCGAGCGCATCTTCAAACAACGAATCCGTCTCCCACGAGTCGCGCACGTCTGCAACTCTCTCTTCGAGTTCGGCCAGCGAGACGTGGACGGTGGCCTCCTTGATCTCCTCGAGCGTTGGATTCTCGGGCAGCCGATCAAGGGCATTCAACTGCGCCTGAGTTCGCTTGGGAAGGGTCACGCCCTTTTTGCCTGCAGGCGCTCGTTTCATGTTGAAGACGAGAAGTTGATCCTGTTTTGGCTGGTATCTTGCGCGTGCGTGGTGGTGTGATTGCCTGTCGAATCTCTTAAGATTCGGTCCACAAGCCGGCACACGTAGAAGTAAACGTAAAAAAAGGAAAACAAACAAAGGAATCAGATGAGTTCCAGCCGGGGTAAAGAGAAATAAAGGAAAGAAGAAACGATTATGTAAAAGAAAAGAAGAAAAGAAGAACAAAGGTTAAAAAAAAATAGTCTGCGAAAAAAGGTGACAGGCTGTGTTTGTGAAGCAGGCAGACAAAGAAGTAAAAAATAGATGGCGAGGTGTGAATCAGAGCGAGTTGTGGAACCGATCCGAAAAGTTGCCGCGACAATTCGCCAAGAAGCAGAGAGTTGCCACGCGTTGAAACGGCGATGATGAAGTTGATGTCGGAGGGTGGGCAGGGATGCTTTGCTTTGATTTTCTTTGTTGCTGCTATTTCCTGGTGGTCTGGGATGGCCGTATCGAGTTCGGAAAGCTGACAGACAATGACAGACAGGCAGACGGACGGACAGTCTTACGCACCGCGTCTAAAAACAGAACAACGGGCAGAGCGTGAGACCGGTGCAACTGAAACGAGGAAACAAGGTCAAGAAGCCCAAGATTAAGGTCAAGGTCAAGGTCAAGGGAAGAAGAAAGGGAAGAAGAACAAGGTAGAAGGACGGAGAAGGAAAAGACGGTTGGCTGCAACAAAAAGATGCGAAATGGTCTAGATTGAGTCTTAAAAAAAGGAATTAGAAAAGGCTGAGGTTTGGCCTGTCCGTGCTAAAGGGAAAAGGGAAAAGGCCAAGGGGGGTGGAGGGAGGAGGTACATATAAGGATGTACTGGGTAGGTCAGGTCAGGGAATTAAGTTAAGGTAATAGACAGATCAGAGCTCGAGAGAAGGACCGACCAAGAATCTCCATCTGAGGTGATCATTGGGTGGCAGCGTGGGTTTTATCTATTTTATTTCCATTATCTCACCATGTACCTATTTTCTTGAATCTTGCTGCCTTGATGCCTTGCCTTTTCTTGGCCAACGTGTGAATCAATCACAAGGTATCACATCATCAACCCGAATTCTATCAATTTCTGCTTCTTTGTTCCCCTTGCCTCTCCTTCTGGCTTCTCACAGCCGTCCACGTATCTCGCCTCGACTCGCTCTAGTCTAGTCCGTTCCGTCCATCAGACCAAATCTCCTTGAGCCAACTAGTGTGATACATTTCGAGACATACATACAGACTAAGACGCACCGCAAAAAGCACCACCCGGAGAGGTGCATCCATGGCACGGCACGCACTGTCCAAATAATGCTCATTCTAGTCCTTGGTAGATCCATCATTGTTACCATCTTATTCATCTTCGTCATCTTTGCCAATGCTCCAAAAACTCTCGTGTCAATTCATTGGAAAAACCAGCCATGTGCATCTCGTTTCAAGAGCCTCAACACGAGAAAAAAAAAAAAACCTCCCAAGTATCATCGGATGTCAAAATATACCAGGTCTCCCCCCCTCGTCTGTCTCTTTTTAACCAAACCTGATCTGTCACCTCATCATGCTTGCGTTTGCGTTTTGCCTTTACTCAGAAAACTCACTCAGCCGGCAAGCCACATAAACTCATTTTAATTCCCAAGTCTTTTGTCCCCCCCTAACTAAAAACCCAGCCAGCCATGAAAAAAACAACCGCAAACAAACAATGACTAAACAAGCACAACACGATAAGAAGAAGGAAAGAGTACGGAGTTGAAAAAGTCCATTAATGAGTAACAAATAATGAACCCGCTCCAAATCTAGACTCTCTCTGTCTTTCTCTCATTCAACCAAACTACGACAAGGAATACTCAAGTAAACCCATCATCTACCCCGATACGACACGAAATGCCGCCATACCTAACACAATAGGAATGCGCGCTCACAATCAAAGTACACTACATACAGCAACCCACAAGAACACACACACAAAATAAGAGAATGAGGGCACACGTGTTTCGACCCGAGAGATGTTGCTCCCTATCTGCTAATACCCGACCAGGTTCCGACCCATGCTCGGCGCCCCCCAAAAAAGTGGCCTTTATTTTATCATCATTGCCGTATCCAGCAATAAACCCAACTTCCTGCTTAGCTGCCCCATTTCTTACTTTACTGCCCGTATTTGGACCTCCACTTTCATTCTCCCCCGTACCACTTCCGTAATCCGCCCAAAGAAGAGAGGACAAAGGACGTTAAAAGACAAAGACAAATGATTTCGCACTGTTATTCCATCGATTTCGAATTCATGCTAGTTAATTCTTCACATGGCTCTATCTAAATGATATATATATGCCTCGATCCATTCAGCAGTCATCCATCCATGTAACAAATAATCCTCTCCCCAAGTAATACTCACAGCATCCTCGTACGCAAGTTAAATACAACAGCATCACTCACTCAGACACACACACACACTATTTCCTCCCACCACAGCCTAATCCCTCCCAACCCAACCCCTCCATCCCAATCCCAATCCCAATCCCAATCCTCCCTTGCGCCATTAGCTGCAGTCTGTCTTCCCGTCTGTCTGACACATGTCAACTATCGAAAAACTCAACAAAGTGTACGTGTAATATACAGCTCTCTCTAGTGTGTAATAAATATGTATAGTATATATTAGCTTAGCTACCCAATGTTATGCATCCTCATCTACATCATTCTATTTTACCATTTCGCCGTTGATTAAGTTGATGGTCACTCAAGGACACATACACAGACACATGAGTCGGGATAATGCCGCACGCAAATCGCCATTCGTTAGATTAGCTCCAGCACGCCAAAGTTTCCAATAACCGCTCGGCGACTCCGAATCACTCACTTCCTTCTCCCCATGGAATCGGAAATGTTATCCAGCACCCCAAAATCGTTATCCAACACTCCAGCGACTGCGTGGAATTCAAGTATTGAAAAAAAGATGTAAAGAGAATAGAAGTCATTTTCTATACTACAGGTACAAGCACTTGCTTTATCTACCAGGTAAAGTAGTAATTGCTCAGTTCTTTAGTACGTATAGCTTTCATTTAAGATATAGGATGCTGGATAGGTAGCAAACTTGGGTGGCTGAATCACTTCCCGTCATGAAATCGGTTATCCTCCTCCGTCACAGCCAACAAAGTCCGAACCGCCACACACATACACACGCATACATAACACAACAGTTTCACATTACTCAAGTCGACATGTAAAAGAATAAAAAAAGAATTCTGTTCATACAGCATAATAATAGTTGTAGTAATAAAAGAGTTGTATCAAAAAAAGCCATTACTTTCAATTTTAATTCTCGTCGCATTACCAAGTGAATTTCCGTCTATCAATAATCGAAAGCGCACCCTCTATGCAATGTTTTACCCAGAAAAGAAAAGAAAAAGCAAAGGGTGGGAGAGAAAAAAGTGACAAGAGGGGAAAAAAATAAAAGATATAAACAAATCATCATACCCTGGGGGAATCGTATTATGCAAAGCCTTCAACTCCCTTTACGCCTAATTCTGCGCCTCGCTGCTGCTGTGCCCTGGTGCGGGCTTTTGTCCCTGCTCTGGGCTTCCTTCTGTTCCTGCTTGTTGCTGTTCGTAGAGTGGAAACACTTCATCTTCTTCCGGTTTTCGACCGTTTGGCGACCACGTCATCCCTACTCCGGCCGCCATAATTCCAGCCATGACGGTCGTCGGTGCAAGCGCAGAGTTGGAGCGCGACCGGGCCGACCGGGAACGTTGTCGCGATACCGGTGTGGCGACGCGCGAGGGGAAGCTGTCTTCGCGGTTCTGTGTATCCATCGACGTATTGATGGAGTTGGACCGGGAGTGAGACTGGCTTCTAGACCGTGCAATCATCTCTCGGGGGTGCCGTACCGTATACTTGAGGTTGTTCAAGCGCCCTCCCTTCATGCGCCTGAGGAAGGCAAGTTCGTCACGCACTTCAACCAACGGCTCTGGGTACAGGTTCATTGCCTCGTCGGAAATGGTCAGACCAGGCACCTCCTTTGAGCGCCGCTTGAAAAACTCCGGTACCAGCTTAACGACAAAGCTGTCGGGGATGAGGCGGATGAGCATGCCAATGGGGATGGACAGGAATCCGAGCACAAGGGCAATGCCCCACATTCCGCCGGACTGATCCTTCTTCGCAATCGAGAAAGCAGCGCCACCCACGAAGACAATCAGGATCTGGCCGCCCATCATGAGTGTGCTGATTGCAATGAAGAACCAGTTGCGTGTTAAGCCTTCAAAGATGTTGAACTTGTTATCCAACCGTCGGTTGCTATGGCTCTGTTAGCATGCATCCACTTGGGGAAACTATTCGAAAATACTTACTTCCATTGGTTAAAGATTTGCATCCACACAAAGGTGTTAAAGACCAGGGTTTCAATGTCCTCGTGAACAAGGTCGTCGCCTCCAACAATGGGTTGAACCACATGGGTGCCTCCATAATACAGCAGGAACGTGATTGCGAGCTGGTACAGAGCTTGTCCAATAATCATTTTCCACATGGTCGGGGAGATGATGGAAGAACCCTTTGGCTCGGGCTTCCTGTCCAAAACGCTGTCCTGTGGGGGGTCCGTTGCGAGAGCGAGAGCGGCCAGCGTGTCCATGATCAAGTTAACCCAAAGCAGCTGAACGGCGGTGAGGACAGACTTCTCAGACTCGCTAGACACGGCGGTGACAAAGGTAAGAATGACGGCGGTGATGTTGACAGTGAGTTGGAACTGCAGGAATCGCTTGACGGCGTCGTTGACAGCGCGGCCCCATTTCAGAGCCTTGACAATACTGGCAAAGTTGTCATCCATCAGGATGATTGCCGAGGCCTCCTTGGCAACTTCAGTACCCGCGATACCCATGGAAAATCCGACATCGGCCTTTCTGAGAGCAGGAGCGTCGTTGGTACCATCACCAGTCACGGCCACGGTTTCTCCCATGGCCTTGAGTTGCTGGACCAAGATACGCTTGTCCTGGGGGCTAGATCTCGCAAGCACGTGAAGTCTGGGGATGATCTCCATCTGCTTGAGATCGCTCAACTTGCGGAATTCGGGGCCTTCCATAACCAGGCTATCCTCCTGTAGGATTCCGCACTCTCTGGCAATAGCCTCGGCGGTAATCTTGTTGTCACCGGTAACCATGCGAACGACAACGCCAGCTGACTGACATAGCCGAACAGCCTCGGGGACACCTTCTCGGAGAGGATCCTGGATACCCACCATGCCGGCAAAGGTCATCTGCTGGAACAAATCTTTAAACAGGACTTCACCCTTGCCCTCGCCAGGACGAAGGCCAGGTGGAGGCCAAGATTCGAAGTCTCGGTAGCACAGACTAATGGTTCGTAAGGAGCGTTTTGCGTAAGAAACAATAAGCTGGCTAATGGCATCTCCATCTTCCTGTGTCAAGGGGGTTACAGAGGCGTCCAATGATGGATCTCGTAGAGTCTGCGAGCACTGCGCGAGCAAGATCTCCGAGGCACCCTTGATAAATAGCCTGTGTGTTCCGCTAGAAAGCCGAATGACGATTCCCATGCATTTGCGTTCCGAATCAAAGGGGATTATCTGTACAGTGGTCGAGTTTTCGCGCAGTTCGCTGACAGGCCCCATGCCCAAATGGTCTCTGGCAAAGAGAAGAAGGGCCGTCTCGGTCTTGGAGCCAATGAATGTCTTTTCTCCCTCAATCTCGCCTTCAAATGCTGTCGAGTTCAGGGCAATAGAGTCCAAAAGTAGTTCCCTTACAGGAGCGCTAAGCTTCTTGACAAATTCCGAGACAGGTGTCTTACTATTGCCATCTTCGGAGTCTTGGACGCGAGAGCTGCTAAACTCGTGGTTGACTCCCACTGTTCCGGCCACAACTTGCATTTTGTTCTGAGTTAGTGTTCCAGTCTTGTCAGAGCAGATTGTTGTCGCGTTGCCCATGACTTCACAGGCTTTCAAGTGTCGAACCAGGTTGGCGTCCTTCAGCATGCGAGTGGTAGCAAAAGCAAGAGCCAGCGTGACGGCGAGTGGAAGGCCTTCGGGAACGGCAACAACGACGATTGTGACAACTACGATGAAAATGTTGAGGAAATCCTGTCCCTTTTCAGCCGGAGTGCCGTTATCATGGGGCAATCGGACGAGGAATTCGATGAACAAGACGATGAACAACAATAGACCAGCAGCACCACCGAGCTTGGCAATGTACGTGGCGATGACGTTGAGCTTGTTCTGGAGGGGGGTCGCGTCGGGATCCTCGTTGAGGGACATGAGAGTCTTGCCGTAAGTAGAGTAGATACCGGTCGACGTAGCCATATAGGTACCGACGCCCTCCATGACGCGGGCACCAGACTGAATAAAGGGGTCCATCTTTTTAAGGCTTTCGTGGTTCTCGATAGCCTCATAGACTTCATCGGCGGCGCGTTTACGAATGATGTCCGATTCGCCCGTTGCCTGAGATTCATCACATTTGACGTCGAAGCCCTCGATCAAAACTCCGTCGGCAGGAATCATGTCTCCAGGCTCAAGGTGAATCACATCGCCAACCATGACGTCGTATACAGACAATTCCATCGTTGCTCCAGAGCGGACAACCTTGATATTTCGATCTTGTTTCTTCCTGTTGAGTTTGGCAAATTGGAGCTCCTTTTGATAATCGTTAAGCGATCCAACAATGACGACAATGGCAATGGCGACGATAATGGCAACACCCTCGACCCACTCGACCTTTGGCTCGTTTGCCTCGTGTTTCTGGCCAAAGGTTTGGTAGAGACCGACAGCGAGACTAATGGCGGCGGCGATCGACAAAAGGATCAGCACTTTGTCATTGAAAGTGATCCACATGAGCTGCAGCAAGCTCTTGCCCTTCTTCTCTGGTATCCGGTTATCTCTAAAAATTCGATATCGATCCTGAAACCCTAGCTGTTCCCGACTCGTTTGGGATGTTACGCGGACAGCCTGTGCTGGAGGTGCCAGAGCGTCGCCATTGGGCTTATCGTTCTTCTTAGTATCGTGCTTCTTAGAAGTAACTTCGCCGAACGTAACGCTGCCTTCTAGCAGGTTCTCCTCTGTGCTCAGACCAGCCTTGCGATCTGACCGCAGACCGCGTTCCAAGCCGCGCAAGCCACCAAGTTTGTAGAAAGCCGCAAGGCTCTTGGGGTTGAACATCTTGTTCAGCTGGCCCGGCGAGAACGCAAAGGGGTTGTTTTCCACTAGGAAATCTTTTTCGGCGTCGGGGTCGGGGTCCAATGCGGCGTCATCTTGCATGATGCTGTCGTTTGTTGGTGTCGTCTTGTATTTGTCGGTTTGTGTCGAACTGGAGGCGACAACAGTCGTATCGCCTCCCGAGACGAACGAGCGGCTGGCATCCTCCGAATCTACTGAGTTTTGCCGTGATCGTAGATTGTTTGTTGGCACGTTCAAGAATCCGTCCCCCAACGCAGCAATGGGAGTCGAGACATTGTGAGGACTAGTCGGCCGGCTGCTGTCTCTGATGGAATCAAATGATGCGTCGGTTCGCGGTTCGGGACGTCCTCCTTGAGAGAAGCCGTAGGGCGGCTCTACCATGGTAGAGGGGCTAACCGCGTCGTCTGGAGGAGAGACGGGAGAGAGGGTATAGGTAGGCTGCTGGTGCTGACCGTCGTAACTCTGGGTAATCTCTACAATGTTGCTGCTCGAATTATTATTGACAGCAGTCGTGTCAAGTGTGATCGTGGGCCTGCACATGCAGCCGGTCAGCCAACAGTTTTTAACAGATGGAGATGGAACCAGCCTCGCAGGGCCGATTGAAGTACTTACGCTCTCTGCCGGCCCGTTGGCGTAGGAGTTGGAGGCCCCGAGTGCCCAGTCTTGTTGGAGTCGGCCATGGTCAGCACACAGCCGCCTCGTGGAGGCAGCAGGCAAGCTGAGAGAGGGCTCCGTTGCGGTAGAGGTGTCGAGCGGACGAGGCTATGGCGGAGAGGCAAAGGGAATGGCGAGCTCGTGCAAACTCAAGCAGCCGGGCCAGGGGGCGTGATTGAGGGAGGGAGACGGGTTAATATCAAGATTTGTTGGTCTAGCATTAAGGAAGTTTGACAGGGGTGGCGCGAGGTTGATGGAGAGACGCCGTGGAGGCGTGTTGAGACGGCTCAAAACCAGTACATGGCCCAGGTGAACAAAGCTCTGAGTGAGAATTGAGCAGCAGTATCGAACACGTCTCGTGCCCGGCGGAATGGCTATGCTGGCAAAGGAATGAACAGGACGGAAGAACAAAAGAGACGAAGAAACTCTGCTCCAAGCCCAGATGCTGCTGCCGCTGGCGATGCTGCTGTACCAAAGTACTTCCTGTATGGCGTGAGGCAGTGCAAAATGAAGGGGTGCTTGATTGGCGGGCGGACGCCAATCAGATCCACTGCAGCCAACCATCTCTAGTGGAGTCGCTAAAAGGCTACAGTGCTAGGCGGTGGTGCTAGTACCTCTTTGACCTTCTTTGTTGGCATACGCGGGTATACGGTACAGGTGCCCCTAACCCGGTTCTGCCAGCACAGAGGTACTCGCTACCTCGGCTCGCCATGGTTTTCCAAGGCACGACAGGGGGCGGGCAGTCTCTCTGTAGCACTAGACGCCAGTGGCCAAGAACGCTCGGGCGCTGGAAACTTGAGGTGGAAACCCACTGGACCGTCGCTCGGCCAATGCCCCCCTTCCCCCAGCCGCCCAAGCATTCAAAGTAGCGGTGCTCTGTGCCTTAGGTACTCCGTACTACTGGAAGAAACCTCCGGAGCACGCTTGGGGCACGGCTTGGAACTTTAAGCATAAGGTACTCGTACATGTGCTTGCGAGTAATGGCGGCAATTACTCAAGCACATACAAGCACTGTGCACCAGAGTCGAGATTCTGGAAGCTGCAAAACATCCCGACGGATGAGCAGAAGACGGCCTCCCTGTTTGAGATGGAGATGGAGATGGGAGCGGCATTTCAGAGTGGACGCAAACCGCTTGGCCGTGCATGGATCATGAGTGCGGACGACTGCAGCCATGCAATTTCATCGGTCCCAATGCGAGGTACTGGGAACTTCGTTTCTGTGCAAAGCCCTGCCGTCTCGCAAAGTATCTAGTACTTTATGCTTAAACCTCGTGTCTGTGGCCACAGGGCGTATCGTATTGGATGCGTATGAGCCCACAATGCTTGGGGTCTTCAGGCGCCAACTGGCAAGCCCAACAATGGATGGACAAATTCGAGCAGACTGGTGACCTCATTGGGCGAATCGATGGCTATTCGTTGTTAACCGACATGCCATACCTCACGAGGGCAGAAACAATCGATTGGACATGGACGGCGAAAAAAAGACATTGGCGGTGTTGGTGTATCAGCAAAACGGTAGCACGGAGTGGCGGCATCTGTTTGCGATCAATCCATTGATCCAAATTACAAAGTACAGCTCTCTTGGAAACGCCGAGCGGGATATTTGTGCAAGGTGAGCTCCTAGCTCTGGTACCTGCGGCATCTCTCTATTTACTAGAGCAACAAAGTACTCATCGGACATAGATCCTCACCTGGAAGTACCTGTCCGGTGTCCACGTAATCACCGATACTTGTGCGAGGACACACGAGCAGGTACCAGCAGGCTGCAGATACTGGCAACGAATCGTTCACCATCTATCATGAGACGGCCGCAGCCTTGCCTCAGTCACGATTTGCCGCATCACATCAGAGCCTCCTGCAAATGTGCCTCTCGTGCGCCGTGATGCCTTATCAGATCATCATGTGATGGGCGGCCGTCAGTGGCAACGCCTAGTTCCAGGGGCTGTGCCAGCAAGCTTTTCTGCGCTGCTGTGCTCCTCCACTCTATAACCCGATCGAGTGCGGGCGGCAAGATTCCCAATGCTCGGCACGGGCAAATTCCAAACCACCATGAAATCACCATCACGCCGACACCATGCGCCAGCAGTTACGGTACAATTAAGCTCATCGCCCAAAACTCACCATTGCCGTGCTAATTGCCTCCGTCCGCATCTTCCAAAACCGCCACGTGAGGCCGCCAACGCTGCGGCTTGCTGGCGCGACAGCCACGTCACAAAAGATCAGAGCCAAGAAGCTCACTTCCGCTCGCCAAGGCATCAGCGCTCCCCTTTCATATCATCATCATCAACAACAAGCTTTAGTTGAGCCTCGGCTTTGGCTTTCTTTGTCCATTGAAGCACAGCCTTGTTGAATACGCGTCCCGTTCAGGTGTCCCAGGGAGAGGGAGATGGAGGCCGTTGCGCTTGACCAAGGAGTGTGAAATAATGCCGATGATGCCCAGACAATCTCGCCCATCTTTTCGCCGGCCCCGTCACCGCAAGTCGCGATATCGCCGTGCTGGCACTTTCCAAGACGGGCCATGGATTTGAGACACCAGGAAATGCAATGCACCTGTCTCTCGCTACTCTGCTGGTTAATTTCTGACTCTGGCGCTAATACACAACAACGATGGCGATGCTTTTCCATACCCCATAGACCCGCTAGTCCCATCTGACATTACTCGACGATCAGCATATGTCGACCATTATATCCGCGCATTTGGGCTGATACGAGGATATTGTGATCCCAAGGGTGAGCCTAGATGTTGAGCTGCTTAACCAACGCTGCTTGTGACCAACAAGGAGCATGAGTTGACCTCGTCAACATTGCTACCACCAGAAATCTTTTACAGCAGAATACTACAGTGTACCTGCTCAGACTTGACTTTCTACTACAGGTCAAGCCATGTCAGATAGTCAGACCTTTGGTAGTTCCATGTGGAGAGCCGATTAGGGGGGTGCGGGAACTCGCAATTACAGGGACAAAGGATGCCAATTTCGAAAAGAGCAAAATGTCCTGCCAGCTCATTGCCAAGCTCACCAACACGATGATGCCGTCCAGGATTCATGACAAAACATCATCAAACTCTTGTCTGAGAAAGACGCCAAGCTTCACTTTCGCAGCTCCTTAGCGAGCTACAACCGGCTAGTCGCCAACCCCCGGCACACCTTATATCTGTTAAGGTGTGTTTCCATGATGCTAAAGGGCATAGCGTCCTGACCACCTCCACATCTGGAGACACGTTGTCTGGCTCAAAATCATGTTCCGGTGGCTCTCTCGCGCACTGTACGGGGTCGGAATCAAGGGGCCCTGGTTGGTTTTCCCATTACTGTACCTCAGAGCACTCTCACGATCTTGGAGTGATTTGTTGGTGGGTATGGATGTGGCTAGCTCCCACAAGTTTCCGTGATACTCAACCTTGTTTTTTTTTTTCGATACGTTTATCTAATCATTCCGGTATCGAATGATTCGTCTCCAAGAGATTTGCCGCCCACAGCTACAGGGGATCTACGCAAGAAATGGAGGGGAAATAACAAGATCTACCTAATTCACTCACTCTAGGGCGAATTACAAAACAGGTTGTTGCCCATCCAGTTGCACAAGATTGGTTAGGTGCGCTGCTGGTTGGTCAATATGGAGTTCCCTATCTCGGCAAAAGTCGTTGAGAACCGGCGAGCAGTGAGGCTGAGCAGCTCCTAGATATCACTAGGAGCGAATAATTTTCCTGCCCGCTTCTATTGGGCCACTAAAACGTGCCATGCTCCCGGACCAGGTGGTCACTACCGCTTCTGAGATATCTCGATTATGGTGTCATGCAGTCAAACTCTGCCAGCAGCCTCTGGGAACTTGATGGCGCTCCAGTGATCCTTGTTCCTGGCAACCTCCGCCAAGGGCAAAAAAGTCCCTTCATGGGGGTAAATTGAGCAATTTTTTTCTCCTCGGCGAATTTTTGAGTTGAGGAAAATATGATATTGGCTTGATGGATGCGAGAGGAGAAGGCTATCAACCTTGTTCAATATTCTGCACAGCCTCATTGCCAGAATAAGTACCATCTGTCGCCGTCAATGATATGCCTACGCGAGCCTAGGCGCATGGCGTTATCAACTCTCTACACTACTTGTAATGTGGAATGCTTTGCCGATGATTCTAGTTTCTTGATGGATCAGAAATGCGCTCATGCTGATGGCATTCACCGGCCGATGAAGCCTTGGATAACGTCAAGCGCATGGAAGCAGGCATCGAAATGGTACCCAGCAGAATGCCTGGGCGCATTTTCTGATCATCTGGCTGCCAAGCCCATTGTGGTTGGTTACACGCATATGCGCGGCTAACTGCATGCATGGGATGCCGAAGCCATCACAGGCGGTCAAAGACGTTCTGTGGGATCTTAGACAACTGAGCCCTGGATGTTGCCTTGCACGGGCAATTCTGGGTTTCTCGTTAGTTTCAGGACTACGGAACACCGGGTGGAAGTTTCACACTTGTGGCTGTATCGATGGAATGGCGAAAGGGTTGCGTACAGCATGCCTATTGGGATAAAAGTCTTGTAAGTCAACTTCAAAGGTCATTCATCTGATATTCCAGGGAAACCGGTCTTGGGTCAAACAACGATGACGCATGCAACGCAGTGTCATGTTCATATCCGGTGCCCATCCCAGTGAGTTGGTAATGGGCCCCAATTCAATCCATGGCTCTGAAGCTGTTATGTCGATGCGATTTTCCAAGTAACCTACGTTGGCATTTACATCTTCCAACCTTTACAGCCAAAGGTAGTTTTATACTCGGTTGAAGGCAACTCTATGCGTATTACTTTTCCAATGACCTCCATGGGCAATGATTCCAGAAGGGATCCTTGTACCCAACGATGATATATGGAGTCTAGCAAATGGCAGGAAAGACTGTAGAGCTCGAGAGAAGCACAAAACCCCGCTGTGGCAGTAGGCATCGTACATTTGCATTCTTCATGTCTTGCTTTCGTAGCTAATTATATCCTGCCTTGTTTGTCTGAGGATCACGTTTGGCATCCTTCCCGCTCTGCACAACCATGTATGCGAGTACAACCCGACCTCGAGTGAGACAACTACGCAATAACTTTCCAAAGATTTTGGTTCATCATATTGACAATTCGGCTTGTCCCTTCTCTCGGGGAGTTGGAGGGTCACACTCAATTCCTGCTGGAGTTGAACTGTCGAGGTGAGTGACCCCAGAGGACTGTCGGCGCTCTTCGTAATGGGTCTTCATGATGGTGATTATAAACTATTATAAGGTATGTTACATTAATTTGCAATACATCCGACGGCAAGATGATATAGAAATGAAGATGCAGGTGAAATAGGTGACAAATAAGCCATTGCAGCAGAATGGCAGCTATTTCTATACAGCTGCAGAACAGGGCGTAAGATTTATAAAGAGATCCGTCTTACAGGAGAAAGTTTATCAGTTCAGTAGTCTGCTACCTAAACTATCATTCTGTCATGCAATACTACTTCACGAATACTTTAAGTACCAAGATCTGTCATCCCCTCAAGACCATCAGTACGAAAGAGACAATCTACGTGATGTTATCACAAAGCAGTCATCAATAAATCCGATCAAAATACATATCCCACTCCAACAAGCACCCCATCACGCCTCATCTCTGTACAACAACCCATCGATACGCCAATCTCATAATACCCTCTAAGCCACCATGACGACGTACACCTTTGACTTTCTAACGCCACTCCACGCTACATGACTCTCTCAGTCATTGGCGTTGGGAAAGAAGAAGAAGAAATATTCCAAATTCCGTATAAATCCGGGATAGAAAGCCTCGGACTCCGCCTACCTAGACGCCTGCCGTTGGTCATCCTAGTTTGTCCAGGATATCACTGCCACATGTCCCGGGTCGTATGTAAGTGCGGGCAGCTCAGCGACTTGTCAGATGTCGAATCCACATATCATTGAGGCTGTGCCCTTGTATACACCGTAATTTGTATGGCACATATAAAGTATTGTGTACAACCGTCGGACGCAGCGGATGGGTTGTATGCGTGATGTACGTGCATGTGTCTTCTCGCCAGTGGTGCGGGATTGGGCTCTACTGCACTCTTGCGTTATGGCGGCAAAAGTGTATAGCTTCGATTTTGGGAAGGTAATAAAATAAGCTACAGGGCTTGGTCATTTCTTTCACCGCTTTTGAGCATCAGGGCAAGCATTCCAAGTATATGTTGGATGGTCTGTGTTGTATACGAGCAGAGGAGGTATACGAAGTGAACATCAGGCCCAGCCAAGAGACTTGAGACCTACTAGAAAGTCAGGGAGAGCACAGCCACTCAACTTACATAAACTGGGGCAACTATTTATGAAACATGGAAGAGTTTGTTCGTTCATACGCGTATTTGGCAGGATTTCATTGGGCGTGTTGCAACTTTGAAGTAGTATGTCCAAATACGCTACAATACGCCTCGGCTTAGTTACATGAAGTCCCCAGTACGGAAATTCCACCGCAAAGAGATCAATTGGAAATGATGGAGACATTCCATGAGATTGGATTTCCCATAATCAAATGGGAAAAGACTACAGTATAATACCAACTGCGGAACTATAGCCCCGAGAAGAGTATATTTGGATATCACCATTTTACAGGGTAGGCTAACAATTGGGCAAACTCGAAAATGAAAAGCACATCTCATCCATATACATCTATCTATAAACCAAACCTTTTCTATACTTCCATTTTCCTTCTATACAGAACACAGACATTGATCTACATTGATTGCCATGAGTCAAATTGATGAAATCACCTCCTCCCCAAGTCAATCTTCCTCACAGCCACCATATCTCCCTCCTCCTCCTCCCCCCCCTTCACCACCCCCTCAACCCCGAAAAACGGCCCAACAGCAACCCTCACCACGCCTCGCCAGAACCCCTCCACAATCCCCTTCAAATCCCCTCCCGTCTGCTTAAAGTCCGGAAACGCGTTAATCTCCAACAACCACGCCTCCCCCCCGTCATCCACCAAGAAATCTAGCCCAAACACCTCAAACGCATTCGGCAGCGTCTGGAAGTGTATCGGCATCGCCCTCGCCGCAGCCTCAAACACCTCGCCCGTCGTCTCGCAAATCTGCCCAAACACACGCTCCAGCACCGCCCCCTCCAGCGGCAGGCCCCAGAACCGCTGCACAGTGTTCTCGTTGGGCGAGTCCTGCAGGCAAGTATTCGTCAGGAAGGCCTCGATGTCGGAGGGGGCTTCCCACGGGGCTGTGTAGGGTTTTCCCGCGAAGAGGGCGAGCATGTGCTTGTACACGTAGACGTCGAGGCTGCCCGTGCAGAGCACGTAGGTTCGGATGTGGAACTTGTGGCCGCCGGGGGAGAGAAGCAGAGGAGGGTGGATGTACGGCTGAGCCACAAAGTGACGAAGATGAGATGCCGTGATGTAGTCGCCGTCGGCATCTCCATCTACCGCTCCGGCTTCGTGGTCTTCGCCGTCTTCCTCATCGTCGCTGTCCGGCCGTTCTTCCTCCCATCCGTCGAAAATGTCTTGTAGTTCCTCCATGGTACTGAACAGTCTGATGCCCTGACCGCGATCACTCATTCCAGGCTTGAGAATCCACCATTCTCGTTCATTTGACTCCTTCTCTTCGTTGCGGTCCATACTCTCTCGGAGATCAAACGCTTCGACAAGGGCATCATCGAGAAATTCGGCATAGTCTACTTCAAAGGCCTCGCTGCGTCTTAGATGCTTCTTGAGAATCGAATCGGGATTCTTGGCTGCCCAGTGATCGAGCGTTGCAGATAAGTAATGTTTCCTGATGAGCGCTTTTCTAATCATGTAGCTGTTGATCAGGGATGTCTTGGTGTGTGACGAGGCGAACTCGAAGTCAATGGCTTCATAGGGGATGATCTGCAGGACACTGCTGTCTGATGAAGGCAGCGTGCTCGATAGGTTGAAGCCCTCTGCTGATATGTCGGTGATGAGGTTAAACGAATCCTTGGGCAGCACGGTGTTGAGTGCAGATACAATAAGCGGCTGCACATAGGGGTCGTCGTATGATACGATGGCCTGGATCTTGCTCTTCGCCTCCTCTTTGGGTTTCTCTCGTATGACCACTTCTGATGTGGAAGTAGTTGATGCTGTAGAATCAGGACTGAAAAGAAAACTGTATGTAAGAATATCTTCTATTGTAGTCTTTCCATAATGCATAATTTTACAAACAATTCACATCATCATCAATCGTATCGCATCTTCCATCTTGTCTTTCAAACAAAGAATCCAAAACGCCAACGCCATAAACACAATGGGGTTACTCACAGCTTAATCTCCCTCGTAGCCATGTCTCCCGCGCAACTGGCAAAGTTTGCCTTGAGAGGGGTGACACTAAGACGAGAATATATATGTCAGTAACTCGCTTCTCTCTGCAATAGAGGCTTCTCAAAGGATAGAAGTACTCACCTTGTCTGCCCTTCTTTAACAGCCCATCCATCTGATCCAGGTCCAGCGTCTTCTACAGACTTATACACGTCTGCAAATTTGGGTGCCCACTTGAAGTGCTTATGCGTATGTCCCTTTGACGCCGTAGCCGCCTTGCTCTCATCATCGACCTCACCACCGGGCCCTTCCCGTATTCTCTCTTCCTCGAGATCCTCATCATCAGCCGAGCCATCGACAGCATCAAAGCAGCCCCCCTTGGTCCAATAGTTCTGCAGAATATCCGTCCAAACAGTCGAATGCGTCTCCACGCCTTCAACGAGAGGAACGTTGACGCTGTACAGATCCGCGCTGCCATCGGTTGGCCACTGCTTGTACAGGTACTCGATGACCTTGACGCTGTGCCGGCATGCAGCGTCGATGATGACTGGGTCGTGATTTCGTGAGAAAAAGGCAAAACTGAGGGCAATGGCCTTGTATCTAGAAGCAGCAGCCTCCAGTGCCGCTCCCAGAGTCCCAGAACTGAGGGCAAATATAGCTGTGCTGTTCCTCCCAAAGTTGGGTCCGCTCACAACCAAGTCAATGGGCCCCTTGTCTTGGAAGAAATGGTTCAGTCCAATCTGGACGCAAGAAGCCGGCGTGCCGTCAATAAGAACCCATTCTTCCACGTCGCCCGAGGGAGACGGCCGCGTATGTGTCGTTCCTTCAGAGTCTTCGCCATGGCTGTTGGCCGAGGGTCGGTAGTAGACGGGTTTCAGCGTCTGGCCGATCAGATGGGCCTTGCCAATCCATGAGCGCTGGGTGTGAGGGACGCAGACAGAGACGGTGTGTCCCGCTCGCTGCAAGTGTCGTACAAAGGAGTGGACATAGGGAGAGGAGTGAGGCGAGGGCGGCCCGTCGTCGTTGGACACGAGGATATGCATTGTTATTGTTGGAGCCGTGAAATCTTTGCGAATACCCGGGAGCTGGTTGGATATTGGCAATGGGAGGGTTCGGGGGAGGCAGAGCAGCCGATGAGCTCCGGAGACGACGGACCAGAGCAGACGATGATGTGCTCAGACCATTGAGAGCCTGTGGCTGGTGATGAGTCTGTGTTGAAGCGAGCACGCAATAGCTTCAAGATTAATCAAAAGACGATGGTAGTGGAAAAGCCATTTGGGAGTGAGGGGCAACAGACGTGGGGCAGCAACTAGATTACAGAAGGCCATTCGCTGATTGCTACCCGTAGCTAGTGCTAGCATTCAACGTCATGGATGGAATGATTTCTCAACCCAACATCATGAGATGAGCGAAATACACATCAGTGAAGAGTATAGCAGCTCCAGTGATATGATATTACGAAAGTAGGTATAGACTTGAGGGGGCTCTTGGGCATTATAGAATGTACCACAATCAAGATACAGCTGGGACTGAACTGAAAAGGTAATGGAAGGCAAACATGGCCATCTTTATTTACATCAAATCAATTCCGCAATCACTAGTTACACATTCAATACACAACATGAAGCTAAAAAGAAAAAGAAAAAGAGAAACCGTACAGCCATGACCATGATTTATTGAAGAGCAGACCATCGTGACAGAACCTGATATCTCTTTTCAAGTCGTGCATCTGCTATTCGGATGACACATATCCACATTGCCTGCTAAACGCCAAACTGACTGACCGATTCCATCCATATCCATGTCCCGATGATCATGGATAAGAATATTCAACATTGCCAAGTGCAAGATTAATTCACAACCAAGATTGCGCAAAGCCGCACTGGTTTGCTCCTCTTCTGCGTCCGCCAAAGGAAAAAAAAGAACAAAAGGAAACGAAAAAGAAAGAAGCTATTATGGTATAGTCGGAAAAAAGGACAAGAGACTGAAGCAGAACATATCATCTTGTGACATCTAGGATCGAGTTCTCTTGGCGGGGGCTGCGGGTAGCGGCTCTGCAGCAGCTCGCTTTGTGCCCGATCTGTTTGTGTGCTCCTTGGTCCGAATCCACGAGTCGAACGGACTCTTCTTGCCGGTGCGCTTGATCGGAGCTGAGTCTGCAGATAGCTTGTTGGTGGATCGAGTGGTCCGCCTGGTTTCTGGTGGCGATGCAGGTGCATATTTGGGGGCATCCGGTGTCTGTGCCCTCTCTTCCTTGGCTTTGGCAGGCGTCTCAACTGTTTCAACCTTGGCCTCGGGCTTCTCCGCTTCGACGGCCTCCTCGACATCAGTGGCGGCTTCTTCTTCTTCGAGCATATCCTTGGTCTTTGGAGCAGGGGCCTTGGTGGGGAAAAGAAGTCTGGGCTTGATGGAAGATCGTGTGAGCGGTTTCGAGAAGTGAGTCTCAACATCTGAATCCAGTTCCTCGAATTCTTCCTCATCATCAAATTCTGAAAACTTGCGGAAGAACTTCTTGCCACGGCTGTAATATGTATTAGGACCCCTGTCACTTTATAAAAATGTCACAAAAACTCACAATACGTAAATCATGCCGTCTTCGCGGCGAGATGCTTCGTCAACCGACTGGGAGCCTTCGCCAGGAACATGGACCTTGCGCTTAGTGCGGCGTTTGGAGGGTTCTGCAGCGGGGGCATTGCCCACAAAGGGGTTTGACTTGCTTTCATCCTTCTTGGGGATGCGATCTTGCGAGTCGGTGAAAATCTCAATGTCCTCCTCGGCAACCTCTGCCCGGAAACTTTCGAGCGTCATGCCTGAATACTTCTTAGATCGCCTCTTACGCGGGCTTGACAACTCAGTCTCCTCGGCAACTGGGAATAAATTGCGGGCAAAGGTCTGGATGTGGGCGGTAGCCTTTGAACTCGGGGGCTTCTGGGGTGTCTTGGAAGGCGTAGGAAGCATGAGAGAAGAAGCAGCGGCAGATCGGCCGGCAACGGATTTGTCCTTGGATCCAGAGGCGGCAGAAGCTTCGGCTGCGAGAGAGGCCGTTACGCGACGAACCGAGTCGGCAGCAGATTGGCGCTTCTTGCGCGGCGAGGCAACTGGTGAGGCCATGGCTGCTGTGCTTTGTGCGCTGGATTTGGCTGCGGTGCGCGGCGAGGCGAGTGCTGGACGTGTAGCAGGTGGCGGCGAAGGCGTTCTAGCAGATGTGCGCTGTGCAGATATTCTTGCTGATTTGCGCGGTGAATAGGGCTCCCAGCTGTCGTGGTATCCCAGGCGTGGAGCGGGTGGTGTTCGGATGGAAGAGGGAGGAGAAGGCGTCGAGGGCGCAGCGTCGACGACGGCCATTTTGAAAAACCAAAAAACGAAAACCCGGAAAAACAAAGATACAGATATTCGAACCTCAATCGACTCAGTAATAGCTAGGTTGCAGCAGACCCGGTACAGCGGTGATGCGTCCCCAGTCTTTCTCCGGACGTTGTCGTGGCAGCGGAAATTTTAACTCGGCAGATGCCAGCAATGACTAAAAACCCCCAAAAGTAAATAAAAACGCAGCGAGTTTCGACGGCGAGCAGCGGTGAGGGAATTTAATTAAAATCCTAGGGTGAGAGGGCCATCTGCAATTGTGTGAGCGACAGCGACAGCGACGACGGATGAGCAAGGCCGAAGCAACGGCGATGGTTGGGCAAAAATAATACGGCAGTTCGGCTGACGATGTTTGGTGATGGGATGGCAGAGGAGGAGAGCAGGATTCGGCGAGCTAGACTGGAATATGAGAGGCTGGGGCGGCTGCTGGAATGCTTCTACGGGGTGGGCCAGCCTCCCTTGGGCCACTAGTAGAGACGCGTTGAGGGCTCCGCTCCAGGGTTGGCTCGCCGGGCAACGCGTCGGTTTCGCGCCACCTGGCACCAATCAGCGGTCGCGAGTGCACTGGAGCTTGAGGGGGCTTTAGCGGCTGCGATTGGTGCTCCAGGGGGCCAGGTCCACTGCAGGGCCCTATCCTGGCAGAGGGGCATCACCACGGCAGCAGTGCAGAGCAGTGCAGTGCACAACTCGACTTCATTGCATCAGTGTGCAGCTTATGTTATCCAACGAATTGGACAATTGACGATTTGCAGATTCTCCCCCACTATCTACCTTACAGACAACGTCACTTGGAAGCACGCGCAGGCACTGGAATCTGTGTATTGTCTTTTCTCAGTTGATCTAATTACAGTCGCGGCTTGTTGCATTCAAGAATCAGAACAAGCACCAAAATGGCCGACCACATGGACGTCGATGATGATGATGCAGACCTCTGGACATCGCCAGTGAAAAATCCCCCGTCAGAGCGTCCGAAAACTCCAAAATCTCCCAGAACACCTCGAACCCCAAAGACACCACCGCACAATGACCGCCAGTCCGAGCCGCTCGACCGAGAAGCAATGCTGAAAAAAGAGCTGGAGGGGGTGCGAACCATCAACCGAGTCATCGAGGGCGTTATTGGCACTCTGCAGCGGACAGGCAACAATATGGATGTACGTCTCCAGCTCGACTATCCGCAAACAATTCAGCTGTGGCGGTGTAGAACTAACATCTGTGCCCTTCCAGTCCGTCTCCAGAACCGTCTCGAATGCTTCCACGCTGCTCAATACCTGGACTCGCATCTTGTCCCAGACAGAACACAACCAACGCCTGATTCTCGATCCAACATGGAAAGGCGCAACAAACGATTTGGCTGAGATTGAGGCCGAAGCATTGCGGAAACAACAGGAAGAGGCTCGCAAAGCTGCAGAGGAAGAGGAGCGCAAAGAAGAGCTTCGACGGCGGCGGGAGGAGGAGGAATTAAGAAGAAAGTTGCCTGCCTCGGCTTCTACCCGGGGAACACGCGGCTCTACTGCCGGCCTTCGTGGAGCTCGCGGCCGAACCAGGGTGGCTACAGCGTCATCAAGGATGCGCTCAAGGTCGTCGTCAAGGATAGCCACCAGCTCAGGCTATGCGGGAAGCAGCACCATATCAGCCTCAAGTAGCCGTGGCACCTCTGGCATAGGGAGAGGACTTGGAACGACTAGGAGTCGTTATAACAGAGCGAAATAGGTGTGTGGGCTGGAACTCGCACCTCTCCTTTTCGTGTCTTGATATTCGATGCTTGATATTTCTCCATAGATACCCAAATCTTTTTAATGCTGTTGACACTATTTTTTCTGGAAAAAGTGACTGAGTTTCTTCATCCCGCTCGTGTTAACCTTTTTCAGCTCTCGGACTGCACGGCTCTCGCTTGCCTTTTTCTTCTTCTCTTCTTCAAGCTTCCTCTTCTTCTCCATTCGAGCCTCGTCCTCTTCCTCATCCAGGTTTCGTTTGCGAGAATAGTCCTGAGCCCTCACTGCCATGGTTTCTGATCGCAGCTTTTCGAGGCTCGCGAGATAGTCTTTCAAGAGAGAGAAATCCACCGGCCCATCTGGCCCTGTCAAGCTCCGCTGGATATTATCTGCCAGCGCTGGGGTCACGTAGCTTGCGCAAATGAACCCAAAGGCAGTCTTTAGCCTTTGCTGTTTGACGATTTCTGGGGAGGCTTCTAGAGCGCTAACGATGCTCTCCTCTGCTTGCTCTCCAGCAACAGATGTCGCAGCGGTGCTTGCTTGAGACATGGACGAAGCATCAGTCTCTGTGGTTGATACTGTAGACTGAGATGTTGCTGCATCAGGCTGTGGGGTGGAGGTTCCAGAATCGGTGCTGCCGTTGACTTGACTGTCTGCAGTCCGCACCACTCTGTGCATAAGCGGTGCTTCAAGAACCTTTTTCACAAACTTCTCTTCCATACTAGGCGGTAGACCACTCTCACTCATCCTCTTGGCCTTTTGCAAAACGACATCCAAGAGCTTTTTCTCATTCAACCGAAACATGCGCTCATCTCCAGCCTCGACCGTATCGCAAACTGCGCCCATCCGGTTTTCTATCAATTGCCGTGTCGTGTCCCAGCGCAGAATTTCGGACAGGTGCGAGCTCTCTTGCGGCAGCTTGTCCAAGTGATCGTCGCTAGACAAGAACAGTCGCTTCGGTTCATCCGATCCTTTTGATGCCTTTGCGTCGGCCAACGCGGGCAAAACCAAGAAAAGGGGATCTATGGCGGTTGCCACGAAGAGGTCTGATCCCATGGTCACCTGGGCGTCATTGGAGGCCGGGGCAGCTTCGATAAGCCAGCTTCGCGGTACATTCTTCGGCGCCGCTACTTTTGTGAATTCGTAGATGCCGGTTTCGGGACACACGAGATATCGCGAGGGCTGAGAGGTTCGAGGGTTGGGGAGTGTGACAATGCGAGCCTCGGGAGTCGCTTTGGTGGGGAAGATGAAGACCTTGGGAGATTCGCCGGTATGGGGGACGAGGGCTATTGAGGATGTTGATTTTGAGGTTTGGGAATCTTCTGCCGCCGCCGCCGCTGAGGGCTTCGTTGATCGTGTCCGAGCCATGGCGGGAGTCTGATGTCGAGCTGGAGCTGTATATCCTGGAGAGAAAGGACCAATTGATCCCAATTGATGTTCTTGTTGGATCCCAACTGAAGATAAAGTTTGCGCGATTCCTAGAAGAGGCAAATAGAGCAAAACAAAGCAATTTCAACGCAGTATCAAGCTTCTGTATCCTGGAAAACGGCCGCTCTGCTGTCGCATTAATTCGCACGAGATCACCCTTCCAAACCCCTGCCAAAGTCAAAAGCGACGCGCCTTCACGCGTTTTTTGCGCCAGTCCCGCGTTTTACTAATGTAGCAGCGGCTCCACCTCAGCCAGCCAAGCAGCCACTATCGGATCTCCACCGATTTGTGCGTGTCCCAAGCCTTATCGGCTGCCCAACCAGCGCATCATTTTCTAGGATCCATAACTCTAAGCCTCAAGTTGGACTTGTGACGAGACAGCGACACGACGGCCAGTAGCTTTACTTGTGCTGACTTGTGCTGACTTGCGCTTGTATCTTTCATCGCTGCTCTGTCCAGCATCGCATCTTGAGCTTCTCGTTCGAACCAATCCCCTGTCTCGCCTCGTCCGCCTGCTGCTCGTCTCCCCGCCCATTAGCCGTGTCGCAGGCCTGATCGAAGCAAACCTCCCTCACCTGCGGCCGCATCAGCCCGCCGCCTCCGTATGGCCCCAGGCGCTGACGGATCATAGCCAGGGCCAGCTGCCGGTGCCCTGCCTTGTCGTACCTGAGAGAATCCCCGGGGGTGGTTGGGCAGAGGCACAGCATAGCATAGCAGTGGACGGAGCACTTTGCTGCAAACAATCCACCTTCATCATGGCCCACGGTAAGTGGCCCTCGCCTCGACGGCTGCCAATCGCGACTGACCGCCTGCCAGGACCGCAAGAGCCAGAAGCCTCTTGGCCGCCTCGATCGCCCCACGAAGCCCTCATGAGCACCCCTAAAGGTCGCGAGCGCTACCGAGAAATGATGAATCAGACTTCCCCCTCACCTTCTCCATCCCGCAGCAGCAGCAGGGCTATGGCCTCGGTCATGGCGCGGTCCGGGGCGCTCCAGGAACAAATGGATGATGATGACGAAGACGACGATGAGGAGACGCTCCAGCTGAAGCTGCAAGAGATTCAGGCTCGCCTCAAGCTGAAGAGGCTTCAAAAGGCCAAGGAGTCTGCCGCTCAGGGTAGGGCCGCCGTGAGGCATTCCCGCTCAAACTCGGCTGCGGCAGTCATGCAACCTCAACGCGCCATCCGTGGAACGACACCAGTGTCCGACAATCCCAGGCCTTCATCACAGAGCAAGGTGGTGCCTGCGTCTCCCGTCAGAAAAGTACAACCAATGTCGGACCCAAAATCACCGAGTAGGGTTCTGCTGGGGATCGACAAGGGCTTGCGGGCAAAGGACATATCACTGAAACGCGCCCCAAGCTTTCGGAAGACAACAAGCGGCGATTCAGCCGCTCAACGAGGCTATCTTCAGAGGTCCAAGGCCGCCAGCCCGTCAGGAACAAGATCGCCTGAAGAAGAGTACCGGCCGCTCAGTTTCAATGAGCGCCTGGCGTCGGCGAGGTCGGAAGAAAAGTCTCGCGCCGAGAGGCAAGAGAGGATATCAAAGTTGAGAACCAGTGCGTTTGAAATTGGCAAGGAGGAAATGGAAGAGTATAAGAAAAACGCCGTTGATATTCCCGACGTGCCTTTGCAAGCCCCGTCTTTTAGCAGAGACGAGGTCTTGGGCAAGCAGAAATCAGTCGCCTCAGCGTTACAGCGGACCAGCACAGTATCTGATCTGCGTACCGCCGCAGAAAGGGACCTCAATCCTCCAATTACATCGTCGCGTCGAGAACGGCAGAACAGCGTGGCCAACAGTGTGGCCACCAGCGACGCTTCCACAGAGGAGCAGGGCGCGTTTGAGCCTTACTCCAGCATGCATCTTTCGAAACGGATACTACCTCATCGAGTTGTTGCAAGGCATGTGTCCGGCAAGAAGGTCTTCAATGTCAAAGATCTTTTACGTGAGGTCAAGGCTCCCGATTTTGCCCTGCCAGAGGTCGAAGAAGACATTGTCGTCTTTGCGATTGTGGCCAAGAAATCAGAGCCTCGAGCACACAAGCCTGCCGCGGGCAAGAACGGGCAGAAGGCGGAGGACCGCGGCAAATACATGGTGCTGACTCTGGTTGACCTGGAGTACGAACTCGATCTATTTCTATTCAACTCTGGCTTCACTAGATACTGGAAGCTTACCGAAGGCACCGTTGTCGCCATTCTCAACCCCAACGTGATGCCGCCACCACCCGGAAGACAAGACACGGGACGCTTCAGCTTGGTCATCAACTCTGATGAAGATACAATTCTCGAAATCGGATCAGCCCGTGACTTGGGCTTCTGCCAGTCGATCAAGAAAGATGGAGAAATGTGCAGATCTTGGGTGAACAAGAAACGGACTCAATACTGCGAGTTTCACTCCAATGAAGCCATCAGAAAACAACGATCAACACGCATGGAAGTCAACTCAAGCGGGTTTGGTGGTGGTGGTGGCATTCGTTTTAAGGGTAAAAACTCGGCAGAGATATCTATACCGGACAAGAAGAAGCCCAACAACTACGACTGGGAAACAAAAACGCACTGGTATGTAGCAAAAGGACACACGGCCGCGGATCTTATTGACGACAAGGACCGAGATCCTTCAGATCGAAAGGACAAGGCAGAATTTCTACGACGAAATATGGAAGCCAAAGAAAAGGAACGCGAGATGATGAAGAAGCTCGGCCAGGTCGGTAATGCCGCCGGAAAAGAGTACATGCAACGTTCAGGATCACGAATCGACGCAGGCGGCCCAACACCGCCCAGCAGCATGAGCTCGAGCCAACAGTTATTCAACTCAGACGATCCCTTTGCCGAACCTGCAAAACCAGATGCAGTCACTCTCGGTCTCTTAGACAGGGCCCGAGACATTCACCTCAGCCCAGTCAAGAGGAAACGGACCGGCAGCTCTCAGCCCGGATCCCTTACCCGGAGTAACAGTGTCAATAGCAGCAGCACGACCTACAGCAGACCATCTGGCCTTGGATGGGGCGGCGCGTTAAAGGACAAGCTATCGAGCATGAAAGATGGAGAGAAACTCAAGCCAGAGCAACCACCACTCAGGAAGAAGACGCGGTTTGTGACGGAAAAGGGCATCCGGGAGGCTGGTCGCGAGAGCTTTGGCAACCTGGCCGAGAAGAACCTAGCCGACCGACAAGTTCTTCTTCAAGATGACGATGACGAAGACGAGCTGGTCATTGTGAGGTAGGCCAACGGCGGCTTATTCGAGCCAGGCCACAGCAACAGTCACCTTTTGGGCGTATTGGGGCGGCATCAACGACGTTATGACTACCATATACAATACAAGGCATGGACAGGGAAATTTGGGGTTTTGTGGCATCAATAGCATTGTGTAGTTTTAGGCACATTTTTCTACGGGTACTACAGCTTGCCCCGAGGTATTTCCCTTTGTTTTTACTTTAGTTTTCCTTTGTTTCTTTGAATGGACTGGCGGAATATGGCGGAGAGGGGTCTTGGGGCCAAGAAGATCTGGGTGAGCTGAACCTCACACAGTTTTGCTGTACGAGATAAGAGGAGTAAGGATAGGACTGTTTTCTTTTTAGGCTTTAGGATGGTCATGTATTTTCCAGAATACGATATGTTGTGCATATTTCGACGCTGTGTTTTTGTCTCTTAGGCGGCCTTGGTTGGTCACGATGGTACCACGGGCGTACTTGGCGCTTCGCTCGTGTTGCTGTGTGACGATGAGAAGAGTTGATTAAGGTTAAGAGGGGAGATGGACTTGGCAATCCTTCTGGCACTACGTTGCGTGTTTCTCTCCGACAGGTCGATTTGATTCCCTAGAGTGCAATTGGGCAGCGGCTCTTTGGGTCCAACTTTGTGCCGTGTGCCTCCCAGCCAGCTAAGGCAGTGTATCATGGCTAGAGAGCGTGTTCTTGACACCAGCTAAGGCAGTGTATCGTGGCTAAAGAGCGTTTCTCGACCAACTAAGGCGGTGTATCGTGGCTGGAAAGCGTGTTCTTGACATCACCACGTGCAAGTGTTTTTGCCGTCATACCACACCTTTTACCGCTCCTTTATACGAGTCATCCATCCGGCAAGCCGCCCGAGGGAAGGACGAAAATAGCTGAGTCTCTTTCTCTCCCTGCTGTGGAATAGCGCTCGAGTATTTCGTATGACCAAGACGATCACAACCCGATGGATACAAGTTTCGCTGGAGTCTTTGACGTCAAGTTTAGAAACTAGCGAGGCTGGGGATGGGGGAAAAAGCATGTTGCTTGATGGGTGGACACTTCACGTGGAGGGGGATGCCACAGCTTGAACAATTGAATGGGCTTTTATGGAGGTGGCGTGCGTTAGTTCACCGGTGAATAAGGTAAAACTGTCTGCTTGATAACGCCACAAGAAACGGTGAGGCAGAGGCAACAGAGGTTTAGGAAGAGAAGCTGGGCGAACTACTGGCGCCACGAAGCGGAGGGGATGGAGGTAATACGATGTAAGCTTAAAGGGATTGAGTATGGCTTGAGAATAAGGGAAAAAACAACAACACAAAGGCGCGGGAAGGCTTTGCCACCGTGAGGGGTAGCGGCAGCTGTAATTTCCATTATATTTTTCTGGGTCTTGTTGATGTAGTTGTGCATAAGATCGGGAGTTGACGAAGCTACATGCGGGATAGGTTGGATGCACGTTGTTCAGCTGAAGGTGATCATGTTATTCGTGATAGAGTTCAGCTTGGACATGCGAAGTAGGGCAGCCTGTGTGGGATTTATTCTCGAGGGAGGAGATGATGCGATGATTGATACCATATTGGGAACCGCCAAATACGAAGAGAAAACAAAAATAAAGCAGCGAGATGACTGGAAAAGAGGATGTGCGATTGGTAATAATAAGTTTCATGTTCGAAGCTGGGATCTCGGTTTGCATGCATTGGAGGTACCTGGTTTGGGGGGTTGAAATTCTGTTACACGCAATTTCGTCAGTTCGTATTTGTTGTCCAAGCGGGTGGGGGAGAGAGGCATTGAGGGAGCAGGAGGCTTTCCCTTTATGCAATGGGACCTGCTGTACATGGATAGGCTCGGATGACTGCTTAGTACTGTACGGAGTAATAGGAGATCAGATGTATGTATTTAATTGTAGGGTGAGAGCGCTGCTTCTCGATGGCTGCAATATGGAATGCATCGTCGAGATCACTGAAATATACCATGGACTCCATTGTATGGGGTAATACTAATCGGCGGTACGGAGTAATGGCCAACCGTAAGCGAAGAGAGGCCAGGAGATTTTATTTTCCAGCGGGCTTCTAGATGATTGCGATTGACGTGCCTTTCATGGGCAGTGACAGGGCCCCCCAATCCGGAATATTGCGAGTGCTACTCCGTATCTGCTTGTTTCTTACAATGGGTGTGCATGTGGCCCTGCTGGGATCAGTTTTGAGAATGGCCGGATTCCCGTTTCATGCCCGTGGGCGAGATTGCAGCCAATTGGCAGCGGCTCAGTCCGTTCAGGCAATCCCGAGGCTGTTTGGTTATGTACCCCGTAAGTAGAGGCAGCCAATGACGCTGCATAGCCGCGCTGTTTCCCCTGAGATTTACTGAATCTTACATGTTTGTTCACCATTGAAGAGACGAGCATCCCAATCAATGGTCATGATTTGTCCAAAGCTTGGTACGAGTAAGCCGGCGAATTCCCCAAGGGGCGCTGATGCAAGGCTTCGTCCACCTGACTGTAAATGACTAAATGAATGAAAAGCACTTCGCTACGAGTGCACTGGCGGGAAAAACACGACAGGGCTTTTTCCAGATGACAGCCTGGGTTCAGATCCTTCAGCCACTTTGGCCCGTTAGTGTTCGGTTGGCGTGGGTCGTTGTCTTAGACAAGCGCGGTAGGGGGGAGAACTGCGGAGTGCGAGTACACGCGACGGTGTTATAACAAGAACGAAGAGAGAAAAGAAGGAAAGAAAGTTCATCTTGGTTTTTAACTAGCGTGACGGTGACGGATCTCAGTTGGTGCAAACTCTTGACTGCAAGGTAGCATGATGATTCAGTTGGCCCTCGAGTCTAGTGGTTAGTAGTGCTACCTTGGGATGGAATCGAAGAATGAAAATGGCAGAATACGGATAGCCCTTTACAGCCAGCCAGCAAACAGAACAGAGATGATGCTTGCAGATGGCAACCCTTTTCTTTCGTATTGCCGTTCGCCATTCGAGGTTTAATAAATTAAAAAAACGCCATCTAGTGTCTTCATCTTCCACTGGAGCTTCGATTCCGTAAACTATTGCTTGATAGTCTGTGCAAAAAAATCGGTCCCTCCGACGGTGCCGGTCCCGAGACCCAGCCAGGCACCAAAACCAAAAAGCCCAGAATAGCGCCACCACGCTGCGTTTGCGTGCGTAGGTACGAGTAGGTAATTTTACAATTTTAACTCTGTGCTTCTAAAATTATCACGCGCACGGCCGATATGCAGTGGAATCGAATCATTCGCGATGCGGCAGAGTAGCACTGCATGCTGCAATCGCGCTAATTTGCAACTATCGGAGCATGTTCAGTTCAGTCGAGGCATCTACGGGTCTAATCTGGAGCTGGAGCTGAAGCTGAGCTTCTCCCTCGACTAATACCATACGCCCTACCAGTTCCATCACATGCTTGCATAACATGACGAACAAAAAAGCATAGCGACACAAAACAAACACATCAGTGGGATCGACAGACGGTGAGGAGGCGGAGATGGAGACTGGACGCTGTGACCATCCATGCCCGCCCTTTGCCATCGCTTGCATTGCCGTGGCCAAGGTTCAAGGTTCCATCCATGCTGTCCGACATGCGGTGGCTGCACTGCTAGCTGGATGGCGCGCATCGAGTACGAGTACCGCACAGTTACATGTGCAGAGAGACCCATTGATGTATATCCGAGGAATGCCATCCGGTTGTTTTGGTGTTTGTTGCTGCTATGGAAGAGAGTCCACAAGAGCTGAAGACCACTCTCTTGCTATTACTACTACTACTTTTAATGCTGACGGGCTTGGCACGGTCAAGCATAACTCGAAGCTTTGGCTCGGGAATAAACTAAAAAAAAAAACTTAACAATGCAGTTGTCTCTCCCTGAATGGCTCTCGGCTTACAGTATCCCTGGCCTGTCATCTGCAACTTGTCGGCTCTCGGCACTATGCCCAAGGGAGCAGCAAAACCCCTTCTCAAGGCTTCAAGCATTGGGATATGAGCCTTATTTCCGTACAACAATAGAGCTGAACAAAGATCAGCATCAAGATCGTACGTTCCTTTCCAGGCGCCTACAAAGGGCACGGGTACGAGGACCGTCTATCTGTACATACCAAAAGCACGCCGTAAGCTGGTCGGCGCTTCGCCGGCGACCGTGTCTCAGGCCAGCGCATCGCTCTCATCGCGCCCAGCCCAGGCCCGTCACGTCCGTCCGATCTTTGGCGCGCGAGAAAGCGACCAAGTTTCTGTTTCTTCTGGGCCCTGAAGAAAACAATGGAGCCTCCCCGCACACCACCGCTGCCCTGAAATCTCCTCGGACGCCTGGCAATTCCCACTTCTGGCCTGGGACGTTTCGACGGCGCCTGTTCCGGGCCCTGGCACTAAGCCCCAATCCAGGCTGGAACCGGGCTGGGAAGCTGTTGGATTGGATCATGGGCCTCGTATCGTGTCCAGCCCTGGCCTGATGCTACTGTACCGGGACTGTACTTTGTTTGCATTGGATGGGATTGGATTGGACTGAATGGAGCCCCCAAAGCTCGGCGTGGCGCTGCTCCAAAAGTGTCTCCACGAAGGAGGCCACATCCCTTTTCGCTTTCCCTCCCTTGACAAGGTACGAGTACTGGCCTTGTACTGGCTCTCTCTGCCGCGTGGGACGCCGAAACGATGAGAGAAGAAGAAGACGAAAAAAGAATACAGCAGTCAGGGATGATGGAGGCCGGCCATGCTGAACAGGGAGGAGGGCAAGGCAGGCCAACGAACGGCGTGGAGCACGAGGACGAGCCATCATCGACTCTCTCTCTCTTCCCACCATCAGCCTGTCTGCCTGCTACCGAGTTCCCGGCGCCTTGCACGAGTAGCCATGCTGTACTCGTACCAGTCATGTATCTCTGTAGGATTCGACCCTGTGTTGCTCGTGTGAGTGGGGTGGACGATCCGGCAACTAATCCCAAGAAGCCCAAAGCAAATAAAATAATACAAAACGTCAAGCCTGCTGCTTTTGCCCACCCCTGACCGTCCTGGCGAATCCCTCCCGCTCTATCCCTATTACTACCGTACATGGTATTATAATAGGTAATACGCTCTTGTTGGTAGTTATATATACCAACCTCCGGTCGTTTGCACACACCTCCCGTACCCAGGAAGAACCGACCTTGCTTTAGGGAAGGGAACTCGCTTTCATTCCATTACTTTCCTACAAGGGGCGCGCCTCTTCTTTTTTCTTGTCTCTCGCTTCGGATTCTATCCACCCTCTTGCCTTTCGCGATTCTCCTCGTTCACTCTTTATTTTTAACCCTCCCTAAAACCCTCACACTCGTTTTTTTTGTTTTAGAAAAAATCCCCCCAAAACCGCAATCATGTTATTGCAAGCTTCCGTCACGGCACTGGCTTTTGCCGCCGTTTCACTCGCACAGGGCACGACACACATCCCCGTCGTTGGTGTTCCCGTCGCTTCTGGTGCTGCTGTGCCGCTGAGACAAAATATTAATGACCTGGTCAAATCGGGGCCGCAATGGTAAGAGAGAGAGAACCCCTCTGCCCAATACAAATGAGCCATTGGATGTTCCAGCCGCATGGAGACGTGGGAAATATGACGAATTGGTTCGGGGGCTCACATTGCATGTAATAGGGATCTCTACGTTCAGGCCATGTATAACATGTCCAAGCTGGATTCCCACGATCCTTACAGCTTCTTCCAGATTGCCGGTAAGCTTTCTTTCTTCTTCCTCCCCGCGAGGTGACATGACTCTCGGAGCTTTTAGTAACACCAGTTAGGCATCCACGGCGCACCGTACATTGAGTACAACAAGGCCGGAGCCAAGACCGGAGACGGCTGGGTTGGATACTGCCCTCACGGTGTATGTTTCTTTAACCATTGAACTAAACAATTGCCGTCGGCTCTCTTCTAACCCGTTGTTTAGGAGGACATCTTCATCAGCTGGCACCGCCCTTACGTTTTGCTCTTCGAGGTATGGCGATCCTGTGTCTTGCATTTGTGCTCGCAAAGGGGGCAAAAAGGCTGACCTCTTCCCTTATAGCAAGCTCTGGTCTCCATCGCCAAGGGCATCGCCAATGGATATCCCGCCTCAGTTCGCGCCACGTACCAGGCGGCTGCGGCCAGCCTGCGAGCCCCCTACTGGGACTGGGCTGCCGACAGCACCGTCCCTGCGTGCACCGTCCCCAACACGCTCAAGATCAACGTTCCCAACGGCAGCGGCACCAAGTCTGTTGATTACACCAACCCTCTCCGAACCTTCTACTACCCTCACATCGCCATGACCGGCTCCTACGGCGACTTCACCGGCGGAGGCCAAGACCACACCATTCGCTGCCCTTCGCCTCAGCAGAACTACCCCAATACCGCCAACGCCAACCTGGCTGCTCGCCCTTACAAGTCCTGGATTGTACGTGTTGCTGGGTTTTTCCCCCTTCTCTCTGCGCGCTCTTACTAACACGAAACGTAGTACGACGTTCTGACCAACTCTCAAAACTTTGCCGATTTCGCTTCCACCAGCGGACCTGGTATCAACGTTGAGCAGATCCACAATGCCATCCACTGGGACGGTGCTTGCGGCAACCAGTTCCTTGCTCCCGACTACTCTGGATTCGACCCTCTGTTGTAAGTTGGGAAAGCATGCAATATGGAATACGGGGCAAATTAACTGACAACGCAATGTAGCTTCATGCACCACTCCAACGTCGACCGCATGTGGGCTTTCTGGGAGGCCATCATGCCCAACTCGCCCATCTTCACTGCCTCCTACAAGGGTCAGTCCCGATTCAACAGCAAGACCGGAGCCACCATCACCCCCAACTCTCCCCTGCAGCCTTTCTACCAGGCCAACGGCCAGTTCCACACCTCCAACACCGTCAAGAGCATCCAGGGCATGGGTTACTCCTACAAGGGTATCGAGTACTGGTCCAAGACCCAGGCCCAGATCAAGTCCGGCGTCACCACCATCATCAACCAGCTGTACGGACCCAACTCCTCCGGCAAGCGTGAGGTCCGCGCCTCCGACCTCATCAAGACCCGTTACTTTGCCAAGATCTCCGTCAACGTCACCGAGATTGAGACTCGTCCTTGCGAAATCAACGTTTACGTCGCTGGCCAGAAGGCTGGCAGCTTGATTGTCATGAAGCTCCCTGCAGAGGGCTTGGTCAACGGTGGTTTCACCGTCGACAACCCCATTGAGGGTCTCCTGCACAGTGGCGGCCGCAACGCCGTCCAGGCCTTTTCCAGCGATATCGAAGTTGAGATTCTCACTGTAAGTTGACATTCGACACCGGCTTTTAGGTATAGAGTTTACTGACACACCGTGTAGAAAGACGGACAGAGCATTCCCCTCGAGAGCGTTCCCAGCCTTGCCATCGATCTCGAGACCGCCAACGTCACCCTGCCCAGCGCCCTCGACCAGCTCCCCAAGTACGGCCAGCGCTCAAGGCACCGTGCGAAGGCTGCCCAGCGCGGACGCCGCTTCCCCATTCCTACTGGCCTCCCCGGCCAGTAAACCAATAGGGCGACGCTCCCTTCGAATTTGCTGCAACGATAATTCTTGGCTATTTTAAAGTGATTCTGGCGTGTTGTGTGTGAAGGAACTTAAAGAACAAAATGAAGCTTGAATATATACATACGATTTTTTTTTTGCCCCCCGGGAACTATTCACTTTTTTATTTTCGCACCTTGTGGATGTGGCAACACTGGTTTTATAAGCTCTATCCCGGAGAGGGTTGTTAATTTTTTCTGGCTTGACGATATGGGGTATTTCTGTATATAATCGCTTCACTCCCTCTGTGTGTGTGTCTCTCTCATTACAGTTTTCGCGCGTGCGCGCGCCTTGGTTCTATCTGGCATGCTCTGGATAAGGATTAGGATAACGATAATTGAGTATTGGTAATTTCTTCTATATATATGTGTGTGTGTACGGGAAGGGGAGTGAGTTGATGTCGAGTTAAGCATTGGGATGTGATGGACGCCACCACGCGGTGAACTTAATAAGCATGCGTGGCGTCTTGAATGGTTTGTCGTCGTGGAAATAGACTTGGATACATAGATGCATTGTGAACATCCTGGTATTTTAATAAGATTTGACTTCATTTGCAGCGGTTTTGTTTCTGAAGAGGAACAAAAAAAAAGGATGATGATGAGGACTGGAGTTTGAAAAAAGGCACAAAAAAAACATGCGACCTGTGTGGATCGAACACACGACCTTCAGATGTCAATTAAGATGACTGGAGTTGTAAGACTTCAGTCTGACGCTCTCCCAGCTGAGCTAAGGTCGCAAGTTGATTTGTCGGTTCTTTTTACTGCTTATACGTGGGGCTTGTGATACGCTGAGTTGGGTGAACTTGCGAGATGATTTGGATGAGGTGGAATTAGTTTGCAGAGCTGGCTTTTAAGATGTGTTGTTGGAGGGAATTGGAATTGGTATTGGAATTATAACTAGAGTTAAAATTGGAATATGAAGTTTCTTTTTTGGAGATGATGTCTTGGGGTGTTGGGTTTGTGTTATTGTTGGATTGTTGAATGCCAATGTTAGTGAGATATGGGTTTTTGGTCGGTGGTGTTGGTATTGGGATGGCGAGATGTGGGAAATGAGATGCGTTTTGATGTGGGTATTGAGAATCCGGTTGTTGGTGTGTTCGATTAATTTTATTTGTGAATATGTGAATACATTGGCGCTTTATCAATATGAGTGTTACAGTTGGATATGACTTCTGTACGTTGGTCGGGAAATATCTAGCCTTCGGACGGATGCCCCAACCTTGTTATGACTCGGGACTTGGAAAGATAGAAGGTGCGCGTAAGATGGTTTTAACAACTATCTGGCTACCTGACTGGAGTTTATAGTTCTACTTAACGGAGGACAACGAGGAAGAAGAATGGACGGTGACTGAGGAGCAACCCGGACGACAGCAGTGGTAAGCTGAGGGACCACCGAAGACGGTACTGCTTGAGATGAAGATGTTGCTGCACACAGACAACAAGATGAAATCGGCCACGAGAGCAAAACTGCGCATAGGCATCTACCAACTGTACCTCATCAATCGGGAAAGGGACGAGACGGCAGTGAAGAACGCAGAGGCAAAGGCCATGAGAACCGTTGGCGCACTGACAAATCGGCTACTATCGAGTTGATGCCATATCGATGCATAAAGTTAGTCCCCAGCAGTATGTTCGGCTTGAGACTCTGTTTTAAGCATGCATCCGTCTGAAAATGCAGCATCACCGGTGTATCTCCTTTGGCGCCCAGCATATAGAAGTCAAATTTAGCTTTCTCAGTGAGTTTTATCAAACCATCGACCCCTCGTATAACAGCATTTGGTCTGTCAGCTGTGTAGTATGTCGCGTTAGCTGAGTCTTCGCGCAGCCAAGTTTTGTCAACTACCACGTCTGAGCAGCCAGAATCCACGCCTCCCGTGGTTGTCGGTCCGTCCAGGCCAAATTGCAGATTGACCTTGGCATATGTCTATTAACTCGACTTGAGGTTGCTTTCTTAAGCAGCTCAACGAAACGTGGCCATCTGCATTGCTAGCTAATTCTAGCCCGAAGCCTGCTTCCGTGCCAGCTCACACTTTATGTCATTTTCCGTGCAGAGCTGAGAGTTCTAGAGTCCTAAATTAATTTCACAAGTTTCTAGACACAATGGTACACTTACTCTATTTCTGGGCCTGTTATTTGCAATCTACTTCAATAGGACTGTCTCTATGATTTACCGTGAATTTCTTTCAAACTCTCTCCTTTTGGGACCAATTTTTATATTTATGGGTAGAATGTATCATATTCAGTAGGAGAGGTTAAGAAATTTAGGTTTCAACCTAGATAAAGCTGAATAGGTGTGAATGAAAAGATGAAATGTCATGTAAGATGCTGTCGGTTCCGGATGGCTGCCTCAGCCCTCCAGTTGACCATACTTTCAACATCTAGGAAAATGTGACCACGGTATAGCTTTGTGCAGTATTTTGTAACATATTTTCAAGAAGATGGCCTTTTGTCATAATAGCCTAGCTGAGGTGGAATTTTGGTTATTGGGCGAAGAGCACCAGCGGAAATGCTCGACTTAGACTTAGCTAAAGCTGTACCATACACGATTCCATCGTAATCGCAGTAATGACGATGAAAGGTCACTACGACCAAAGGCACACGGCAAGATCCTTTGAAGTAGGTGATCACGTACGGAGTATACCTATATATAAACCAGGGATTGTCATACCACTGGCAATCCTTCCAAAGTACGGGCCCTAATATGCCAGCCGCTTCCAAACACACGAACGAGTACTCCGTAGGAAGGTCAACGAGATGGACATTCCACATCATTGCCACATCTACCCTGTCATCTTTATGAATCACCTCGCGAAGATCTGTCATGAAACTAGGGTTTGGTTCCGATATCCCTCGTCCTCATCACTGCGAATTGCCGAGGCAGCTACGTTGCGTACCGACATACGCTTCTGCCCTGAATAACCCCGACAATACGCGGAAGCTGTGAGATAGGATCTCTATTTCGTAATATGTTGAATGGGAATTACATAACTCGCCGTGCACTACGGATGTGGCCTGCCGTGATGATGCTCAATCCTCCTGGACACGGACCACGGCCAACAAGGCGCGCCCTTCAAGGTATCTTTATGCACTCTAAAGCACTCTGCTAATGGGATCACCATATTAGTTGCATCATGCAAAGTTGTCTGAGCGTCAGCGGGTACTTGGTGAGATACCTAGTACGTTGAAAATTTTCACTTTACCTTGCGTTCTCAAGATAGACACTTGTCTGTCACTCCAACAGAATGGTCGCACTTGGCATCATCCAACAACAGTTATGCAGTAACGTTGAGCTCACATGGCAGAATTCACGTATGAAATCCTCCGAGGTCATAATGGGAGATCGCCTTGGGTTGTAGGTGGCTCGCCGTTGCCAAGAAGTATTCACAGCATTGACCACGACAGAAAGCTCCGCTGACGGAGCAACTACGTGTTTAACGCGGTGTATCATGAGACGCTTACATGCTGGATGCATAGATTGAGGCACTGTTACAAATAAGCGTTATTAAGATGCTAGATTCGTGCCTTGTTCTCCTATTCATTTAATCACGCGTAGGCGCCTAGGAGACCGACCGAAGCTCAACTCAGAATGGCCTGCATGTTGAGTTACGACAATGTATTGAGTGGCTTTCAGCTTTCAGGGATGCCATATATTGCTATTGGTTCTAAAAATATTGGTGGATGGGCTAGGTCATGCTTGAATATGCAGGCTGTTGTACTACATTGAGTGAAAAGGGGCAAAGGACACACTCCTTCAAGCCTCGACAACACAGGTCCCTCGGCTATTCTAGAGCCAGCTGAATGAAAGCTGAATGAATAATGAATAGAATGGTGGTTTGATTATTAAGCTCGAGTCCGCGGAGGAAGTGATTCCTCAACAGTTGATGGCAAAGCAGGTTGGTGCAACCGGAGAAGCGGGCCATGAATAAGACGGTGCGACGGCCACGGCTCTGGCGGCCTACACATGTAATCTGGGCACCACTAGATTAGCATCATATATCATGTTGTCTCGGCACAGCGAGTATCCAGCCTGTGGAACAAGTATGAAGTAGATTCTGTTAACGAAGCTGCGGGCTTCCTGCTGAGAGCCGAGCAATGGATTTTTGGGTGAGGCTTTGTCTACTAGCGGATCAAGACGTGGTCTGGATCGTCAACGTTGACGCCGCACCGATAGATACTCTTGTGATATGAGTTACAGAGCAACCAAGAGGATTCGATAGTCGACCGGTTCCACGTGGCTGTATTGGATTTAAGCGACATTCTATTCCAATGCTAGAAAAGAAGCTTTTGAGCAAACCTGCCAGATCCGCCATCTCGGCAAACAGAACAGGGATAGTGTATTGTTTGTCAAGACGCCATTCTGTAGTAAGGTAGTGGACGTGTACAGTAAGTACAGTATTTTGCGAATTGGGCCGAATTTAAACGAACAGCCGTCGATATGCGGCATCGCCGAGATGGGCAGGGGAGACGAAAGATTGGCGCTCTTTTGATGCGTGTTGGTTTTGGGGTTCTATTTTGGCGGGCGCCTTTTTGCTTACATGTCCATGTGCACTCCCGTACGTGGCTGCAGCCTAAGACCGATGCCGTCTGTTTTATCCAGATGGCGGGTCGTTGCTGTTGATATGGTGGCAAAGGATTAATTGAGTCTATCTTCTCTTAATTTACTGGTACTATTTGGGACTTTGCGATTTTTTGATGTCGTCCCTGAAAGAACCACACAGAGACGGACCCCGGATTTGCTCCGCGTATTGCTTGGCTGCTGGGCTGCTTGGCATAAAGTGAATCGGAGATGCGGGCTGATTATTGCTGCGGCTTCAAGACTCCAATTGGAGAGACTCGGGCGAGTAAAGGCCGAGTCAATTTTGGCGCCGGCAGATGAAGATCTGCTCCCCGCTTCTTGGCTGGCTTAGAAGAACTCATGGAAATAATTGCGAAAAAAAAAGAGGCAGTGGGAAAACAAGCTTGAAGTCAGCCACCACGCGAACGCTAACGTAGTTTTTGTTGGATCTTGTCGGACCAAGGCAACTATCGCCGTTAGTTAATCTTTCTTCCTTTTCGGACATTAGTAATGGGAGCAACAGCTTCTGCCTGGTCTGTTTCTTTTCCATTTCTTCTTGTTCGTTTCATTTCTGTTGTGCTGCTCAACGTTATTGGTAACTTGGAAGGAAAAAAAAAAAAAAATTCTGCTCGGTCAGATCACAGTCCTGCTCGTGCTCGCTCGTCCACATCATCATACAGTGACAACTTGCTCACTCTCACTTCCAATGTAGAGGCCCCGAGGCGGCCCTCGGACATATTTCGTCCCTGTGCTCCCGACTTCCGTCCCATGAAGCATGAGATTTGGCTGCAGCCATCCAACAGACAGGCGGGAGCGCGGCCACAACGTGGCATGGAAGGGGGTTGCACACAAACCACGGGTCCCGTATAGCCAATTAACTTTGACGCCAGCTTTGAACAAGCATATCGAGTGTCTACACAGAATCTGGGCTTTTCTCTTTACTCGTACTGACTTACTCGCAAGCGCAAATTAGCACGTTGCGCTTAAAGCCATCGCTTATCTTAGTGGCGACGGCGGCGGCGTGGGGTAAATGGATCAATAGCTTCAGCTCCCGCTTTGTTTTTTCGAAGTCTCTTGATTCATGTCATGCAGACAGTTGAGGACAAGCATGGACATGGACATGGACATGCATCTTGCGCGGCTCTTGCTCATCTTGGTGCAACTGTGACATCAGCCAGATTCCCGTTCCCGATCGCCATTCGGGTGCTTCGGAAACGGCCTGCTGAAAGAAGCAAAGGATGAGCAGTGACTGGACATGGACTGGAGACAGCAGCAGCATGAATCGTGCCAAAGAGCCTTGCAACAAGCCCAACAAACGCTTCTTCACACTCTCGATGCGCTGATTGGGCCGAGAGCGATCCAAGTGACTCTGGTCTAGGCCTCTTGGGGGCCAGGGCTTGATGGAACGAAGATTCTACGGCTTCTGAGCTATGGCGCATTGGGCCAAATGGCGAACTGCCCCTGCCTGATTCTCGTGGCCTGCTGCTCTGCCTGGCGCTAGGAAAAACGTGCTGCTGGAGGCGATATGTTGTGTGCGGTGTGCTGTAATATCAGCAATAGTGCGAGCACGGTGAAAACACCCGGGTTACATCGCGGCCTCTGCTTCGGCCCATGAACATTCCAAGTCGACAAGGCCTGGAGCTTGGGCCTCACACCAGACGTGACAAGAGATGAACGAGGTAGCTCTCTGCCAACCAAATAACACTATCCCTTCACATGTGTACGAGTAACGTACAGGTACAATCTCAACCCGACTCGAGGCAGGCAAATCCCCTCGTCTTCCTCTCGTCCGTCGCCATCGGTAATCGTCTGGGGGAAGAGAGTGGAGAGTTCAAACTGGCATCGGTTATAAGCCCCACAGACAAACTTCTCCATGGTCACTAACGCCTTAGTCCAAAAACAAGGATGCACATCAGTTTGGGGTCAAGGCGGAGCTGATGGAGAACAGCCGGCATCAACAGCCACTTATGACGGAGGGCCCTGTCTGTGGTGAGGGGGGCGCCCGTACTCCAATCCTCGTTGATTCGGTCCAAGAACCAGCCCCGTCATGTCATGGAACTTGTCAGCAGCATAAGGCACGCAGAGGGAGACGGATTGGGAAAGACTCATTACTCGGATCACAGAGTGTCGCTACAACTGGTGGCGTTTTAACCGCCGCTATCCTACCGCGGCTCGAGCTTTGTCCACTTGGTTGGCACCAACACCAAGATCCCAGACCGACCATCGGTGACAAACCGAAGTGTGTAATTGCAATATCATTCGGATTGGGAAACGCCCAGCAAAGACGTTGTAACTGTACGGTGACCGCTGCTTACCGCTAGGCAGCAGACACAGTTGATACGACAGCGGGTATGTGCGGAATATGCACGAGATATCTTCAAGAACCCGCGCCGGTTGGGTGGGAGCCAAAACACCAAGAACTCTCTCTACTCTGTATTCTGTATCCGTACCTCGTGTCGGTCCGCTGCCCCAGAAAGAGATGATAGCGACGGCCTTCCGTGACCCGCCAAGCTCCCCTTATCATGGCCATGCCGGACCCAACTTCTCCGCATGGCCTATCATCCTGGCCATTCTTCCTTACTCGTGCATCCTTGAGCTAAACTTCTGGGCCTCTCTCCCCGCATCATGATCCCTGCCTAGCTCTTCGTTTTTGGATACCATGGTCGTCGTCGTCACACCCACCCCCAGCCTTTTCCTCGCACCTCTTTGATCATACAGCCTTGCCTCAATTGGCTTACATACTGCATACCACATTCATTCCCGACCCTTGATTCGGGCTTTGGCTCCTGAAATTGCGGATCCCCCCGTCGTGTACTGTACACCCAAGTCGTACCCTACATTGATGCTACTCTACACGCATGCTAATGCCACGAGTATATATGGGCCGTTGCTAACATACATCAACTCCCGCCCTATCCTCCGAAATTCTCCTTGTCCCTCCCTCTCTTCTTCCCCGGGATCGGTTTACGGTATCCGAAAGGGCGCTCCAGTTCCTGTCAGTCTCCCATTTTGTATAAATCGCTTAACAAGTCCAGAGACCCGGTGGTTGCCGCCCGTCTTGTCTAAGACTTTTGGATCAGCAGCACAGGGACCCCAAAAGGTGTTTTCCCTTTCGTCCAAGGCCACACCACCCCTCTCCAATTTCTGTCTTCTTCTTCTTTTTTCTCGCTTAAGGCCTGTGAGAGGTTGCGGCTCCTCATTGTTTGTCTTTTTCTGTAAATCATAGTTTATTTTTCTTTTTTTATTTCCTTTTTATTCTTATTGTGGAGGCTTTCTGTTTTGTTCAAAAAAAGATTCTGCCCATCATGAGCGACACGGAAAAGGTGCCGGTCGCAGACAACATCTCGAATTCCGAGGTCGAGCAGATTGCCATCGAGCATGACCAGATCATAGACCCCGATGCGGGCTTGTCTGACGAGGCGAGGGCAGCAAATGTGAGTTTTTCTTTTCTCTTGTTCGCTGTTGGGGCTTCATGAAAGGCATTGTGAGGATGACATTTACTGACGGGTATGGCTTCACAGGAACGGCGATTGCTACGAAAGCTAGACTTGGTCCTCATCCCATGGGTACGTTCTTTTTCCCGCTGTGCCCTGAAACGCAACCGGAAATCCCGAGTCGCTAGCAATCACGGGCGCTTGATACAACGGCCAAGCTGCTAACAATTGGTTCCCCCAGCTCACGCTTCTGTATCTCATGTGCTTCCTCGATCGCACAAACATCGGCAACGCCAAGGTGGCCAACCTCACCAAGGACATTCCCATGTCGACGTCTCAGTACAATGCGTCTCTCACAATCTTCTTCATCTCCTATGCCATTTTCGAGGCTCTGGCCAATTTCTTGCTCAAGAGATCCCGCCCCTCCATCTTTATTCCCGTCATCATGTAAGTGACCAAATACAGCCGCCAATTACCGTGTTCCTCGGATTTGTTGAGCAATCTAACAACGAAAAAAACAGCATCGTTTGGGGCGCATGCATGCTTGGAATGGGCTTTGTCAAGAACTGGTCTGGCCTCATGGCCGCGCGATGGTTCCTCGGCGCCGCCGAGGCCGGCTTGTTCCCCGGTGTCAACTACTACCTCTCGTGCTGGTATAAGCGCAACGAATTCGGTGTCCGCGCTGCCATCTTCTTCTCTGCCGCCGCGTTGGCCGGTTCCTTTGGAGGTCTCCTTGCGGCTGCCATCGAGAAGCTGGACGGCAAGCGAGGCATCGCTGGATGGGCCTGGATCTTCATCATCGAGGGTGCATTGACCATTCTCGTCGGCGTCCTCTCCTTCTTCTTCGTGCACGACTTCCCCGATGAGGCCAAGTTTTTGTCTCCGGAAGATCGTATGCGTGTGCTGTGGCGTCTTAAGCAGGACAAGCAGAGCTCTGCTGAACACGAATCCTTCAAGATGGAGTACTTCTGGGCCGCCGTCAAGGACTGGAAGACGTACGCTGGCATGCTCATCTACATGGGCCCCCTTATGCCTCTGTACTCTTTCAGTCTGTTTTTGCCTTCCATCATCCAAAACATGAGCTTCACCACCAAGACTGCAGTCATCAGGAACCAGCTGCTCAGCGTGCCACCCTATGCCGTAGCTGCCGTTGCCACTGTTGCAGCAGGTCTGTGGTCCGATAAGGTCAAGAAGAGAGCCATTTTCAACATTTGCATCTCACTCGTGGGCATCGCCGGCTTCATCATGCTGATGGCGTCGACCAACCCTGGCGTGCAGTACGCTGGCACATTCCTGGGAGCGCTGGGCATCTACCCATGTATCCCCATCACCATTGCCTGGGTCGCCAACAACGTCGAGGGTGTCTACAAGCGCGGTATCGTGCTGGGCTTCGTCATTGGATGGGGCAACATTAATGGTGTTGTGAGTAGCAACATCTACTTCCACGCTCCGCGCTACCTGGAGGGCCACGCCACCATCGTCGGGTACATGTTCATCGGCGTGTTTTGCGGAAGCATCTTGATGGCTACGCTGCTCAGCCGAGAGAACAAGAGGCGACTGAATGGTGAGAGGAACCACTGGATCGAGGGCAAGACGCAGAAGGAGATTGAGGCACTGGGCGACATGCGCCCTGATTTCATGTACGTCCTCTAAGTGTTGGGGGGGAAAGGTGCATTTTTTTTTTTTTTTGCTTTATCAGTCTCCGTTTTTTTGAGAGGCCTTTTTCACGATTATGTCTTTTGGAACGCGCGAGTGAACAGCCAGTTCGCTGAGGAGGTGTGGAAGAGTTGACATGAACATTGGTTGATTAGGGAATTTTGGGACCTGGGAAATCACGTCTTTGGATACCACTACATTTTTTGGACATCTTGTCGGATTATGAATGTATGGAGTAGAACCCTAGAGCCTGTTTTTGTCCTTGTTTGACGACGATGTGTACATAATATTTGTGCAGATGAAAGAGGGAGGCATCATGCGTCAAAAAGCATTCTACATGGTTGGCGGCGGCAATGGGACAAGCGTTTTACGAGAGTGAATCTTGCATGTTGATATCGCTGGCTATGTAATACCCCTGTGACTGACTTTGTATGCGAGGGCTTCCCAACATACGCGATGATTTGATCACGAGAGCAATCGTGGATGCTTTGGGGGTATCCGTGCTTTTGGAAGGAATGTCGGTGCCTGGAGGATTTGTTGCCAAGAAATGCTGTACTTGGATGTGAGTAAAGGCTTTGAGAGGGGTAGGATTTGAGGTAGATGATGAGGATGGAATGGGGGGGATGCATGTTGTTTAATCTATTTAAGATTTATTGTTGGTTATACCAGCAGGAGAAGTAAATTGCTGTGCGAGTGTTAAGGTAGAATCACCACCCATGGATCTTATTAAGTAAAGTCGGTAAGCGTTGACTAACTTGTGACACCTGGGTCACTACAGATAGGAGAGGGATCAAGACTTGTAATTAAATTATTCTACTCTTTTATATTGTTACTTTTTGGGATATTGTCTTTTTGGTTGAACAAAGTGTGTTTGGATCAAGAAATGGATGCGGAGTGAGAGGGGTCACGTGACTTGGGCCGAGTGGTATGGCGCTATGTTTAGCTAACAAATTCGACGAACAAAGGCGACTTTGGCCGGGTCGGATAGGCGCTATGTTTAGCTCAAAAATTCGACGCCGGATTCGTGGCCGGAGAACAAAGGCCGTTGGTTCGAGAAAGATGAGCAAGGATACCCGCATCATGCAGCAAGTACCTAGTAGCTTTGCGCATTCCTAGCCACGGGACTAACATGTACACCACCTTTCTTCTCCGATTTACAAAATGTGTAGGGTGGAATACGAGTACATCTACGGCAATTGGCTGGTTGGTTCTTAAAACATCTCCGAGAAGAAACGAGGCTGCCCACGAGGAGACAACGTTGGAGGCTGGAATCTTAGCCTTTGGAACTAAAAGACCAACACCATAGATTCGAGACCCCATTCGACCCCACTGCCACTGACAGACGTGGCTTAAAAAGAGCGGGTTTCGATTTTCTAATCCAGCTTTATTGTAACGGTTGGATTTCTCCACTTGCCGCATCTTTGGGTTGGATCCTTGGGGTATGTAATAAAGTTGAGAAGTGGTGGCATTGTTTGGAATCCGGGAGTTTGGGATGGCGCTGACAAAGTATCAATGGCTTGGCTTGGCTTTTTCTTGGGCATTTGCTAAATGGAGTCGCTGAAGGATCAAAGAGGAAAAAACTGCTCCATCTGGATCAACCCCTTGGCGGTTTGCGACTGGAGGACAAGGTGTGACGCTGAAGCCGTTTTTTTGATGAGAATAAGTGTCTTGTCTCGGGATGCACGCTGCCTTTGATGCTTGGCCCGTGTCTCTCGCTCTCTCCGTTGAGTTGTATGATTAAGCGTTTACAATTGAGGCTGTGTTGTGTTGTGCTTTTCGGTGCATGAATGTCATTGTTCTTCGTTACGCTCTTTGTTCCGGTATGTATGTATGTATGTCTTTGGCTGCATTTGGTGGTAACAATTGGTATAAGTGTTGGCTGGTGTCTGCATAAAGTAGACACGATAGTCACTGCAGCAGCAGTATGATTGCATGTAAGACGAATGGCTCTGCATGTCGTATAGGCAATATAATCTAGTAAAACAGAAATTGACCCCTGACGAGAGCGGGCACAGGCACCCTCTGGAATTCGGAGAAGCAGAACCAGAAGAATGAACGAAGATGCACGTTGGCGGGTTGAGGCAGATGGGCGTGGCGCTAAGGCTGGGCACAAACGCCCGTCCGTGCTGCTACGAGTCCATCTCGAGAATGGGCCCGTTTTCTGGATTGGGACAAGTCGCCCGCCTTGTGAGTGGCGACTTCGTTTGGCTCGCCTGAGAGAACTGGTGTAGAGACTAGAATTACCTAGAACCAGGACTATTGACTCTCTCTCTACTCGAGGAGGTCTATGGGTTTGGGCATCAATCGATCAATATGTGTTGTAATTTGTAGTGTCGTGGTGGTACCTGCGTCTGTCCTGTCTTGTGTGTAAGTGCAATAGAGGGACAACAACGTACATACTGTATCACCGCCATCGCCAGCAAATGGGAACAGACAAGAAGCGTTGGTCCATTGTGTGTTTGTGTTGCCTCTCATTCTTTGTCCTGCATCTGTGCGATGACGCAGCCGCTTCTGGCGATTGAGGTGAGGGGCAGCGACTGCAGGCGATCCCATCTCACTCACGCCCGCCCTCCAATCCAGCGCTGACCGGCTATCTGGTGTTGAAACTAACCGTCTAGTCCTGCGGCTGACAACCATCGTCTGCCATTTGAGTTTCTGTCTTGTATCCGGACGGCTGGAAGACACTGTGTGTCGTTTTATTTCTCTCTGTTTCCTTCATTTACCTCGGGTCTTGTGGTAAACCCTTTTGGAATCAGAATCACAGTTGTGATGCCGCCGTCGACTCGCATCGCCTTGGGCAGAAGCCGTCACGATCCGATCGATTGACACCAGCAACTCTCGGACTGAAGAACCGCCGAGCTTCTCCAACCGCCGCGGCCGCATGCAGCTGCTGTGACACACGCAACATTTTTTTTTTCTTTTTCGTGCGGTTGCTTTGGGGCTGTTGCTGTTATTCTCTCTTCCAACTCGTTTTTCTGATACTCGGATTCATCCCTGCTTGTAGCTTTTCGGTCTCAGGCTCGGTCTCGGGCCCAGCCTCTGGCCCTGCAAAGAGGCGAGGGCTTCGGTGTCGGCCACTCCTCTACTTTCGTACTTTTTATTCTTAATTGCTCAAATCCTTTTTTAATTTAATTTCAAGGGCAGCATGTAACGAAATCCCCCCCCTCCGAAAACAGAGAGTCCGTTCGCCTCGTTTTTTCTTCTTTGTGTCTGTCCTACCGCATAGCTCCTGGCTGTTCGGTCTGGCAGCCACCACCAGCTGGCAGCATCCTTTGATTCTTCTTTTGCACGGCCGTTTTTTCTCCTGCCTTGGGGGGCTTCACTTCTGTTTTCGTCTCTTCTTTTCTCCATTCATTGTTTCATCCGACACCCTCTTCTATTCCTCTGCCTTCTTATTTCTCTCTTCTCCTCATCTCCCCTTCCTCGGCGACATCTCTCGATCTCGAATCTGGTGGTGCAACAAATCTTCTTCCTCCTCCTCCTCCTCTTCTTCTCTGCCATCTTTCTCTTCCTCTTCATCTTCTACCCACTTCTCCCGCACATGCCATCGCCTCTCACAGCTTCCTTGGCATATCGCGTCGAGCCACCATGGCGGCCAATCTAACCATAGATGCCACTGCGGTCGATGGCGAGCAGTTGACTCTCCACCAAATCCACACGCTCGTCATCGTCGAGCGAATCGGCGGCTGCCTCAGCTTGGTTTCTGTTATGCTCATTTTCCTCGCCTACTGGCTGGTTCGACGAGTGCGCAACGTGCAAAACACCTTCATCGTCTTTGCCAGCATATCAAATGTTGGAGCCAGTATTGCAAGCATCATCGCCTTTGCTGGCGTGAATGCTGGCCAAAAGAGTGCCCTTTGCCAGGCCCAGAGCTTCATGTTTGAAATGTGAGTAAACGCTTGTTGGAGAGGGAAACAAGCAAAGATAAGACTAACCGTGGACATTCTGGACAGGTTCATGCAGTCTGACCCTTGGTGGTCCTTAGCCATGGCCATCAACGTCTTTCTCGTCTTTTACTTCCACACAAACCCCGACTCGTTTCGCAAGCGCTGGTGGATTTACTGCTTGATCTGCTATGGAGGGCCTTTCGTCATTGCCTTGACTCTCCTCCTCCTTAGAAGCCCGCGTGGCCGTGTCTACGGCGGAGCTACGGTGAGCATCCTCGCTTCTTGTTGTTTGATGCCCTTTTTTGACTAATCATCGTCATTGTGTAGATCTGGTGTTGGGTCGACAAGGAGTGGGACTTTATTCGAATCTACACGTACTATATGCTAATCTGGATATGTATCGTTGGCTCTCTCCTCTGTTACTTCTTGGTTGGATGGCATGTCTTTCGCATGCGAAACCGGCTACGAAGCTTTTCCACATCAAAGAACAGAGAAAAAGACAAAGATGTGGAGCCGGTACGTTGTTTAACTACTTCTCTATGATTATTTCAAGCTGACGTTGATTATGACTTGCAGGGCCAAGCAGACGCAGCACAGAATGGGTGCTACGGCACCGTCACCACCGAAGTTCAAGTCACGCATACTCCCGCCAACACTTTACCCCCCGAGCCTCAGCCTGCCTTTATCCAACAAAACAACAGGCAGGTTTCGTTCGACAACTCAACCACCGAAATCCAGCCCTCTGGCGAAAACCAGTACTACTCCTCTGTTACAACCTCTCCACCTCAAGAGGCTCCTCCTAAGCCTTCCCTACTACATCGTTCTGTGGCTGCCACCCGAGCCGTCACTGGCAAGTTCCACATCAGCGATCCTGTCAAGAGAGCATATTTGAGGACGAGCTTCTTGTTCGCGCTAAGTGTGCTGGCCACCTGGATCCCCAGCAGCCTGAATCGTATCCACGGCTGGCTTGATGGAGGATCGCCCTACCCGTTCCACCTCGCAACAGCGGCCGTCCTGCCCCTGCAAGGATTGTGGAACGGAATCATCTTCTTCGTCACCAGCTGGAACCCTATCAAGGCATGGGCGCGCGAGAAGCTCAAAGGCGGCGCCACGAAGGTTGAGCGTCGCAATACAGACGACCTTGCCATGAACGAGCGAATGACTGCTCCGCTGGGACGATGCGAGTCTTTTATAGATGACGGAGATTCCGCGACTATCGGAAGCGATGTCGAGCTGAGACGCGTGGCCAACTTAGGGGCCAAGACCTCTCACTCCTTATAAGAGGCGATTTAGGGATGCAGAAAGACGCTGGAGTTGACAGAGTCTTGGCCCTTTCTGTCCTTTCGCCCCAACTGCTTTTTCTATTATATTACGGAAATGTACGAACATGATTAAGCGATAATAAGCCAGCAACTGCGAATTATTATTGATTTTCTTTTTATCCCATGCTTGCCATCTGATCCGGAGATACAGGTTTATGGTGTGGATATGTGGGTTATATACTCGAAATTGAGGGCGGCGACTGTCTCGTGCAGAACGGCAGTCCCACGAGGCTGCAAAGGTTTACACGTATATATCTACGTAGGACATTGTTATGTAGCTAGAACGCCCTGTCGGCGGATTGACCGACGATTAACTAAATGATCATGATACTGTTCAAACTTCTTCAATACTTGATGTAGTGATACTACTTTACATAACATATGTATGGTTCACGAAGCCTCAAAATGATTAAGCCAATATTTGGTATTTGACGACAACCGTCTATAGTATATAATAAGAAGATCATGAAGACATTTATAACTCCGTCGGTGAAGTCGGCCGTGATTCATTTCTTCATTCCCCATTCCCATTTCATACCTATTCCCCGTTCCCAGCCAAGTATCCCATATCGTATATCATATCACATCTCCGGATATCGTTATAACCCATAAACAAAAGAAAAGAAAGGAGGACCACACAAAATGGCCCAAGAACAAAAGAAACGTCGTAGCTTGTGTCTGTGTAAGCGTACTGTGACTAATTTATATAGGTGAAAATGAATAATTGTTGGTCTTTTCTTTTTCTTTTCTTTTGAAGACAACGTACAAGTTCAAAGTTTGTATTTGTCTGTTGCGCGTTTTCTGTCTCGTTCGCCGTTTTGGTAGGCAGAAGCTGCCAGTGTCTGTTGTACATGTTCTTTTTCTTACTTGTTTTTGTATAATAGTTTGCCTTTTATTCATGTGTGTTCAGCACGCGGGCTGGATACCTATATAGTGATGAAGAAGTATTTCTTAAATCGTCATCAGTCGGTATCAAAGAAGCTCTCCTCTGGGTGTGGCATTCTCAGATTGACAAGCCCCATGACTTTGCCATCCATCCTCCACACACTCCTTTCGTAAAAGTGCCATAGCGAGAGGACAAATATTGTGATGGCGACTTGTACCGTTCCGAGGCCTATTACGAGAGCCTTGAGACCTCCGGCCTTGGGTATGACGTGGGGTACGGTGAGGACGAAAGCGCCAGCTAAAAGGTTTCGTAGGATGATTACCCATGAGTGCATATCGCCTACGCTTCGCTGTGCTGTGGCCATGCTTGACGCGGTGAAGGATGCTGATCGAGCGAGAAGAGGGCGTGCGGTAGCTTCTAGAGTTGAAGCGCCGGCTGCGAGAAGCCCGAGTTGTAGAGATAAGAGGGGGAGATTAAGCTCATGCGCTGCTTCGGGGGTGAGAAAGGTTGTGAGCGTCTCGTTGGATGATGAAGATGACGATGAAATGAAACTGCCTGTATTTAAACCGAAAGAAATGAGACCGATAAGGGCCAGGAGCGCGCCGCCGGCAATGGTGAGGCTGCTGACGCATCGTGTGAAGCTCTGGTTCGCTGAGCGGTAATAGCAGATGCCAGCGACAATTACGATTGCGAGTATCCAGGGACCTGTCAAGAGAGTTCCGATGATGCTCGGATGAAGGTTAAACGGTGATGGCGAGAGTAAGAGAGACAAGGAAGCAACTAAGCCCCATAGCATACAATGAGGTAGTGCCGTGACAAGGAAGACGAGTGAAGTAGTAGGAGCAGCAAGAGCTCGTGGGGACTGAATCGAGTTTAAGAGAATATTTTCTCCTGTGAATGACCATGGCTTCATCTCTTTGACGTAGTCGATGGCAGAGTCTCTGCTAAGCTCGATATGGGTCTGCTGAGGTTCCCATGGAAATGTGAAGCTGAGTACCGGAGTCGTTGCAATCGCAGCTTTAGAGCGGTTAAAGGCAGTCTCGGGCGCCATCAGAGCCAGCATGGGAATAGCAACGGCGAAAAGTGCGCTGAGTATGCGATATTGGGTAACAAAAGATCCAACGCGATAGGAGATGACGCCGCCCAAGAGCGGCGATGCCCAAGTCATTGTGACAGTAAGGATCGTATACAGAGACACACGGAGGTTCCTTTCATGTTCCTATCCCACAATAGGGTCAGTATGTGTCTTTGCAGCATAAAGGGCAAGATTTGATGTGACTAACATAAAAAGTATCCTGTATAGTCTCCATCAGCAGAGTGTCAAAAGCACCCCAACCGAGTCCTTGCATGACCCGAGCGCCCATACACGAGCCGTAGCTAGAATCTGCTGTCATGTTCCAGATGCAGCCGGCAAAGACAAAGGCCGATGAGACGAGATAGACTGGTCGCTTTCCTACCAGCTTCGCTGCCATGGAGCTAACAAAGCCGGCAATGGCCGAAACCATCAAGGGCGCAGCCGTCAAAGCGGCAACCCAGGTATAGGAAACCTGGTATCGAGTAGCGACAACATCATTGACAGCAACAAGAGCTGTCTTCATTGCGCCTATCAGGCTAGCCATGAAGAGTAGGGATGCCAAGTTCAATTCCTTCTTCCATTGAGGCCAATTCTAGTAACGAACACACACGTTCAGCCTCTTGACCCTTAGTACAGGTAAGCAATGTATAGCAACTTACCAGAGGATCTTGTGGATCATCGCTTGGTTGTGGCACCAATTCAACGTGAGAAAACTTTCCGGTTCCGTATTTGATCGGCTTGTGTGGACGGAATGTTAGTGAGGTAAATGAGTTCTTTTTAGTTGATCCAGTGGTCGGCCTGGGAGATCCAATGGTAAACGTTGCTGTCCGTGATTTGCATGATGAAGGAGACGTCGGGAGAGGCGGTAAGGGCACAGTAGGAGGCATGGATGGCAAGTCGAGCGTTTTGAGGGCGGACCTGAGCGAGTGGACGGATGGTGGGCGTGTTGAGCTGCTCACGATTCTGATACTCGTGGGATCCATGGCGAACGATTTTCCTTTGCTTGCTTGGCAGTGTTGCTTTGTACTTGGTTGTAGGTTGATATATTTGCTTTTGTTGGTTACGTTATTTGCAAGTGAGCGTGGGTTATTGAACGCGAGGCCAGCTCAGTCATTCAATGACGAATGTGATGTGAGCGTAAGTGGGATCGATCCCATTGGGTAAAGAGCGAGCGCATATCTATTTGTGCCGTGTACGACGAAGGGGCTTGACGCGACGGTGGGCCTTTTGACAGCTCCGAGAGTACGGCTCCGGAGTTATACTAGATAATACACTTGAGCCAAGAACCCAGCATGACGCGGGTTTGGCCAGTCGGAAGCTTAGGCAGGGGGGAGCAGAGCAAGAGGGGAGAGAGGATGGTACAAGCCACCCGGTGAGGCTGCCTTGCATGGGTAGAGTTTGATGGTCTGTGGATCTGGGCTTACACACATAAACAGGCGTGGGCGTGGAGTTGAGAGGGCGGTATAAGACAAGAGGAGATACACAGGACGGACGAGACAGGCGGTTGAAGGTGGGGGGAAGAAGGCCAAGACAAGGGAGAGGGCTAGACCCTTGAGATGTTGGGACGCAGAGCATAGATGAGAAGCCAGAAGCCACACAGCCATCTTACAACCAGAAGAAAACCCAACACCGTCATCGACTCGTTGATAGCGGCATCTATAAGAGCTGAATATGCACAGTAACGGGGCCCGGCCAAGGAAGGCCCTGGTCATGCTGGCTGCAGGAGAGGCCCGTGGGCCTACGGCTTAGCCATTGTGAAGGCACAGACAAACGCGGATCTCATTGTGCGAGCTTTGGCTGCGATGGCGATGATCCAAGTCGTGCGTGTACAAGTATCGCGACGCCGATCTGACAGAAATATGACGGCTGGAGTTGGACTGCAGCGGCAGAATCTATCACGGACGGCGGGACAAGATTGAGTCAAGAGATGCCGTGTTTCTGCCCGTCTTCCCCTCGTGTCTCAGTGCCGGGATGGCGAGATGAGGACAAGACAAGCCTGTTTTTCTCGTCTCCATCAGACTGTAACGAAAGGGACAGTTAGTTAGTTAGTCGTCAGAATACATGGCCAACACACTCACTTTCGTAGGTACAGAATTTCCACAGACGGAGGGATAGAGAGATTCGGCCACCTGCTGAAGGGATGTGAGAGAGGCTGAAAGATGGCCAGAATGGAGCTCAAGCTTTGGGTTCGGGCCCCTGTCGAGTCCACTTCGTGTCCCCCTGGCTAGGGCAATCCAGGTACCGCTACCAAGACTGCTAGTGCCTGACACTACTGCCGATGCGTACTAGCTACCTGCTCTGGCTGGGGGCTCGGACGCGGGCTGAACAGTGGAGTCTCGAGTGCCGGCAGAAGTCTTCCGGGAGGATCCTTTAGGGGGCTTCTTGTCGTTGTAGGGGGAACAGATGTTGCGTTTAGAGCCTGAGGGGTTGGTTGAATGGATGATTGATGGGAGTACAGTAGCGGTGATTGGTGGTGTAGTTGTAGAGAATATATGCTGTTGCTGTTGTACGGCCGAGTCACCGGATCGTGTTACGACAGGGCCATATCTCGTCGTACCTTGCAGAGTGCTTACAAGTACATGTTAGATACTAGCGCACTTGCGGGTAAATGCAGGTAGAGAATTGATGGACGGGACAGCTGCGTCTTTGGCTTCCGATCCTTCAGCTGCAACTGCAAAAGCATCAAGAGAGCTGAAAGAAGCAGCCACTCAACATCCATCACAAGATAGAGTAAGCCGTAACATGCAATACTAATCTATTTTATACCATTATCAATTTTTTACACAAACAAGCAAGCCAACCGTGTAAGCCCTGCCTCAACGGCGGGTGCCTTCGGAGCCGCACCTCGTGTTCTTCCCCTGCATCTCTTCCTCTTACTATCGTCATGGTGCATACAAGCACGTTCGAGGACATGAACTTAGCAGCACTGCCGAAAACCCGGATGCTACCTGGCCGGTGCTTTCTTTTTCCCTCTCACCGATTATATAGTTGCGTTTGCTCTCGTGTTGTGGCTTGCATATGGCCCTGGTCTAGCTGGCAGACCCTGTTCACACACCAATCAGGCTTTGACCTTATTGCTGCAAGTCGGTAAGTTTTGCCACGAGGCAGGGTCTAGGTTGATCTGATAGCGAAAACCTTCTTAAGTTTCAAGCATGATATAGTCCCTGCTCTTTTGTCGGCAGATGATACTACTAATCGCATAGGCTATATGCATCCTTATCCAACATTGCACTTGGTACCTGCAGGATGCGTTGTCTCATGAATCGCTTCGGATATAACCCGTGATGCTCTTAGTGAGGCTACCCTACCGTCTTTATCTTGATAGTAGCTTTCAGCCCTGTCAAGCGGTGACGATGATGCATGCACTTGCTTGTTACGATGTGATATCACGGCGCACCATTCAGGTATGCACTACACAATGGAGAATTTGGAATTCTCCGGCGCCTATCACTGTCGCACGAAGAGATTGTGCAGCCTATGATGTCGCAAATACATATACAAGCTTGCATGGAGCACTCTAATCACAGCGTAGAGAAATACTCCCAACAGCCAGAGCCCAACGCCTCTAACCTGCAGCGTGAGAAAATACGAGCCTACGTACATGTAATTTTGAGACACGGAATAGTAAAAGATAGCAGCAAAAAGAGCCAAAGAATACATGTCCTTTGCCTGCGCCTCCTTGTTCCGTGCTAATGCACCTCGGCTTACACTATCACCAGGCCATGTCCAATATCACATCTCGGTCAACATGCCGTGTCACCCTACAGCGGAGCAATTCCAAAAAAGAGAAGAAAGAAAGAAAATTTCTCATCAATATATTTTGTAGCCAGTCAATGATGGTCTTGATTATCTGCTCCACTCTATTACGCTCCCAATGCTTCTCATTTGTTAGTAGAGGCTCAGCTCTGTCACCGCCAGAACGGATCCCCGTTCCCAGGATCCTTCTCGTATGCAGCTCTCCGTCTAATATTTACCTGCTGATCATCAATATTTTCCTCTCTATATTGTGGCTTTCTTTTTTTTCCTTTCTTGGCTGGGTACCGTTGCAGGGTACGAGATACGTATTTCGTCTCACCCCTGGGCATAGTGCCTTGCAGAGAGCAGAGACAGTAATCCCCCTTCCCGCTCTATGTCTGGTTTCTGCTTGCCCTGCTGCTAGTCAAATAATCGCATGTTATTTCTAGTTTTTCTTTTGTTATTGTCTTATCTTAGAGGCGTATTCTTCAGCAATCTAGGGTTTGTGGTGCTCCCTGCTTACCTTGGTCGCATCCTGTGGATAACTGTAAAAGCAGTCTGCCATTGAATCCATAAACTCATGTGGGATTTGGTGGATAGTAATCTGATGTCGGCTCTAGTAACATCTCAAAGACGGATGTTTGTTTAAGGTGATCAAGGCGGCATTGCAAATGCACCTCATCATTGTAATGATTGTATAACGGCTAGAGTAGCGCGAAAATGTCTGGTATCTGAGACTGCGAATCTCCCTTAGACATTCAGCTGTACGCATCTGAGACGTTTAATAAGAAACACCCTGATACTACTCCGTACTACTGTTCGAGGTTTGTTTACTTTGGTCACTATGCACCCTTTTTTTTTTCTCTCTGATCGTGTTGTTTTGTCTCGTCAACAGCCTTTTGGTAAACAAGTACGCGATGGCCATCGTGAACAGGATTTGATCCAGCCACACGTGTCCAAACAATCCCCAACGAGCACGATAATGACACTGCATCGTACGAGTACAGCCACTCATACCCTCAAGGAAACTCAGAGTTTCAGAAGACACGCTTAGATGGACGCGATAATGATGTCTTTTCCTGAGTGCGCCACGTATTTTACAGCTGCTTCTTCAACGGCCAAAAGAAGAGTGCTGGTGCGTATAATCAGTTCTATTTCGCTCCACAAGTTAGCAGAGTGCATTGCAGCCGTAGCCGAGAAACAGAAGAGGTTGACAAGGCAACACCGACCTTCGTAAATTAGATTGTAAAATACGGGCGGCTCGTCTTCAAATATTGTCCCCCGTGTCTCTGGCCCGGGCGTTACCTTGAAACGCAGGCCAATGTCCTTTGTGCGATCTACCCACAAGATGCGGCTATCGCCTGATGAAAACCTACCTGAGCTAGCGATTGTGGCTCCGTCCGTAGAAGAAGAAGATGATGAGGAAGCTCCAGACTGAAGAGTTGATTGCCTGGACATCATGCCGGACAGCCAGTGCCGGAAAACACGAATGACACCCTCGCTGATATTGACATGTCGTGTGAAAAGGCCCGGTCTGGAACCATGCGTAACGACATTCGTCACGGTACAGAGCTGGGAGAAGCGCTCCCCTTCATCAAGGTACACTTCCTGATGCGCAGTCTCATCAAGGATGTCCTCGGCGGCAATCTGGAGCTGAGTGCTTCCAGCCAAGGTTTGTACAGACCACCCATAACGGAACCTTCTGCGTCTGTTCTCTTCCATTATGACTGGTCGGAAGCATGAATACATCTTGCGCAGATGTACGAAGCTCGGGTTCTGCTCATTGTTCGAGGGTCCGTCGCAAGACGCCGTGCCGAGATATCGACAGGCCAGGTATGGCGTGGATATCTTGGCGCTTGGATGGTAGCATTCGAGAATTACTTCGTTGCCTGGCAGTGAGGCTGTAGTGGCGAGGCGGCGATGTAGGATACGTGTTGCTAGAGAGCAGAAGCGGTGACTGACGGAGACGACTGGGAGGAGCTCCTTTGTACTCAGCTCAGCTAGCACGTTGGAGAGAAGCTGTAAAATTGATACAACTGTCAGCTATTACAGAAACAATCATGCGGGACAATTCGTTATTTATTTACTTCATTGGGGAGATTCTTGATGGGGGAATCCGTGGTCGCCATGTTGGCTGCTGCGTCGATGATAAGAGCACTTGGCTAGTTGATGTAATAGAACCAAGCCAAAACAGGTATCACGGCTTCTAACAGATGCCTCTTTGGTGATGGAAGATCAAGATGTGCCGATAATCTCGAGTCAGCGTAGATTTCGTCGTAGGCAAAATACGATGCTAACACCATGACAGTTGTGTGTTATCAGCAGCTCGAGGTCCGGATAGACCGACATATCGATGGCGATATCGCTCTAGCTATCTGATCGCATCATTAGTGAGATACGGGCACTCCATAGTATGTAATCGACCCGCTTCCCCAGGATGGCGCTTTTAGCCAGGCGGACCTCATTCGCCGGCTTCAGAGATAGCAGCTAACCAATCAAGTGCAACGGCATCTTGAGACGGCGGTCACTCTTGATGATCATGAAGCATCTTGTAAATATAACAGAAGAGTAAGATTGGATACAACAATTGAAATTGTCAATCAAAGTAACATTTGGACAAATAACTTGTATGAGCCTGAATACGATCCTTTTAGCGTGCGGGGAAGCTGTCAAGAAGCATGAAGCCATCCCGGCTCTGCCATTCCCCCCGCCGCAAATGGGCTCTGCGTGTTGATGCTTCTGCGGGTTAACCGTGCCAATCGCAATAGACAACTCGCTTCTGAAATAGTGCAGAGAGTGTAAAAGAGCTTGGAAAATGTAAACTCTTGTAAATGAGCTGTATATGCCAGCATTGAATCTGACAAAGACTTGATCACTAACCAGATATGCAGCTGAGTCACTAGCGAAGCCGTTAGTCGGGCTGTCGGGTTTCTGACGTAACAATCCGAATACATGTATTCGGCACTTGATGTCCAAATTACTCAGATAACCTTATTAACTTGCATCTTGTTTGATGTTGCAACGTTTATGCTGATCTGAACCATGAGGCATTTCCTCTCTCTCTAGGAACTTTTGTTTATTACATGTAGCTCGACTCAACTTTAAACCAGTTGGTTGGATTTCGAACTTGCCACATGCTATTTTTGATTGTCAGATCACAGCCCGCTAATGTAGAGGCTCTTGAGTACGTGTACATGTAAATACCACTCAAGTACCGGTAGCTTTAGGAGCGTCCACCACCCCGTTGATGCTTGAGTGATAGGACAACGTTTGGAACACTCACGACTGCTTTATTGTTTGTTGACTTATTGCCATCTTTTCCGCATCAAATCCAATGCTGCTTGATAATGTGATTAGTGATGTAAAACTTCTGCTGTTATGTACTCCGTAGACGTAGCATAGATACGGATGTGTAAGCGATGTATCCAGGATCTCTGTAGCAACTCTTCCTACGTGTACAAACGAGACGCAGCCAGAGGCGTCTAGATCTGTGCCAACTCCTATCAACCCGGGCGATCGCCCTCCTCTTCTATCCGGAGCAGTCATGAATGAAGTACGCCAACATGCAAAGGTTATCCTTAGGTCATCCTGCGGCATCCTGCGGCCTCACTCTTGGTGGCTTCTAGTCCGATTTGGTCCGTTCCGCCTTCAAGCTAGTCCGCACATACATCCACCACTTTCAGGAAAGAGAACATTTCAAGTCCTTATTCGTAAATAGACGCAACGGATCAGTCTCGCTTCGAGGCAGTGATGTCACAAACCCAAAAACCATCAAAGGTTTCAAGCTGTTGATAATTCTCCGCAATTATTAAGCTTGGGAATTCGAGTGCACGGGTTCAGTAATCATGAAATCCTACGCGACGCTATTCGCGCCACGCCTCGGCCGCAGTTTGTATTTAAAGAGCTGTTGACTTGTCTTGTTTCAATCTCGTTCACATCAACAATTCAATTCAGTCACTCACAGATACATGTACCGCTTAAAAACAAGCAACCTTATTTCTTTCCAACAAAGATCAGCAAACTACAGTACCATGGCTTCCAAGATCCTCGACGAGCTTCTCAACCGCAATGCGTATGTATTCCATCTATTAAGTACAATGGGTACTTCAATATGTCGTAAAGATTCGTCACTCATCAATCTAAAGCAAACTTGTCGAAACTTACAAGGCGCCGCCTTGTCTGGTCCCAATGGTCCAGGCAACTCGCCAAAGCGGTGCAGGAACAATTATCCTCAGCTGTTCTGACCCGCGTTTGAACCCCTACTCGGTATTTGGCATCGATGCAACGGTCAAAGGTGTCACTATGGTCCGCAATGCTGGAGGCCGTGCCATGGACGCTGTCAGATCAATCTCTATTCTCCAAACCATTGGCAACGCAAAGACTTTAGTTGTTATGCACCACACAGGTGAGCGAATAGATGCACACGATCGGAGAGATGCGGTGTGAAACATTGCAGTTAACATATGACATAGACTGCGGAATGACGCATTACCATGACTCAAGAATCAAGGAGGCCCTGATCGAGATCGCACCTCAGGAGAAAGACACCATTAATGCTTCCAAATATGGCGAAATCGCGGGACCGTAAGCTTAAAGAATCTCACTCTGAAAATGAAGATGCGACTGACAACTCAATTACAGAATCGAGGATAGCCTGAAAGAAGACGTGGATCTTCTAAGCTCCTCGCCCTTCATCCTCCCGGGAACCTCGATTGTAGGACTGAAGCTGGACATTTTTACTGGCGCTATTGAGAAGGTTACCGAAACCAAGACTGCTGAAAAGCACTGACTCGGATCTAAGTTATGACATAGCATTTATAGAATTGGTAATAGAATAGATAGATAATCATTTTCTGCGACTTCCCGAGTGTTCCATTCCGTAGCAAGCGGATGACGGAAAACCCGAGGCCAGGAAGAATTCGAACACCTACGAGTTGAATCATACGCCTGCAAGGGGAGTAGCTGCTATATCTACATTTCCCTAATAACTGCTACTATATCTATATTTCCCTAGTAACTACTATTATGTCTATATTTCTTTAGTAACTGCTACTATAGTATTTCTCTAGTAACTGCTGCTATATTTATATAATAAAATCCGTATGCTAGCTGAATTAGGTAGTAGGCGTTCTCCTATAAAAGTACTACTCAATAAGTTGATGAGGTGCTTATATTACTGAATGTATGTACTTATTTACTTTGCGGTCTCGGTTTTCTGACCTCCGCTTGCGTAGATTTGGAGATTCAATTCGGAGCGGCGAGCTTACTTAAAACCGGAGATCCGTTGCCCCCGCCCGGCATGTTAAAGAGGGCTAACGCATGAACTTAAAAGAGAGCGCCCACGAATGACTAATTACATATTATATTAAAGGTTATCTATATCTTACACCTTTTCTGCTCGTATTATCTTGCCACGTGTGTCTCTTCTCATGGTATTCAAGTTGAGAAGACATGCAGGCCGTCAACTCTTGCGGTCCATGCGGACGGGGCAAACGGCGTTGTGACCGTGGTTGGCCGAGCTGCTCTACATGCACACGGTAAGTTTGCTTCTTCACTAACAGGAATAACAAGAGCTCGCCTTGACAACGTAAAATTCCAGACTCAGTCGGCCATGTGTGTATGATAAAGATACCTTGCGGCCAGTAGAGACTGAAGCCGGCCTCAAAGTACGGGACGCTCTAACAAAGACAGATGCCAATTCGTCGAGGTCGTATTCGCCACAATCATCACGGTCCGCGACAGATGTCTGGAACAGTCCCAGCTTTACTGATGTCACATCTGGCGTCGAGCCCTTTCTTCATGACTCTCTTAGGCGACCTACAGTCGATGTTATTGTTCAGAAGCAACTCCTCAAGATTGTCAAGTCCCGCAGCGAGATGCACCGGATAGCAGACTCATACTTTGCCACCATTGCTAGACGAATATCGATTGTATCGGCACAAAGATTCTACGCAAGGCTACCCAAGATTGAGTCTCCTAGCTGCGGTGCCGACTTTGCTGCCCTCTGTCTATGTGTGCATCTCGTACTGCAACTGCCGCTGTCGCATGATAGCAGTATGCAGTCGTCGCTTTACGTGACGGTAAAGGGCATCATCAGTCTGCTGGAGGCCACCTCTTTTCAATCCGTTGAAGTGATACAGTGTCGTATCCTCATAGCTTTCTATGAAATTGGTCACGGCATCTATCCGGCTGCAGCCGCATCTATAGGAGGTTGCGCTAAGATGGCGCGCTTTGCCGGCTTCCACCGACATTCTATCCTTTCGACATATGATGAAGAAAGAGAGATTGTAGTGGAAGAAAAGAAGCGAACACTATGGGCGCTGCATAATCTAGACCGGTACAGTTGACTGAGTCCATGGGTTTGATAATATCTAACAAGTAAAATTTTAGCTACTTGAATCTCTCCATGGGAGAAAGCATCTTTACCACGCCATTCGCCCAAGAAACCGATCCTCTCCCCATTGAAGAAGATTTATGGGCTAAAAATGTGAGCTTTATATCCCTTGTTTACACCTCAAGCTACGAATAACCCTCTAAATACTTATGACCAAAAAGATTGCTCCGAGCTTGGTTACACACAACCTAAACACCCCAGCTGATGTTAGCATCGGCTCATTTGCTCGCGAGTGCCAAATTTCTCACGTGGTTGGACGTGTGCTGAGAAACGTATACGAGCCCGTCTCAGATGAAGCTTTCCAGGCCAAAGAAGCCGCGCAGCTCGAGGCGACCATGTCTACGTTTATCCCATTGCTCCAGAATGACACAGAAGACTTTGGAAAATATTGCATCTCCTTTGCTATTTGCAGCAGGTATTGTAGCAGTCTTCTACATATGGGACTTATAAGTTAACTGTAGGCAGCGCTATATTTACTCTTTATGGCTGTTCAGCTGATCAGGAAAGATATGGTGTGCGGATTCAAAACTGTCCTGCTACTCTAGCGGAACATACAGCCCTCGAAACCACCCGTTATTGTCGTAAGCTATTTGAGGATGAGGAGGCCATCAACTACAGCTGCCTATCTCCGTTTGTGCCTTACGCGCTCTATCAGTCTGCTGTCATCCAGCTGCAATTACTCCAGCGCGATCCAAATGCCAAATACGAAGACAATGTTGAGTTTCTAAAGCAAGTCTTGAGGAACTTTGGTAAAAGATGGATGCTAGCAAGTAAGTAACAGTCACGAATACGCAGGCAAAGCGAATACTAACAGTTTAAAGGTAAATATTTACTCAAGTTAAACGAAGACTCGCCACCACTGCTGTATAGCATAGACTAAGTATGGTACATTAGGCGTCGCTTGCCTCATTCAATTCTGGCGAATACTTGTCGAACATGCCTTCAACAACTCGAATGTTCTCCGCCCAAAATTTGTCCCTCTCCTCATCACTCAACTCTTTTGGTCTGTATTCCGGTTTCATGAACAGGCCAAATCTAAACCACTCCAAGAATGTTTGCGTAGCCTCGCTCTCGTTCCACCGCTTCCAGTTGGGTATACTGCTCCAAAAGGCCTCTCGTAATTCATCGGCACGTTCATACTCTGGACCAAATCCATTGGGAGCAATCTTGCGGAAAAACATCTCCATTTCCCGACAGAGTGAAGCATATGGGGCGCTCTCTAAAAATTCCCAATCAATAATCGCTTGGATCTCCGTGGGTGTCTGGTTCGACACAATGATGTTGTGAGGACCCATATCTGCATGCATAGCGACAATGGGGACTGTCTCGACGACTGCTGGTATCTCATGCAAACGGGTATCGACGAAACTTCTTATGCGCTGAAGGTATTTCTCTTTGTACTCTTCAATGCCTTCTTGCTTTTCAAGAAGGACAAGGCAGCATTTGATATACGCGCGGAGATAGTCACACACCGAATGGAATGGACCGCCAAGTCCATGGTGTCGATCGGGTCCGACTCGCAAAGTGATTTGGCCGTCGATATTAGATGCGATTAGCTCGCCAATCAATCGGGGTTCTGGTAGTTGGATTTCCCAACAAGCCGAGAAAGCGAGTGCCAGTTTTCGTACAAAAATGAGTCTTTCTTTATGCGACAACCCGGCGTAAATCTGTAAAACCACCTGCCCTGGTATATACCGAGTTATCTGTCTACCCATACCAGTGGCACTTTGATGAACCAAATTCTCCTGGTATCGGATATACTGGTGGTACAGGTAAGACGTTGGGACTGATGGTTCTCGAAATCAAAGTCATGAACGAGTCCATAGATGCAACAGAACCATAATGGCGTATCTGAACCACGTATGCCACGTCGGGATCTTCTTTGACAGTGACCTTGTAAGAGGTGCTCATCGAACCGTCTGTGAATCTAGTCCAAGAAGAAAGACGTTGGCCTGTTGCAGGGAGTATTACATCTGCAAGTTCGTTTTCGGAAAGTACTATGGGCTCTGGAGTGCTTATTTTTTTGGTTCGTCTATCAATCTTGATCAAATAACGATCAACAGGAGTATCGGACCCATCAAAGTCCTCGATTGCTGCCGACCAAGAGAAAGAGGCTGGTGATGACTTCAGAAGGGAGTAACCGACCCCTTTATCTCCCACAGGTCCGATTGCAGAACCGGAGTAGATATAGGCTAGGAGGGTTTTCACACCCTCGTCTTCAGTAAGGAGGCTCTCAGACATTTTGGAGATGGTGGTAAGTAGAAAGTGAAATAAAGGCTCCGTAAACAAAAGCCAAGAGGGACATCCTTATGTCGCCGGTTTAAGTTTTGAGAGAAATTGGAAGGAGAAAGTATGTGTATGTTGTTAAGTGTGAGATAAGAGCCTCGCATATATGGCCCTTCACAGGTGTTCTGGAAGACGTGCGACTATATGAACAGTATTTGTGGCGGGACTTCCGTTCTTCTCAACCAACACAGACATTGGAATGTAAAAAGTGATCGGTGCCTAATATCCCTACAATATTCAAGGCCGGTGACTCATAAATATGTTTTACTACTGACAAAAACTCAACTCAGTGGCTTCTCTTCATGCTTCGAGTTTCTATTATTATACTTTCATCCATTTGCATGTCTTTAACCGCCAGGTTCAGCGGCTGTGCGCGAGGCAAACCTCATGGACTGGGCTTGCATTCTGAAAGCGTCGCTTTTATTATAAGTTTAGTCTATTCTATATAGATAAGCATACAATGGAGAGAAATAGACTCGTTTGTTAGTTTGCCGGGACTAGGGTCAGAGATGAAGGTCTTGCTTTCACTGACTGGCGGGGAAATTGTTATTGATACCTTCCCTAAGTACGAGTAGTTGGCCAAAGCACATACACCAAGAGCTCTGGTAGGATCTAGCATCTGGCACAGAACGCTTAATAGCCTTCTACATTTCCAGCAGCTTTTCACTAAAGCAGTAAACTTCCTTGTAGACATACATGTAGCTTGATGTATTTCACTTTATAGCCTAGAATGAACTATTTTTCTTTTCTGCCATAAGTAAAATTTAGCCAAAGCATTGCGCATCAATTCGCGATTCTTGTACAAGGCGAAGTACGTTACTCAGCTTCGCAGTGCATATTACAGGTGCGGTGAAATGTTAGACACAGAAGTGTCGTTATACCTAGGTAGGTATACATCATCCCATGACTTCGGTTGAGGTTAAAACGGCTGTGAAGATCTCCAATTGAGCACTGAGAGGGAAGGGGAGCCAGGGCTCTCACTTTCTCAAGGCTTAGAGTGAGGTTAAAGATGCTGTGAAGATGTATGAAGATGTACGAAAAGAAATGGAGATCGTCCCACCCATGCTGTCGAAGCTTGGGGTGAGAACCTATTGAATTACTATGAGGAAATATAAAACCGGCCAGGCTAACCAATAGCATACATGTATACGGAGTAGGTACAGGTATTGCATCTTGACCAGTACCCTCGCAGGCCCTCAAGGCTTCGGGTGAGGTTAAAAATGCTGTGAAAGTGCCTAGTGAATAATAATTCCATGGATGTGACAAGAATTAGGGGTTTTGGCAACCTAGACAAAACCATTAGACCAGTCATCTTGGCCAGTGCCCCCACAGTCCCTCAAGGCTTTGAGTGAGGTAAAAAATGCTGTGAAAGTGAAAATTGACTTCACAAAACCAATTGACCAGTAATCTTGACCAGTGCCCCACATGCCGCCAAGGTTTTTGGTGAGGTTATAAAAATGCCGTGAAGAGATCCGACTGTCGCTCTCAATGGATTCACTGTATGGAGTATACAGCTATTCAATCAGCGAATATGTGTGTGTTCCTGTTTATTGACGATTAATCTACTGAGAATTGAATGCCATTTAAGAAAGGTTTAATTGTCTAATTGCGATTGAGTAAAGAGCGTTGTGTATTTACATTCAAATGTTGTACCAAACGACAAAGTATATCTATGCACCACTTTACTCTGCCTTGAGTTGCTGCATTTCCGCCGTGATGCCTCCATCCTTGAAGCCCTTTAACACTTGGCGCGCAGTGCCATCCCACTTAGACTCACGAATCCAATCCTCAAGACTTTGGAGATTGGGGTTGATCCGCTTCATCTCAGCCAGGTCTCGCGTGCCCTCGTTCTTCAAAATGCTGTTCGCGAAGCCGGGCCACCACATGCTAAAGTTCTGTCCCACGGTGATTCCATCGGGATACATGCTCGACACGGGGGCGTCTGCATAGGGCAAAGTATCGACCCATTCCTGGACAGTGATGTTTTCGTAGCGGGCCTTGACGCCGGCAACACGGGACAGAGTCTCTGCAATTTCTTTGCCGGTGGAAAAGTGGCTGGTAGCCAAGAGAGTCTTGCCAGACCACTCTTCGCGGTTCTGGAACATGTGGAGCGCAAAGGCACCGCAATCTTGAAGCGTCATGAAGGGAATGTATCCGTCACCCAAGGGGAAGCGGAAGACGCGAGTGCCGTCGGAGGCAATGTGTGGCACATAAGGTCCGCCAATTAGATCCTCGTTGTACGGACCGGTAATAAGAACCGACCATACAAGCTTAGAGTCGGGGTGCGCAGGCGAAGTCATACCATCCAGATAGGTGTGGACACGACCTTTGCCATTGGTGTGGTGAGCTGCGTACTTGTGATCAAAGTTGGTCAGACGGAGATAGTAGTCGATGCTACTATAGACGAAATGGCGAAGAGTTGGGATAGTGTTTGCAATCTCAAAGATGCGGACACCAGCCCAGAGCTCGTCCGGCTCGTTGACAGTGAAGCCTAGAATGTGTTAGCAAGTCAAGTGCTTTGGATGAAGATGTGAATTTACTTACCATCGGTGTTGACAAAGACGCCGTAGCAATCTTGAAGAGCTCTCTCGACGGAATCAAAATCCATGAATGAACCCTTGACGAGCTCAACCTGGGGGTAGTCCTTGAAAGTCTCTTTAACACCCTCAGAGTCTGGGTTGCGCGACAACACGCGAACGATGAAGGGATCCTTTGCCTCGACAAGAGCCTTGACGACAGCAAAACCCTGGGCGCCGGTTCCACCAATAACGAGAATTCGCTTCTGAGCCATCTTGAACTTGAAGAAAGTTGAAAGTTTAGACTTGAGAGTAAGAATCGATGGTCAAAAGACTGAGTTTGTAGAGATGTGAGGTTTTATAGAAAACTGTAGAGTGTTTGTGTGCTTGAAATATGCTTTGTTCTGATTTGAGTGATCCAGCATTACTTGAGGGCCGAATTTCTGTGATTTATATGTTGCATCCACGCCCAAAGCGACATGTTTGGTTTGTAATCGCTGAATAGATTGGAAATCATCTCGACAGACAAATATGTACGTGGAAAGTCTAATTACAAAGAAAGAAGGAATTAGATGGTCTTGGGCATCTCTGTTAAGAAGATTCTGACATCAATAACAGCCAGGTCCCGGGAAGGATTTTCGGTCTAGGAACCCGAGATAACCTTCAATTTGCTACGGCGTAGTGTTCGAGTAACTAGATCTGAGTTAATGTCGCTTTAGCGTGCGGATTAGCGTGCGGACAGACGCCATGCAAAGAACTAGCCCGCATGTGCATCGTCATGTCCCCTGTGAGAAGCATTCCTAAGCAATGAATGATTCGTCAACGGAATGGACATGGATGGACACGACATGTTGAACGCAACGCTGAAGAGGAGTCTAGACAATTTGCCATCATTAATAAAGAAGTTGCGAAACGAATGAATAAGTAATCTCTTTTTTGAAGCTCAAGTCAACGAACAGTGTCAATGTGACATAGCTGATGGCGATTATTAAACTCTTTTATTTTCACGAGTCAATGCGATTATTCGATAAAAATTTGTATTCTCCCCCTTCTGGAAGCGCAGAGTTCAGAAAAAGCTCCATGTCTGTAGAGTGCATGATATTTACTTTATGCCTTTTACAACCACGCTTCTATGTGCAATGGAGAAGTCAATTGAGTAGTACAGCTGTGCTGTTTGTGTTAATGTAAGAGATTCGTTTTGCTTTAGCTAATTAAACAACACTAAAACCTGTGCTCAATGGATGCCTACAGTTGGAAAAGATGCAACTTAGATTGGTAGGGCCACCATGAATTGCGAGAAAAGCATGTTTCTGACCCTACGAAAAGCAAGTCTTCTTGAATGGAATCTCAAATGTGATTTAGTATCATAGAGATGACCGAAGGTAGTAAATGCGTTATGATTTCCCCTAGTCGCCATATGAAGTCTGTCATATATATTCATGGAGCTTCATTCATCGACAGTACTAAGCCCTTCAGTTGGCTACCTTTCCATCTCATGAGTCGTGGTCTCATATAGTCGCCAAGAATGGAGCCTGCTGGTATTTGACTTTATTATACTTACGTCAAACTGATACAGATCTGTACGTCTATATATAGAGCACAAACTACCAATGTTTTTCAGAGATGTCAACCTCATTTACATCAACGCCGTCCTTAAACCACCGCTCATCATTAGAAATCTTAACGTCATTGCCACTCATCTGTCGCTTTCTCATCAATCCATTGTCCGCAAAGGTCCAGTCTTCAAGACCGTACGTCCGCCACCACTGGCCCGCCTCATCATACCACTCGTACCAAAACTGCACCGCAATCTTGTTATCTGTAAAAGCAAAAAGTTCCTTGCGCAGCCGATAGCCGTTTTCTCTCTCCCATTTTTTGGTTAAAAACTCCTTGATGGCGTCTCTACCCTGCAGAAACTGGTCACGGTTGCGCTAGATTGAGTCCGGCGTGTAAGCTATTTTCACGCCATCGGGATTTCTAGGGCTTGTAAGCTGGAGTACGACTTATTCACATAAATTGCTTCATTCACCTGGTATTCCATGCATCTTGGGCCACCTTTACCTTCTTCTGTGCTGTTTCAGCCGTGAACGGTGGGTAAGGTGGTCTTCCTTCTTGAGACGACATGGTTATCGTTGTGAAAGCTAGTGGTTTCGTGTTATTACACAGTGATTTGAATCTGCTCTTCAACTAGACGACACAGAGAGCGAGTATGACTTCTTATATACACATTCACCAAGTTAATACGAATCTTTTGATAACCCCTCATCTATACGCCCGACGACCACCTGCAGCCCCCACTACCCGGAGAGGAGTAAGACCTAAAGCTATCTATTTACTTTAGGCCCTCTCAACTCAAATGTTCCCATACAATTAACGTGCCAATGGAAGAGAGAAATCCCCATGGTTCCATTTCATTATGACGTGTTTCTTCAAAGACCTAAGGAATTGCCTGTCCCTCCGCTGCCGCTCGACCCGCCAGACTATGCAGTTCGTTTCGAAGAAACGTGCCATTGAATTCAATTATTTCGCTCTTACCCTAGCATTTAGAGAGAGAATATTAGCATCCAACTGATGAACTTTGGGGGGGCCTATAGAATCCACACTTACACTCGTAGTTCGCGCAACACTTTCTCGTGCCTCCAACGCAGACGCCCAAGCACTCCATCCTTGAACATCGTCACGAACAAAACCCCGAAACTCTCGAATGATAAAGTCTCTCACAGCCCAAGGAGCGATAGCTGCGTCTACGAGACTGAACTGCTCTCCAAAGAAATATGGACCTTTAAATTCTTTGGAGATCGTCGTGAGTAATTTTTTGAAGTCCGTCAGAGCAGACACCTGCTTTTCAGGCTCGTGTGGCTGCGCTTGTAAAAGTCGAAAGAATGCCGGAACAACATCCCTATTAATGTAATCAATCCACAACCTGGCAATAGCTCTTTGATAGGGCTCTTCCGGCATCAATTTACTGGACCCGTATTCTTCATTTAAGAACTCATTGATGATAAGAGAGTCATGAAGCGGCTTGCCATTTACCTGAAGTCCCGGTGTTAATCCCTTTGGTGAGATTTCTGTCCAAATAGTTAGCACCGCATCTCAAAAAGCGACAAGTGTCCAAATAACGTACCTAGAAACGAAGCCCCTTTAAGGTAAGGATTGACTTCCTTATACTGATAAGTCATACCAAGCTCTTCTAGGACAACCCAAGAGCGTTGTGTGAATGGACAAAACCATCCTGCCCAAAGGACGGTATTAGCTGGCTTTTCATGTTTTTTAACCGTCTCAGCCGCCGTAGATGTAGCGACCGGGTGGTATTTTGGGATGAGTATTGCTATTTTCACCGTAGAATATTGCTATTTTCACCGTAGTAGTCCGTAACCGTACTAAAATTGATGTGCACACACCATCGGTCCCATTAATCCACACCTAACTACAGTGCGGTGCCCTGGCACACCACGTACTTGACAACTTTACACAAGACCTTCAAGATCGCGGAGTTCAAGATCGCAAAGCTAAGGCCGTCACAGAGCCGCAGCCGGGGTGCTCCGTCACAGTCGACGAGGGGCTCGCAGTTACGCCCAACTTCGCGGGTGACTAGAACTACAAGAGGACACAAAGCTGCGATAGCTGCCGCCGCCCTTAAGACGGACCCTGAGTTATCCCAACCACTTAGATCGACGAGCCAGATGAATTAGCCGGCCCGTGGGAAGTGGTTAAATCGAATTGGGAGGGTCGAATTGGAAGGGTCGGAATCGTCATTTTTGAACGAATTGGTGCAGATTAATAGTCTATAGTGTTGTGTGTGAAATCTATGTTGTATGATCTTCCTTCCCAGTGTGCTGCACTGTAACTTGGTGTATGGGTGTGGTAAGTGCGATCAATGGGGGTAAATCTAGCTTGTGATGTGGACCACTACGGTGAAAATAGCAATATTCTACGGTGAAAATAGCAATACTCTTTGGGATTGCCTTTTGCATGATTTTCTTGTTGGCTAATCGTGAGATGCTTGCGACTGACTTTGACATTCTAGTTGATTGAGCCATGAATGGAGATGCAATTTATTTGAACAAATAAATAAAGTCTAGCGCTATTTAAATACTTATACTAATGTCATACTAGTGTTTCCGATGATTCCACGTCCATTCCAATAAATAATGTTATTTTTCTTCCCTTAGGAGCTTTCTAAGTTGAGGCAACAACTGGGGCGACGCCATCACACATGGTGTCATTCTCTATTTGCACTTTAGGGATCATCTAAGGTAAAAAGTTTATCCCGATTATTCTAGAATATCGGCATGCTCGTACTCCCATTTAAGCAACCTTCGCGCTGATTCATGATATGGTGAGCTATTGAACAGGGCAACACTCTCGAACCAGTCTTATGAGGAATGCCTCCAGATGTGCCTTTAGCCAATCAGGAGTGGCACATAACTCCGAGTTGAGTGCGGCCTTGGTACGCTATTAACAAGGTTCCACAGTTGGCGACTCCGAGTAAGCTCGAAATGGAATCAGTAATTGTGATTAGTGATCGTGTCTAGACAGAATGTTGGCCGACAGACGGATTATTAACCCCATTCAAAGTTTATGTTCGTTACGTCAAGAGAGCAAATCTCGCTGCCAGTCACTGGTTCCTTAACCCCGAGATGAGTGCGAAGCAAGGTGCTAGGAGGCGAATCTATTTGATATACAAAAGGCTGTGGAATATTGATTAGATGACTACCTGGTAGAAAGAGACATACTGGTTCTACTGCTCGGTCTTATTATATACAGAGAGAATTGTCTCAACTATTCTAGAAAGATGGTGACCTCGTGGAAAAATAAATGACATGAAATTTGCCATCAACTACTACTTGACTGCTAGAACTTCAATATAATTGTTCATAAAGTAGCTCAGGTGTATCTCAATACTATCCAGAAACCTTACACCATCAAACGCTTCTTCAATAAAATGCCTTTCAAAAGGTCATATCCACATGGCCGCCATGAAGGCGAGGTGGCCGTATACAAAATGCTCAAACTCCCCATCGGCGGCGACCCCACGAGCTCCGGCCTCCCGATGAATCACGCTGTTCGCGCAATGCAATCGCCTCTCGTGGCACTGGGGACACTCGACAACAAAGGCCGGCCGTGGACAACCGTTTGGGGCGGTGATATCGGCTGCGCAAGGCCCGTGGCAGAAGACGTGCTGAGATTCGACAGCAAAGTTGACACACAACATGATCCTGTCTTCAATGCCCTGCTCGGAAGTGATAACGGCAAGGCTGGTCATGCAGTGCTTCAAAATGACAAGAAGAGGAAAATGATGGCTGCATTGACTATAGATCTAGAAGGACAAGACCGTGTCAAGCTCATGGGCAAGATGCTTGCAGCCATGGAAGACAAAGACGGGAGAGTTAGAATCGCTATGGACATAGAAGAGAGTCTTGGGAATTGTCCCAAGTATCTCAACCGAAAGGAGATTGTACCGAATGATGCCCACCCCGTATTAATATCACAGAAACTACCACTGCCGCAAGAAGCTGTGGACTTGATTGGCAGAGCAGACACGTTATTCCTGTCGAGCACCAACGGAAAATCAATGGATACGAATAACAGAGGCGGCCCACCTGGCTTTGTAAGAATTATCCAGAATAATGAGGACGGAGTGGTTCTGATATATCCAGAGTGTGAGTACATATCCATTCATCGTTTTCGACTGAAGTATATGCTAACCATGGTTCAAAATCGCAGTCTCCGGCAACAGATTATATCAGAGCTTAGGAAATCTCAAAGTAAACCCACTGATTGGCATCGTCGTTCCTGACTTTGTCACTTCCGACGTCCTATACCTCACAGGCTCTGCAACGATCTTGGTAGGAAAGGATGCCTCCGATTTGCTCGTTAGAACACAACTGGCCATCAAAATCAACGTCACAGATACCAGATTCGTTCGATCTGGCCTCCCATTCCGCGGAATCCCAATAGAGTACTCACCGTACAACCCTCCTCCACGATATCTGGTCGCGGAACAATCCGAGAGCACTGCAAAAGCATCACAAAACAGCACCGATCTTTCTGCAAAGTTTCTGTCCCGGGAAATCCTCACGCCAACCATCAGCCGCTTCACATTCAAGCTCTCATCACAGAAGCCGATTCCGAAATGGTATGCTGGGCAGTACATAACATTGGACTTTGCGCCGCAGCTTAATCGAGGATGGTCTCATATGAGAGACCATGATCCGCAGAGCTTGAACGATGACTTTATTCGAACCTTTACTGTTTCTAATACCCCGCAAGAGCCTGAGCTTCAAATCACCATCAAGAAGAACGGACCTGCCACGAATTTTCTTTGGAGGCATAAAGCCGATACACCCTTGAAACTGTCTGTGTTGGGATTCGGAGGGCAAGAGTCTTTTCGTATTCCCGTTCAAAAGGCCTCTGAGGAATCACCATCTTCTGTCTTCATTACGGCTGGCGTGGGGATAACGCCACTGCTTGCGCAAGCTCCAGCACTCATCAGTGCAGAATCAGATTTCGACGTGCTCTGGAGTCTTCGTGGAGAAGATCTAAAGTTGGCAGTGGATTCTTTTAAAAGAATTGACGGGCTGGCAGCTAGAACAAAGCTTTTTATCACAGGTGATCGTTTTGATGGTAAGCTGGTGAAAGAGGTCCAGATTTTGGGATCTGAGATCGTATCCCGGCGACTATGTGAAGACGATCTCGAAACATTGAAGGGGGCGGAGCGTAAATTCTTTCTATGCACCGGGCCAACGCTGTTGCAGAGGGTGAAAGGATGGCTGACCGGTGAGCAAGTGGTTTGGGAAGATTTTGGATACTAAAAACCAATAGTTAAATATTGTCTTTCGGTACTATAAACAGCGATTGAGCACTGTAGCATTGATCAGATGGGCGTATCGTTTGAACCTGTTGACAAAAAGGTCATTGATGTTTGCCGAAATGTTATGTAGTTATGTACTCTTGTTTTATCGTCTTATATACATCAAGTTGAGACTGAGGAGGGAAAAGAGGGGAGTCAGTCGCTGTTGTTTGACAGCATCAATGGATAACCTATGATTCTGCTCCGCGCCAATTAGCACCTCAAAAGAGATATTTTCATTCTAGGTCGAATACGCTCAACTTACACATTGGTCTTCTCTATCTTACAAACCCTGTTTATCTGACACAGGTTGCGTATTTATTTGTACAAGCTATCGGCCGATGTCCTTACTCGGCGGAATCGATCGAATTCGTCTAATGGTGGTTGAACATTCAGGTAGAACAGCTCACCAGAGCGTACCCCTCTCTTTTCTCCTCTTTTCCGTCTATTCAACTCGTCAGCTCATCGTTAATTCGTATCAAAGCTGACGCCTATAATTGGATTCGACATACCCAAGCCTGTTTGCAATCGCGATACGCCCTACGCCATGCCGTCAGCTTCCTACTTACAATGTCGAATAAAGCTGCCATTGCCACAGCTCAGGAGGGTAGAACATACTGAAAATACTCTCCGCACATCGACTTGTCGCCGTTATTCCGATACAAGCACTTATAACTCCGCTGCGCCGCTTCTTGACAAGGATCGTAGAATTCGCTTTTCGATTTACTATGGAATGGTCAGTTAGCATTGAGCAAGGATGGGGAGACGTGCATCGTTCAGCTCAGCTAAATTACCTCTCGAATTTTTGCTTCGTCTCGTCGGTCCAGGGACCCTCTTTGGAGCCTTCTGATGGCGTGGCCATGTTATCTCGTTGTGCCTTTATATACGATGTCACTGAGACGGGACAATGTTCAAGGTCGGATTTCAGTGAACGAGTTACAGGTGATTTACATCACAGTGCAGTCACCTGACCCCTGTCGCAGCTCCGATAAGCTCCCCTTATCGCGCTAGCTCCCGCGAAAAGAGGCCAGCTTGGACATGACGCCAATTGGTCTCTCCGTCAGTCGCGAGACAAGTTGAGCTTCAACCAAATCCAGACATTCAATTCCACGTCTGCCCTCCTCCCTCTTCTCCGGATCAAATACAACAAAAGGGGGAAGAATTACACAACACCACAATAAGAGAGAGAAGCAAGGGAAAACACCATTCAAAATGCTCTTCCTAGGCAATCTCGTCTACGTCCTCTGCCTCCTCACAAACGCCCTCGCCATCCTCTCCGACGACCGCTTCCTTGCACGCATCGGCCTCTCCACATCCACATATGACCCTGCCTTTGGCGCCGGCGCAGATGCCAACAGTGTCAAGGCCAAACTTGTCGCTCTGATCGCCAGTGTTCGTATGGTTATGCGACGTACGTCCTGCCCCCCTTCTCCTTACACTTCGACCTCGGAATCCCCCGCCATTATGCGCATGTCTATAATCCAGGGGCTGTTGAGAGGGTAACTGAACCATGATACTAACATGATGAATAGCGCCATTGATTATAGTAAACACATTGATCATCCTTTACGAGCTGGTACTGGGCTAGACGACAGGTTGAATGCCTCAAGATATTTTCGATTCCGAGCACCGCACGCGCTTTCAGTGGGCGGTTTCATGGTAATAGCGACATTCATCGAATCCCGAGAGCACATTTGGGCTTTTACGCGGAGCAACACAACGGCGCAGCATGCATATAAATGATGGGATGGTTATTGCGCGGGCGATCTCTTGGATTTAATAGATTTGCGCGGGCTGGTCGCCAAAGGTGGTACCTTTCAGTAATTTAGAGAGTCTAACGTCATGTCTTTAGAGATACCTGCTAGGTGTCTATGAAAAGAAAGACTTCGTGGACACGTAGCGCTGTGCTGGCTGCTATATCAAACGAGCGACTGCCGGTGCTGCTTCTTGTCTGGAGATTCACGAGGTGATGCTTGATACTGGGCTTGAGCACTTTGCAATTTTTCTGTATAACTCATCTCATGTATTAGTTAGTCTAATCATACTCCTCATACCACAATCAGTATTGATTTGTGTATCAACCTGTTTTTGACATGCTTGACATAGCAGTGAAAAAAATGGATAAGCATCATCTATTTCAATCATAAATTCTTCTATTAAAATTTTAAGCCAGTCTTGACCTGCTCAAGAAATCTTGTTTACTTTTGGAAACATAAGCTTCATTAATCCATCATCAAGCTTCATTAACCCATCATCATCTGACCAGGAGACATCCACATGCTAGCGGATCTCTTCTTGCGCTGGAGAAGACAGTGTCTTCCCCACTTCCGTCTGTACTTTTCGGGGACGGCGTCGATTTCAGGAATCCACAGTGTGCGTGCCAAGAGATGCGTGTTGGCGGCGTCGAGAAACTCGACACACTTGACGACCTCCCAGTGGTTCTTGTCTGCAATGTAATCTGGCTCTCTGCGTGATACCGATTTCTTTCCCCTGAGGGGATATTGGGTATCCACAAGGAAAGAGCACATGCGAGGCTCGACATATTTGCCCGCATCTTCTTCGTTGCGGTCATTCAGACCCTTTGTTGGCAGCCAAGTGCCACTCCAGAAGCCGAAGCCAGTCCCGGCTTCAGAAAATTCGCCAGGCAACAGGCCACGGAACTCGGAACGCAGGAATTTGGCATGCATATTACGCGGGAGGAAGTAGGATGTTGGGAAGCGATACCATTCTTTTCCGAAGCAGATATTGTCTTCTTCTGCTCCAAACGTATTGCCTGATCCATCTCCCCAAAGCGGAGTATAGATCTTCAGAGGGGCCGAATACGCAGAGTATATGCCGTAGATGCGAGCGATGCTGATATTGACGGAGAGGAGAAGGACGAGGGCAACAACGAGAAGCTTAAGACGACCCGAGATCTTTCCAATCAACGTCGTAGCATTTGGAGAACCAAGAGTATATAAGATGATGTGCACCGATATCGCGGCGTTGATGGCGAGGAAGGGGTAGGCCGGGTACATGAACCTCTCCTCCTTGTGTGGCTGCGCGGTGAAGATTCCTAGCCACATGTAAAAGGGCGTGACGAAAACAACAGTACGCAGCCCGCTGGATAGGTTCTGTGAGGTCCTGGAGAAGGTCTTCTGCAGGATGAAGAGTGGCAATGCCAAAAGGGCGAGGATAAACCAAACGTTAAAGTTCAACGCAAGATTCTTGAAATAAAAGGTCCAGGGCTCAGTTCCGTAAAGATCAGGGCCGCCAGTCTTGGAGAAGATGTTGTATTTGACAATATTCCATGAGACAACCACCGACTTCTTGTAAAAGAACAGGTTGATGAGAAAGTCGGAAAACTGGTGGCAATAAGTATAGTGTTCAACATATGGCAACGAACATGAGACGACTTACCAAAACCAGAAGACCAGCGATGACACCACGGATGAGTCGGATAAGAGCTTCGATAAAAGAGGTTCTGTCGCTGAACAGGACCAGAATGAGCTCTTCAAGGAGATACGGCGCAGAGAGGGCGGCAGCAAAGGGCCAGCCAAGAACGCCAGCCACGGCGAACCAAGTTATGCCTTGCCACGTCTTCAAACCACCCCGCCAGTTCATGAAGGATGCAGCGCCGAGCATCCCCATGTACATGGCAAAGCTGGAGGGCAAGAAAGCTGCGCTCGCATGGAAGTTTCCTGGACTCAGGATGGTGGCAACAAGGAAGACGACGCCAATTCTAGCATTGAGAGCTAGACTGATGCCTTGGTACAGGATAGTCTGGCAAATGGCACAAAGGAGCGCCAGGCCATAGCGAATGAAGTAGAATTCGGAAACCTGAGGAGATGAGCCAGTAGCTCATTTGCACAGACGGGAAAAAGACTCACCTTGGTAGACTGGGGCAGTATTCTGCGGACATTGCCCACAACAGCATGAAGTGCTATGTAAAGCCAGCTCCGGATGGCGTAATCTGGTGAGTACTCCCAGGTCTGCAGGCCATAGCCATGTGAGAGATAATGTGCCGGCTCCCAGTAATTGAACGTCTCGTCACAATCCTGAATTGGCGCAAACAGGGCCGCAATCATGCTGGCGCTGAAAAAGAGGTAAAAGGCCGATATGGGCTTAATGCTATATGCACTTGGCCGCCTGGTGATTCAAGGACGCGAATCAGCAGCTGCGCTCACAGGCGGTTGAGTGAAACATACTTTTTCTTTGCGTGGCTGGCATCGGGATGCTCGTAGGCCGCAGGAGTGGCCCTGTCTCTGTCTCTCTCTCTCTCCCTTCTAGAACTAGACTTTGACGATGACACCTTCTCGGATTTCTCCTTGTCCTTGGTAGTAGTTTTGGGCGCCATAGTCGCGGATGCAACAGTTTGATGGCTTTGGAGAGTTCACGATGTTTTTGTTTATGTTGGGGTCAAGATCCACTGGCGAAAGAGGATGGCGGTGAGGCTTGTTGAGCCGCGGTGGCGTTCGGTGAGCCGGTGACCAGCCCACTTGTTCTCTTCTCTTCACCTGAATGATTCTGCAAGTTCGCGCTGGAGGCTGGCGGGCTGAAATGCAGCGAGCCATTCCTACACTGGTTGGTCCGCCCCACATACCGCTCCGAGACGCCATTCTGCCTGTGCTATTCTTTTTTTTCTTATCCGACCGATAACAGCAGCCCAGAGCATTGATTTCTTTCGCCTTTGCACTTCTGCAGCTCTTCAATCAATCACGTCAAATTCGGTACTGGACTCTCTGGGACCGACCGATATAATTGCAATCTTTCAATAGTGCTATTATATTCTCATATCCATTGTATCATAGACGGCGACTCTCTCACTTCGTTTTTTTCATCCGTCAGGACCTCCAAGATACCCAAGGCCGTTCCTCTTCTTCGGCGCAAAACTTCTTCTCCAAACTACACACATTCTCGTCGCCACCATGTCCGGCTTCCAGATCCCCGGACTGGGCCAAGCAAAGGCGAATGAGGTGCTGCCGCCGCTTCCAGCTGATCTCGCAATTGCCGCTGCGAGCGCCGCAGAAGACAGCGAGATGACTGGCGCAAATCCAGCCACGCTCGAAACAACTTCGTCAGCCACAGAACAACATAGCGAGGCCGCCAAGGACAGCACCTCTGACCCAGATGCTATGACAATCGACAAACCTGAAAGTCCGCCTTCTTTGACACACGCTCTGGAAGCAGCCCTTGGTGGCCTAGACAATCCTGATGCGAACCAACAGGCTCCCGCACCCGAAGCAGAGCAGGTTCCCTTACAACCCGACCAAAGCGAACACCCCGAATGGGAAATCGACTCCTCTCCATACGAATCGTCAGACTCTAGCAGCTCTGACTCGTCATCCGATGATGACGACTCTGACAATGAGGGATACGAACCTCTGGGCATCGAAGAAACAGCACGGCTTCTGATGGAGACAGAGGGAGGCTCTGATGATGAGGGAGACAGAGGGAAGGCTTCTGGGTCTGGATATGTACGGACAAAGAATGAGATTCCTGACGAAATTATCCCCAAGCCGGATGTGACAATCACCCCCGAGATGGCAATCGAGGAGCTCGGTGCCATAGAGCATATTGTCGAAAATATCATGCTCATCAAGGCTTTCACCCCCGGAGAATATCAAGTCTTGGACAGCGGATCTGTCCTGTGCAACGCAGAGAGGGTTGTCATCGGAGTCATCGCAGAGACGATAGGCAAGGTATTGCAGCCGATGTACACGGTAATGTTCAACACAGCAGAGGAGGTGAAAGAGCTTGGGTTGGAAGTCGGAACGAAGATATACTATCCTGTCGATCACGCATCATACGTTTTCACAGAACCTCTGAAAAATCTCAAGGGCTCTGACGCTAGCAACCTGCACGATGAGGAAATCGCCGATGAAGAAGTCGAGTTTTCAGATGACGAGAAGGAAGCAGAATACAAACGGTCATTGAAGCAGAAGAAGAAGGACAAATGGAAGAGCTCTGGTGGAAAGGAGGGTAAACAGCCTCACCCGCTGCGCCAGGAGCTCTCGGCAGATGGTAGCCTGAACTACGATGAGGAAGATGATGGTCCATATAAGCCACTGGCTCGACCTGTTGGCTTTGGAGCAGGCCCCTCATCGACTGAGACTCATGAGCCTTCTCCCAGACAAGGTTTCTCTAGAGGAGGTCGGAGAGGAGACTCTCGGGGCAGAGGCGGTCGTGGAAGAGGTTCTGGCCGTGGTGGTAGGGGAGGCTTTGGCCAACCCAGGGATGGATATTCTCTCCCTCTTCAAAGCAACCAGAACCCTCAGGCAGGAGTGCCTGCGACCAGCTCATGGAACTTCAACCCTGTTCCACCTACCAACTCCGTGCCATCTCTTCCTCAGTTTGGCTTCCCCCTTCCTGGGTGGCCAGCACAGGGTCAGCCAGCACCTTCTGCAGTACCGCCCCCACCTCCAGGCTGGCCCGGATCTGCCCAAGGACAAGGTCAGGCGCCCAATGGCGGAGCATTCGTCAATCCCGCATTCTTTGCAGCTCTGATGAGCCAGATTCAGGCACAAACCGGGCAGGGTGGGTGGAACGGCCAGGTCCCACCGCCTCCTCCGCCACCTCAGCAGTAAACGATGTAGGCTGCAAATTGCATATAAAATTGGGAGTTTTGGGTCGAGGTAGAGTTTGGCTTTAGCTACTATGTAGTATTCAGGCGTTTGGGTACGGCTTCCGGATGTGTGGACTTTGTTGGTCATCTTCGATGGTATTGATGGTTAGACTCATGTATCTCATGCGTATCTCATGGTCATATCGGACAGCACTTGTACTTGAAGATGCGCTAACCAGATCAGATCTTTGCATATAGTCGTATGTATACTGCGATTAAAAATATGCAGACATCTGTAAACATACCTACATACACACTATCCCGTGGTTATTCATCTTCTTCTGAAACCAAGTAATTGTTTAGTATAAGTGCTATTGTTTGCTCGCATCTTATACTGTCCTCAAGTTAGGTACTTTGTCGAGACTCGGTCCCCCGGCATCATGCCGCATTACCAGTTACGGCAAGGCGGCCCCCTACCCCCACCGTCCCTGAAGACGTAGGCCCAGCCCCCTGTAGAACAGTGGGGATCTGTGACCTATCCGGTCAGCCTAGGTTGGAACCTTTGGTCGTCGCATCACCTTTGCTCTCCTTCTCCGGTCTGCTTATCTCCATCTCTCCCTCTTCCTTCACCTCGAGGAATTCTGCTACTCAGCATCATCATCATCACTATAATCCTACTCTTCCATCATATCAAACCACAATGAAGTTCCTACAAACCTCTCTTATCGCGGCCGCCCTGCCTGCTGCCCTCGTCAGCGGTCGCTTCGTCATCGAGAACGAGGGCGACAATGTTCAGCTCGACGAGCCGGCCAAGTACCTCATCGAGCTGAGCCCTGGCGAGACGCAATGGGTTACTGAGGAGGACAAGTGGGATCTTAGACGTGTATGTCCATCTCTCCGAAGCCTGTTCCGCAGCTTCAATATCCCCAACTAACATCTTTATCTGGTGTAGAACGGCCAAAACTTCATGGACATCACCGACACACAAGAGCTGGGCACTCTCCGCGCTCAGACCCAGAGCCAAGCTTCGGTCGCGTTTCCCGACAAGTGCGTCAAGCAGAAGGAGGTTGGTGAGCTGGCTGGCCACTTGACCAAGGATGGGATGCGCAGGAATCTCGAGAAGCTGACCAGCTTCCACACCCGATACTACAAGTCCGGCTACGGCCGGCAGTCGTCAGAATGGGTCTTGGAGAGGATCAACGGTATCATCAAGGATGCTGGCGCCGAGGACACCGTTACTGCGGAGCACTTCGGCCACTCATGGCCTCAGAGCTCTGTCATTGCGAGAATCCCTGGCAAGACCAACACTACCGTCATTATTGGCGCTCACCAGGATTCCATCAACCTGTGGCTCCCCTCAATTCTGGGTGCTCCCGGCGCCGACGACGATGGAAGTGGCACGGTTACCATCATGGAAGTATTCCACACGCTGCTGAAGGCCAAAGACGTTGTCGGCGGGTCTGCACCCAACACTGTCGAATTCCACTGGTACAGTGCTGAGGAGGGCGGTCTCCTGGGCAGCCAAGCCATCTTCCAGTCGTACGAGAAAGAGGGCCGTGACGTCAAGGCCATGCTCCAGCAGGACATGACTGGCTTTGTCCAGGGAACCGAGGACGCAGGCAAGCCAGAGAGCGTTGGCGTTATCACCGACTTTGTTCACCCTGGCCTCACTGCTTTCATCAAGAAGGTCATCGAGGAGGTAAGTTGATTTTATCTATTCTTAGAAAATCTGTACAAAGCATTGTTAACACTTTCCTACAGTACTGCAGCATTCCCTGGGTGGAGACCAAGTGCGGCTATGCTTGCTCTGACCACGCCTCTGCGTCAAAGGCCGGTTACCCTTCGGCCTTTGTTATCGAGTCTGCATTCGAGAACTCGGACCAACACATCCACGGTACCGACGATCTCATCAAGTATCTGTCTTTTGACCACATGCTTGAGCACGCCAAGATGACTTTGGGCTTGGTCTACGAGCTCGCATACCACGACTTTTCTTCAAAGGAGGTTGAGGAGCCATCAGAATTGTAAATAATATAATACCAGTACCGACTTGTGCATGCCTAAATGGAGGAAATTGTCCCGTTTGAGCATTGTTAAGAATATAATTATTATACAAGATCTTGAGATGATAATCTGCCCCGTACTGTAGAGTCACGCCGAACCTTTTGGTCTAGTGTTCTTTCTACGCCATCTTGTCTGGCTCGTAAACTGTCTAAATATCCAGTTCTCTTGCTCTTGAGATCTACCTTTGCAGGCCTTTGTGTCTTGTAGGGCCCTTTCAAGCCAAGTATAAAGCCATTGTATTCTTGGAAAATACAGTTTTTAAGCCACCAACAACAGAGAGATGGGACAAAGACGGAGGTCTATGATGTGCGTAAAAAAAACATGAGAAGAAAGGAAGATGCATTCCGTCCGGCATAACACGTGAATCAAATTAATTAACATAGGTAAGGTAGTTATGACGTTTAGATTCATTGATGCCTTTGGGCGAATTGCACATCGCAAACGCTGCAGCTGGGCGGCCCGTTTGGCAGTGGCCCCTACAAACAAGCCGTCAAGTCCATTGTGCGTGCCTGTTTGAAAGCCAAAAAAGCATAAAGCAGAAATATCAAGTTCGCACTTGGAAGTTTCCGAGGAAACTAAGATTTCCACAAAGCAAGAGCCAGTCTCCGTCAGACAAAGGCCGACTCCAAGTTGAGCGAGAGAGACCCAAAGGTATTTTTAAATTAAATATTTCTTCTCCCCTTCGTCCCAGTATTGAATCTGAAAACGAAGCACGTTTTATTTCCACCCAAGACTGATTGATTTAATATCGAAAAGCCTGCAGCTTAGCAAATATGCATCAACAGAATATTCTCAGCACCACCGAGGCCGTCACGCCAAATTCCGGCAAGAAGAGATCTTTTCGGCCAGAGGACGAGGTGCTCGATAACGACGACTCCAAGAAGCGCCGGTTTGCACAGCACGACGTGCGTATGGCTGGACGTTGTGGCAGTAACGTGCGCTTTGGTACCACTCAGCTCCCTCTCACGGCATCAGAGCACCGGGGAACCATCGATTCTTCGGAGCAGCCGCAGCGAGGTCGCACAAGGTGGCGAGAGGGAAGTGAGCCGCCGAACTGGGACTGTCAGGAGTTCCACGGGCGTCAAATCATGAGTGCGAGCTTTGATGATAGCCTTGGAGCGGAGAGGAACCCTTTTCAAGACTCTGAGACCAGGGGAGCTGCATCTGCATGAGGATTTTCGTCAAGCTGAATACCCGAATGACCACAACAAGAGAGGTAGAAATGATGATTTTAACGGAAACGAGTCGGGTATTGCCTCTTCATCTCGAAGGATAGTCGGAGGCCTGTTTATTTCGGTTTCATGTGCATCGGATTACCTCTGGCAACGATGATTGCCGGCACACCTAGGGGAGAATGCCCCACACAACACAACAATCTCGTATGCAACAGCGTCAACAAGTCAACCAGGGATATACCGCAGCTAGGAAGATTTTGAAGACGCCTGTACAGGAAATTTTGATCGGGCTACGGCTTGCATAGTATGGGATCTTGGCGTCGCTCCAGGACTCGGTGGACTTATCGGTTTGGTTTCAGTTTCGGTTTTGGCGTTTAAGATAGAGGACGAGCCGCGTATTAAAGCCCGATAGAAATTCAGACATTTTTCGACTTCAACTCATGCTGGGCTCCCAGTTGTTCGCAGCTGTGGCGTGGGAGAAGTGTAGTCCCGCCCATGCTGGCCTCTTTGTGCTTGTCGGTTGGTGATTGCTGTTATCAAATCGGTCCATTTTCTCAAAGACCCATGTCATCGTCACTGTCATCGTCCATATCTTGGCCATGTTCCTCCTCTTCTTCACGCCGCATGGTTTCAGCACTTGCACCGATTTTGCGAACGCCTTCAGCTACACTGGCAACAAAACCTCTGCTCTCAGCAAGCTCCATGGCCCCGACACCCCGAAGACTCGTGACACCTTCGCCGTGGCTTTCAGGCTGTGTGATTTTAGATCTCATCTTAGCGGATCGAGCTTCTTGAAGATCTCTCAAAAGAGAGCGCACTTCCGAGGCGGACGGAACATCATCGCTCGCGTGCGCGAGAAGCATCTCGGCGAACTCGAACCAGTGGTACGGCAGGGCACCTGCTGGAGCTGCAGTCGTGCAGGACGGCAAAAACGGAGGCGACAATATGATGTCGGCGTCTGCGGAGTTGAGTCTTCTCGAATTGCCTCTGCTGTCGGCTCTGACGGGCGGCGGAGGGGGAGGTGCCCAATCCTTGACATCGATGGCGGTTTCGTAGGTGACGATTTCGCGAAGGGATTCGGGATGGAGCCATGCCGGGGGCACGATGTTGGCGCGTCGTTGCTTTTTGAGGAGAATTGCTAGCCAGAGAGGCAGGTCGGCGCGGTGTGGCGGGCGAAGTTTGGGAGTCGAGCCCTGTTGTTCACATGGTCAGTAGACGAAGACGAAGGGAAGCTCTGGCTGTGTAGAATTAGAATGGCTGACCGAGAGAAGCTCAATGCTCTCGAGGCGCTGGCGGGGAACCACCGTGACGAGCTCCATTTCGCACAGAAAGGCGGCCTCTGAGGGCACCAGGCCCAGGGGGAGAGGCAAAGCCATGGTTTTGGTGGTGGTGATGCTGGTGACAGCTTGAGGCGTGATGTCGTGCAGTGCTAGTAAGCTGCGTGTCAGTCGTGTTGAAAATGTCGTGCCCCTCCAACCCAGGAATGCGTACGACCCACCCGCCAATCTGGTACCTAGATCTGCTTTTTAGATCTCGCCATCTCCCTTGGCCGAATTGACTTTTATAGTTGCACAAGGCGTCTATTTATTACATCGCCATCTGCATGTCTTATTCTATTCACATCAATACCTTACCGATTGCTATCGTAATCTTTGCAATTTATTTATAGCGTAAGAGCATCTTTGAATCTAAATGCAAGACATACGCAGGGATGATTGTCAGCGGTTAGAGGACTCACTCTGTCGTATCTTGAGACTTTACTGAGAATCTCCCGTCTACGACAAATTGCTCTTTATGAATAGAAATAACAAGCCTCGAGCCACTCTCAAGAGCACTAAGCCATAGTAATATAGTGGTAGTATATCAGTTTGTGGACTAAGCGAAGCACTGACGGCCGAGGTTCGATTCCTCGCTACGGCATTCTTTTTGCTCTTTTTGCCTTCGTTCATGGCGATAATAATCAGTGGGTAATGGATATATGCCGGAGCTCTAGCGAATTGAAAGCACGACAGCATGTTGAAGTACTTTTGTGCTCCCTTCGTAACAAACATGGAGGATGTTACTGTCTTAATCGAGGTGGAGTCTACAACAGACTTTATTCTTGGATCTTGCCAACAATGACAAACCATTTTGTATTTCAACTTCCCATAACTAAATAATATTGTTAAACATTTAATTGAACAAATTATTAATACGCGCATATTGACAGTTAGAAACCGCAGATGGGTTGCTGTGACTGTGACAAAGATAATTTTGACAGATGTTGTAAAGAAACATCGGCACGCGCTGCATTACATCTTCTAAGCCAGGTCTCACGGCTTAATTGAAACCTCCACATCCGATGAAATAAAAGCTCTACTATAATTAGTTTCATATCCGTCTTCCGTCTTACTCTAGTCTCACTAGTTTGTCTAGCTGATCAAATAAGCTTACCTATTCCTGGATACCAAGAACTCGATGCTACCACGTATGAAGCAGGTATTTAACAGAGCGGAACTCGACTTTGAAACTCAATACAGATGACCGCTACTCCGTCTCTTACTCCAGATTTCACTTCCAATTAACATTACATCCTCATCGAGACTCGTCACCATGCCATCCATCCCTCGTGCCACAATACTGGCCTTTGGCATAACCTCGTTTATATCGGGATGGGCTTCCCTCATCTCACCAAATCTAATGATCGAGTCTCTCAACCTCCCTACAGGCGCCCTACCAGCCGTAAAAGGCAACGCTCTGGCAGCCATTGCCATGGGCATTTACTACACACTGGCCGCGTACCAAAACAACACTGCATTCTTCGCGGCTACCGTTCCGATGAGGCTGCTTACAGCTACGGTATTCTGGGCGCAGGATTGGAAGGCTGCGTCGATCTGGGAGGGTGCAGGTGCGATTTTAACTGCAGCGGCTTTGGTCTTGTCTTGATATGCTTGGGGAAGCGAACCAAAAGTATCACATCTCAAGCACACACCCACCAAATGAAGCAATGATCTAATGTTACCACCTCTGCTGCAATAGCCGAGATTATCCGGTCTGACTGCATTTCAATTTGTCTTTTCTTTTTCTCTCCCCTCTTGGGAATGAGTCCTTCAACGTGAGTCACAGGAGGCTATTCTGGATATGGAGACACGGGAATTCGCCGGTGGAGTTGGATACGTCCATTGGGCAGGTGGAACAGTGCGATTAAAAGGTAGAAGTGCCAATACTCAACTCATGGTCAAGAGCAGTGAGACCATGTGATGGACAGCTTCATATGAGAATAGACACGCAAACCAGGTAACACGTCCAGCAAAATGAAGCATGTGAGATCCTACGAGCAATTAGTACTATATATAAAGAAACGTGCTTGAGCCTCACACAGTGCCAAAACTTAACGCCTCTATCACAAGACAGCCACTTTACGCGCGAATTGTGCGCGCAAAACCCTCCGCGCAGGCCAGTAAATCTCTCCTCATGGCTTGCGCCCGAGCCGTGATTGGCTGGAGATAGCTGATGAATCACACTGTGTCAGGAGGGACGCGATGGAGACATCCAAGTGTGGGCTTGGGATGCAGATATAGGGAGCAACGTCAGCTAAGATAGGCAATCCTTGCTGCTGCCTCGTCTCGTCGCATCTGATCTTCCCCTGATCAAGCCTGTCATCCGATATAGGACTTTGAATCCCGTCGCAAAGGCGCATTCGAACAGCTCGACACTTCTTCGATCTCACTTCTCGATATCGTCCTCTGTAAACTGTAAAAAGTCATCGTCACCATGGCCATGTACAGCGCTGTCCCGCCTCCTGAGGAGGCCCCTCCTCCCAGCCAGCTTACGGCAAGCATCATCTTCCCAGCTGCTCCGCCATCTGGTGCTCCCATCGACATCGAGGCTTGGACCATCTCGGCGCTTCAATCGCTCAGCGTTTCGCCCATTGCCCGCGGCACCGGGAGTCCTCTATCGATCCCTCTCGATGCGCTCCCAACGCCCTCCAAGCGCTCTGCTAGCCGGCAGCAGGTTACCATCACAACCGCTACCGAGGAAGTTCAGGTTACTGTTGTGGCTCCTCGCAGACCGCCATCTGCTCGGGACAGTATGAAGCGCAGAGAGGCCGTCCTGAAGGGCAAGGAAGGTAGCCGGCAGCGTCGGCGATGGGAGAACGGTATTAAATACTGCCTTGTCTGAATCAGATAACTTTCAGGCACCTTAGACACAGGTCGCTGATGATGAGGGAATCTCCTCTTAAACAGATCGTCTCATGCACGTCCCCAACGTCCAGCCGCCCGAGCCCGTCGACTGGGAAGTCCACCCGACACATCCCATCCACCGAGTCCCTTATCAGCTCGCTCAGTTCTGGGACCATGGCGTGCGCCAGCGCATTCAAGACAAGACGGCCAAGCTCCAGGCCGCGCGCAAGAAGCAGCAGCTCAAGACTGGCAGTGCAACAGGCCTCGGTGTAGGTGAGGTGCCGCGCGACCTTCGAGAAGCGACCAAGCGCAGCCCAGTAATCCGCACCTGGGTCAAGGCCCTTGAGGAGCCTGTGCGACAGTACATGGTTGATGAGCGCCGAAGGAAGAAGGCCGAGGATCAAGCCGACAATGGCAACGACGAGGACGTGGACAGCGCGGCGGAGGAGATGGACTCTGATGATGAAGAGATTGTCTTCGTGGGTCGTAACGGCAGAATGAGAGACTTGCAGGAGAAGAGGGCTGCTGCGGCTGCAGCTGCTGCAAGATACAGAACTGCCCACCGGCAAGTGTCACAGGAGACGGTTGACTCCGGGCTGGTGTTTGATTCCTTTGGCGATGATGAGAGCGCTGCTTTCAAGTGAGTTTCCCCTTTTTCTCGTGATACAATGTGTGAATGTTGGGAAAGCTAACTTGACATCCATCTCCAGGCGGTGGCTTACACATGCCATCTCGGACTACTATGGCCTGACATCAAGGTCAGTCACCTTAGCCAACGCCCAGAGGGTAGTATACATCGGCTTGAAGCAAGTTCCGCAGCTGAAGAAAGCTGTTCCTCTCATTGACCATCTGCCACGACCTTTGTGGGAGATCTGCTGAGTGTAGCCAAAGATGGACGAGTATAATCTTTACAGAGTAAAGGACGTGGAGACTTGGGTTATACAGGACCTCATGCCCTCACCATATACAGGCATCTTCTTGAGTATATTGTTTTACTAGACATATATGTTCCGTTCATTTAATACATCTAGACGAATAGAGGTGGTACTGGGAGATGACAAACGTACATTTGGTTTCAATGTAGAATCCATATATTCTTTCGTCAGATATCCTCACATCGCCACTGTTGTCCACCAAGGTCTACCGTCCGAAAGGAATATGCTGAGGAGGCTGGTCTCCCCATCTTCGATCTATTGCTTTTGCTGTCAGGAGCAACCCTTTTTCTCCACCAAGCAATGGTCCAAATCTGGCAACTCGTTCTGGCACTGACATGTTGAGAAACACGGCCAATCCCGACGCTCCACCCTGTTCGAAAAGCGTTTTGGAAAGCGCCTTGGCAGCATTTACATTCATGCCCGCTCTCCTGAGGAATAATTCCCACGGAGTTTCTTCAGAAGACAAAAACCTTGATAGCGCTTCGAATCTTGAGGAATATTGACACATAAAAGCCAAAACCCACGAGGCCATTGTCTCTGTTGCTCCTGGGATAAAGTGTACATCGACATCCCCGTCTAGTGCAACTGCGAAGCTCAAAAACTCAGCATAAGCGGCTGTATCCGACGGAGCCATTGTTCCCATAAACTCTCCCTTGGGCTGCGATTCTGATACTAAGACAATCAGAGTTTCATATCTCTGGCTCACTTTCTGCACACGCTCCCGTAGTGGAGTTTGAGACTGAGAGCCTGGAAGGGAACGTTGCCTGACCTTGAGAAGATTCGTGATGATGATTCCTGTTCCAGGCGAAAGGGATATATCAGCTTCAAAACTCAAAGGCGAGACAGCCTCTTTGGGCTGAGTAACGCCCGGTAACCTGGCGGTAGTGTTGTGACGCGAAAAGTCAACGTCGATTAACTTCTCGGGAGCCCACATACTCTCTAATCGTCTCAATATTGGCCTAGCAAGATCAACAGAAATGATAAAAGACGACTTCTCGGATGGTATCTCAATGTTGGGAATCGGCGCGGGAGGCATCTCTTCAGTCATCTGGAGAGGTACTATTTCGCGGTCGTTGGCTGCAGATGCTTCGTTGCCAGGGATAGACGGCAAAGTACCTGTACATTGACTCATTCCAGCGGGCTCTGTACTGAGGCGCGGTCTTTTCATGCCCCTTAGTTCCATAAAGTTGTGGAGGAGGATGCTCGTGGCACTCGTGTCATAAGACTTTGGTAATAGTCTTGGGCCATCGTCGTCGAGTTTCCTACGAGTTGGCCGATTGACTTTATGAGAATCCCTAATTTCCGAGACGCTTCTCTCGTTTCCTTGCTCCAAGTTCATCCAATTAGGGCCCTCATGATGCTGGGTGCTAGTAGGGGGCGCTTCGTCCGCTTCGTCGTTCAATAAGAATACCGATTCGATTTCTTCGTCGTGTTGAATATATAGGACATCCAGACTTGGCTTTATCGAAACGAAATCAAGACTACTTAAGAGAGAGGTGGAATCGAGAGAAAGATATTTTGCAATTATATCATCTGACACCGCAATTTCATCCACCATGATTGGCCGCATTTTCTCTAACGGGAAAACTGCCCATCTGAGAGAAGATTCTGAAGATGGATCCCGCGGAATTGGCAAGATATTAAAACAGTGAGGTATACTTTTTCTCAAGAATGCAAAATGAGTCTTCGCGGTGAAGTTCCTAAGAGACCATTCAGGAGGTGGGATGTCGAAATCAAGCAGAGGTACGGGAGCACGACATAGGGAGTCAGCTGGATGAAAACTCTCTTGGTTCACCAATTGGTTAGCATAATAATGCCGGTCCTCAAGCAGTGTCATGAAAGCATCTTCAAAATGCCCTGTTTCCTGGAGCGACTTGGAGACATTCTCGTCGTCATCACCAATTAGAGGCAGGTGGATGTCAGTGAGCGCGTTGGCTTCACTTAGGGTATCAGAGCTAGTAAAGACGACAGGAGCCTCGACTTTGGCCTCTTGGAACAGGGTGTGACATGTTTGGAAGAGCTGTGGTAATTCTCCTGCGGCTGGTGATGTCATGAAAGTGGACGAAATAATAGGGTCTGAGTCCATGTCACGCTGAATGGCCTCGAGCGCGGTGCGGTCAGGGCTGCTTGGTTCTGACACAAGATCAACGACCGCCGCACCACCATCAGGAATGAACGGTACAGTGTCGTCTGAAACTGGAGACAAGGGGGGCGAGATAGGATCCAGGCAGCTGTATTGATACTATAAGCTGTCAATTGCGGTGGACAATGGCGATCCAAGCAGTGAAGTTGACTCACAGGCTTGATTTTTGTTTGTTCTAGGGGCAAAATCTCATGTTCGGAAACTGTCAGCGATTTGCTTTGTTCTCTCACAAGATTCACAGCGTCCTTCGATAAGGTAGGTTTATCTGTGTCAAGTTCACGATGCAGAAGCTTCCATAACAGGGTAAGACCAGTTGGAAAGTTGAGGCTTTCATCTCTATCTGGCCTTGTGCAAGTGAATGGGATCCATTGCTTGAAAGGATCACTATATCTCTTAGTATGAACCTGGCGTAGGTACTCTTGGACATCACTCTCATGACAAGACCCCAAGTCCAGCTCGCCGACAGGAAGAAAAAGTTCTTTCGTAAAAGTGTTGGTAGCTGATAGGGAAATTTTTGATGGAGAATCGTGGAGAAGCTTCTCGAGATTCTCCCGGTGATGTTGATGCTGGTCAAATACATCTCCTGTCAGTTGTGGGTTTGGAAGAGGAACCATCTTCAATCCCGGCTGGGATACAAATCCATCTGCTTCGGCAGTCTCTCTTGTGCTCTGTATGTCTGTCACATGGGATTGGAACGTAAATGGGTGTCGCCTATGGTTTCTGAAGCACTTCTCGCGACGGCCATATTCGTCAGCCGTTTCAGTTCTCTCGATGGGTTTGCCTGGAGCTGGTGTCATGTTGAATACCAATATTCGTGTATTTCGGGGTTCCTAGGGCTGTAAGACATGAAGAAGAATCGGTCAGTACCTATGAAGACTGCGATGTTGGATGAGGGTGAATGATTATTCTTGATTGTGACCAATTGGTTTGCAATAAAATATTTGGAAGGAGAGCTGATTGATGGATATGGAAAGCGACAGATATCGATAACGTCCTTCCCGTGACCCATGATACGACACCAGCTTTAATCTATCACAGGGAATCCAAGCTACTTAGAGAGCTCTTGAAACATATAATTATCGATTTATCTTACGCCTTCAGGGCTCTGTTATGGAAGACGTTCAGCGGGCATCAACTTCCAGTCGACATCAACCAACATACCCTGCAGAGCAGCAAACGCAAATGAGGCTTGCCGCATGGACTTTAGCTATAAGCAGCCCCAGTGACGGGTTACAGGGGACCACCCCACTAAAAGTGGCTTCTTGCCCCGCCAAATCAACTCCAGTACAAGGTGCTAGAAGCCGCTTACATATGGCGGGCTGCCTATCTCCGATAAGTTGATAAACATCCCGCCCAGTTGCGATCCCCAGCTTGACGCAACAGCTCTCAAGCTTCATCCTTGGGCCGTTCGGAGCACCAGGGCCGTTCCATGTAGCCTGTGCAATAAAGCCTGCAAAGCTTCTCTCTTTCGCAGTCGTTCTGTTCCTCCACCATGGCGTATGTCGCACCAGTCCACAAGCCGACCAGCATCAGGCATGCCCTGCGCATCCGGTTCCTGTCGCCTGATATCGAGGATTTGGTCGTTGCGTGAGTGTTTCCTACGGCTTCCGATTGCTTGTATACCATTTGCTCACTCGTATCAACGCACAGGAAAGCAAATCGACTGGAAATATGGCGAGTCACCGAGGAGGGCATGACGTGCCTCCACACAAAAGTTGTCCATGGTACCATAGACATGCTCCAGCGGCTGCAGCCGAAGGATTCCGCTACAGACCTTCTGTTCATCGGCACAGATAGGCTACAGTACTTCAATATAGCTTGGAATCCTGAAACAAACCAGCTAGATGCTGTCGAGCAGACAATACACGATTCAGCAGAACCCTATATGCGGCAATCGCAAAGCCAAAATAGATGTCTTGTGGACCCCACTGGCAAGTTTATGGCCATGCACCTTTGGGAGGGGGTGCTGAACGTCTTTCGCCTGCGAATACGCAAGGGTTTAACCACAAAGCTTGAAGTGCTGGACCAGGTCCGGTTGACTGAATTATGGATGAAATCGAGCGTATTCCTACATAGTCGAACCGGCCACCCGAGAATCGCGTTTCTCTACAAGAACCAGCTTGACCGCGAAGAAGCTCGGGTTGCTGTTTATCGACTGACGGATGACGATAAGGGCGGCGTCTCGTCCAAGTTCGACCCACTCAAGGACAGAGAACTGGACGAGGTTATTCGTGACCCTTATGCGTCCATGCTCATACCCGTTCCAGTGTATGAGGAGAAGCGATACCACGTGCGCAATAACGAGGGAGCCAGGGCACATCTAGGCGGCCTTCTTGTGGTTGGAGAGACTCTTCTTACATATTTCGACAGCCTCACATATTCTAGCGTGAGCTCCACCCTTGAGGACCCGAAGATATATGTTGCTTGGGCTGAGTATGACGGGACGCATTACTTCTTGGCCGACGACTACGGCCGTCTTGATCTACTTGAAATCAAGACTACTAATGAATCAACTGGTGTGGTGGTCACTGGCATGGAGGTGCATCCGATATCTTTTCAAGATTCGAGCCGATATACATCAAGAGCGTCCAGCTTAGTTTATATGGGAAATAATCTCCTATTTATTGGTTCACATCATGGCGACTCTCAGCTACTACATATCGATGTTGAAACCCAGCAAATGACTCTTGTCAAAGTTTTATCCAACAACGCGCCCATCATGGACTTTACCATCATGGATCTGGGAAACAGAGAGGGAGACGCACAGTCTGGCAACACCTTTTCATCAGGGCAGGCGAGGATTGTGGCCGGCTGTGGTGCTTACCAGGATGGAAGCCTACGGAGCATTCGCAGCGGTGTTGGCCTTGAAGACCGTGGTCTCTTGGATGAAATCCAGGGCACTAGGGGGCTATTCACCTTGCGATCAGTGGACTCGGAAAAGGCCGATACCGTTGTCATATCCACGCTAACTGGAACTCGAGTTCTCCGATTTGAGCCCGATAACATTGAGGAGCTCTTTTCCTTTCAGGGAATGGATCTCGAATCGGAAACGCTCTTGGCTGCAAACCTGCCAAACGGTCAGCTGCTGCAAATAACACCTCGAGTTGTCAATCTCTTGGACCCTGACAGCGGGGCTTCTTTGGGCTCATGGCAGTCACCCGAAGGCAAAGTGATCACGGCGGCGTCTGCCAATACCAAGTGGGCTTTACTGTCTATAGATGGATCAATATTGGTATCCTTAAACCTTCTTGACGGCTTAAAGGCGGTTATCCAAAACGCTACACAAGATTCGGTATCCGGACAACCCGATCAAATATCCTGCTTACATGCGGCGCGCGAACCTCAAGACTTCGGTGTGGTCGGTTGGTGGACTTCGGGAACGATTTCAGTTGTAGATCTGGCGACTTTAACACCACTCCACGGTGAACCACTGAGGCAGACAGACGACAGTTCTTCAGTTCCACGGGATGTGGCCCTCGTCCAGCTACATCCGCCTGACATCTCGGGCCCAACCATGTTGGTGGCATTGGAAGACGGAAATCTCATCAGCTTCAATGTCTCGGTTAAAGGCTTCTCAGTATCTGGTAGGAAGACAGTCACACTGGGAAGCGGTCCGGCACGGCTACACGTTCTACCCCGAGCGGACGGGATCTGCAACGTGTTTGCGACTACAGAGCATGCTAGCTTAATTTATAGTTCAGAAGGGCGTGTTGTCTACTCAGCGACTACGGCTGATGACGCGACATTCGTGGCCCCGTTCGACTCGGAAGCCTTCCCAGACTCTATCGTGTTATCAACAGAAGATCATATCAGGATCTGTCAGGTTGATAACGAAAGGCTTACCCACGTCAAAGCACTCCCTATGAGCGAGACCGTCCGTCGTGTAGCTTATTCACCGGGCTTGAAGGCTTTTGGACTGGGCTGTATTAAAAAGGAGCTGGCTGACAACGAGGAGGTCATTACGAGCACCATCAAACTAGTCGATGAGATCATCTTCCAGGAGCTAGGGAAGCCATTTGAGCTCAATGCCTCCTCGTCATTGGAGCTGGTCGAGTGCATAATTCGGGCCGAATTACCTGACAGTAATGGCGTCTTGGCCGAGAGATTCTTGGTCGGCACGAGTTTTGTCGCAGACCCTGGCACAGAGGAAGCAGGAGAGACGAGAGGCAGAATATTGGTCCTTGGTGTCGACGAGTCGCGGCAGTTGTACCAAATCGCCTCCCATAACTTGAAAGGAGTGTGCCGTTGCCTAGCCATCATGGATGACTACATTGTCGCTGGACTGACTAAAACGGTGGTTGTTTATTCTTTCACCCAAGAGACGTCGACGGCTGCCAGTTTAAAGAAGCTCGCATCGTTCCGCCCCGCATCATTCCCAGTCGATCTGGACATCTCTGGGAACATCATCGGTATTGGTGATCTCATGCAATCCCTTACTCTTGTTGAATTCACACCGGGTCAAGATGGTAAGAAGGCAACGTTGGAAGAGAAGGCAAGACACTATCAACAAGCTTGGACTACATCGATCAGCGCACTGGATGATTCTAGGTGGCTAGAGGCGGATGCTCAGGGTAATATCATTGTGCTCAGACAAAATCAAGAAGCACCTACAGAGCAAGACCGTAGCCAGCTGGAGATTATAAGCGAACTCAACATTGGGGAACAGATCAACCGGATCCGGAAGATTCAGGTTGCGCCTGCTGAAAATGCCATTGTGGTACCAAAAGCATTTTTGGGCTCGGTAAGCTTGATACATATCTCTCAAGAAATAGCGATCTGAAACTGACTAATTGGACAAATAGATTGAGGGAACTCTTTACCTCTACGGCGACATTGCCCCCAAGTACCAGGATCTGCTAATGACGTTCCAGTCAAGACTCCAAGAGTATATCCAGACACCTGGAAACCTGTCGTTTGACACTTGGCGGGCGTTTAGAAACCAGGCTAGAGAAGGTGAAGCTCCTTTCCGATTCGTGGACGGTGAAATGATAGAGAGGTTCTTGGACTTGGACGAGAACCAGCAGGGGCTGGTGTGCGAAGGGCTGGGACCAAGCGTGGAAGACATGCGGAACATGATAGAGGAGCTCAGAAGGATGCACTGAGGCTGATGCATAGCATGTTTCTGGATCGAAAGGATTTACGATATACGTGATGGAAGATGGCGAAGGCGATGCGTTGCTAGGTATTGATGCCTGGCATTGAGTTTCATAGACAGTGGACTGGCGGTGGTGGAGTCGGTTCACGAATGAACCACGTCCTGATACGATCTTGCTAGTTGCTTGAGTTACTGATGTAGGTACATGTAGGATGAAATGTCAAAAAAATACAAATTTCGAGAAAATATCTGATTCAATCTGCTTTTTTATTCTCTATTGATGTCAATTTTATAAGACTATGAAATGCCCTTCTAGAATAGCTCCAGTCCCTTGTTGACATCAGTCGATTGCTTACCAAAGGCGGAACAGACCGGGACGCCGAAGCTCCCGGCGAATCAGCGCGCCGCAATTTCCACCGCAGCTGACCATGGCAGCCTCAGAACTCAGGCCACGACCAGAAAAACCGGATCCCAAAACTTTCGGCAATCCATCACACCTGTTAGCCCGAGAGAGCCAAGCAACACGGCGAAAAGACCTCAACTCACCACCTTCGACCTTCGCCCTCGAACCCTCTTACCATGGCGCCTCTCGCTACCGCTTCCCGCCTGTGCCTGCGCTCGTCGGCCGTGGCCAAGCCTGCCGTGCGCGCGCTGAGCTCGTCGGCCGTGCGCCAGGCTGATGCTCCCGGAGCGGCTTCCTACACCAGCCCCTTCAAGGGCGAGTCCAAGGGCAGCAAGATCCCCGACTTTAGCAAATACATGTCCAAGGGCAGCGAGACCTCCAACAAGCTCTTCTCGTACTTTGCGGTCGGCACGATGGGTGCCATTACTGCTGCCGGAGCCAAGAGCACTGTTCAAGGTGGGTTGCTTGTTTGTGTGGGGGAGGGGGGAAACGGGTTGAAGATGGGAATTGGTGCTCTGGATGAGCTGGAATTGGCTTATACGAGGCCATTGGAGCTTGAGGGACTTGGAATTGAGCAATTGGGTCGTTTTCGTGCACGAGGCTAACACGTGGGTTGCTATAGAATTCCTCCTCAACATGTCTGCCTCTGCCGACGTTTTGGCCATGGCCAAGGTCGAGGTTGACCTGAACACCATCCCCGAGGGCAAGAACGTGAGCATACCCGACGAACTCTATACGCAAAAAAAGAACCGCATTTGACTAACTCCCTCCCCCCTCAGGTCATCATCAAGTGGCGAGGCAAGCCCGTCTTCGTCCGTCACCGAACCCAGGACGAGATCGACCAGGCCAACAAAGTCAACGTCGCCTCCCTCCGAGACCCCCAGTCCGACGAGGACCGTGTCAAGCGCCCCGAGTGGCTGGTCATGCTGGGCGTCTGCACCCACTTGGGTTGTGTCCCCATTGGCGAGGCCGGCGACTTTGGTGGCTGGTTCTGCCCCTGCCACGGCTCCCACTACGACATCTCTGGCCGGATACGAAAGGGCCCCGCGCCTCTCAACCTGGAGATTCCCGAGTACGACTTCCCCGAGGATGACAAGCTTGTCATTGGTTAAAGATCGCGAATACATGTATAAAGAATCGGGGGGAACAAAAGAGAGGGGGGGAGACTGTCCTGTCACAAACGATGTAACAGTATAGGGGGGAGTCTTGGGAACTAAAATGGGTGAAAGATGAGACAGCTCCCGGACAAAAATACATAATTCGTCTCGGAATTACAAAAAAACATAGATTCTCTCTGGGCGGTCAAGTCTATCGGCGGGATGGGAGGTTGGAATGAAGAAATGGAAGATGGTGTCTCATGATGCTGGGAATGGGACACACAAACTCCTTGTTTCTTAGACGTGAGCCATGTGCAGCATTGTATAAATAAAAACGTTTTACAAAAAAAAGAGAAGAAATGCTCTTAAACTTGTTAGTGAGAGCGTACCGAGAATTTCATCACCGAATGAGACGGGGGCTGAAACTAAAAGAGTAAAGCAAAAAGAACATAATTTGGCTTGTAGCCAAAGAAATATTATAGACTGAGTATTTTAAATTTCTTTTGTCTATTCTTCATACCCATTTTCTCTCCCACCCGAAGAATTAGTGTCCATGGCCATCATCCTCCGCGCTCTGCTCCGGATCCAGCTTGATCAGCGTGTCAATTCGCATAATGCTGATACAAGCCTCGACCGCACTCTTCAGCTGCCGAACCTTGCTAATCGTGGGCTCCAGCACGCCGAGCTTAATCTCGTCCACGACCTTGCCCTTGGTGAGGTCCAGGCCGTAGTTCTTGTAGCTCTTCTTCTTGGCAATCGACTTCTCGTCCTCGTTGGCGTCGCCCTCCTGGACGCGTTGTGACAGGGCGTGCCTGGAGCGCAGCTGGGCGACGAGCTCCGCGGCGTCCTTGGCGGCGTTGACGGCGAGCGTCTTGGGGATGACGAGCAGGGACTGGGCGAACTCGCCAATGGCCAGCTGCTCGCGGGATCCGACGGTGCCGGCGAACTCCTCGAGGTAGATGTGGAGGGCGGTCTCGACGGCGCCGCCGCCGGGGACGATGCTGCCGCTTTCTAGCGTCCTCTTGACGGCGCAGAGAGAGTCGTGGACTGATCGCTCAATCTCGTCGAGAGAATATTCGTTGGGTCCTCGCAGGATGACGGAGGCGGAGGAGTGGGCCTTGGTGCCCTTGATCAGAATGCACTCGTCGTCCGAGATGCGCTCCTGGAAAACCTCCTCAGCGTGTCCCAGGTATGAAGGGTCAAACTTCTCATCACCATTCAGGTCAGAGAGTGTGCTCAGGAGGGTACCGCCTGTGGCCTTAGCAATTCGTCTCAGGTCATCCTTCTTGCATCTTCTGACACCCATGGCGCCCTTCTCAACCATCATCTTCAGGACCATGTCATCGATACCCTTGGTGGTAAGGATGACGTTGGCACCAGCCTTGAGGATCATCTCTACCCTCTCGATGATCATGCCGGATTCCCTAGCGCGGATAGCCTCCAGCTGCTGAGGGTCATCGACCGTGATCTGGACGCCGAGCTTCATTCTCTCCTTTTGCAGGTTCATGTCCAGGATGGCAATCTTGGCATCCTGAATACGGGTAGGCATGGCCTGAGAAGCAACTGTGCAGTTCAAGGCATAGCCCTTGACCAGGACTGACTCGAGAGCGCTCTTGCCGTGGGCCTTGAGCAGGTTGACGGCCTTGACGGGATATTTGGACTCGTTCCTGTTGTTGGTTGTCTTGACCGCCTGAATGGCATCGACAACCAGGTCGGCGAAGAAGTCGGAATCAGCACCAATGATCTTGCTGGACATGGAGGTCTTTGCAATGTTGAGGAGTGAATCCCGGCCGAGGTTGTCGACCTTGATGCTGACGTTCTCGTTCAGGTACTTGATCGCCTCTCGCAGGGCCAGTCTGTAGCCGGTGATGATGGTGGTGGGGTGGATGCGGTTCTTCATCAGCTCGTTGCCCCTTCGGAGCAGCTCGGCGGCGATCAGGACAACTGATGTTGTGCCATCACCAACCTCCTTATCCTGCTGCTGGGCCAGGTCCACCAAGATCTTTCCGGCGGGATCTTCGACGTCGAGGAGGGTAAGGATCGTAGCACCGTCGTTTGTTACCGTGACGTCCTGTTTGCAAGAGATAGTAAGCAAGCTGTTGTGGTTCATGTCCGAGTCGCTTCGCATCGGGAATAGGGGCAAAGGGCTCCAGTCGTCTCAATCGAGGGGCAGTCGGTGTATGTACTCACGCCAATGTCGTCCACCATCATCTTGTCAAGACCGCTGGGGCCAAAAGAGCTCTTCACCACATTGGCGATGGCTTGTGTTGCCAGAACTGCGCCCGTCAGTAACCGACTCGTCCAAGTCATGAGCAGCAGCCCAACGCACCATTTTGGTCTCGAATATCGGATCCTGAAATCTTCTGGCCACCGAGGAAAAGGGTCCCGTTCCGGGGCTGCTCGAAGAGTGCTGCCATGGCTGAACTGAAGCAGTGCTGTGATGCGATACAAGCCGCCTAACAGTCGCTGTGAATGGGATATTGAGAATAAGGGAAAGGAGTGGAGGCTCGAGGATTCGACAAGTTTCTGCCTTGACTGTCTACCCTGGCTTACCTAGCCAAAGCTGCGAAGCTCAGTAATGGCGGCACTTGTCCCGCTGCCCCTCGACTTTTTTGTCGGAAGCACAGATTGTTCCAGCTCCGGCGCTGCCAAACAGCCTCCAACAGCGCTGGCAGCCCCTCCAAGCCCCAAATTCCTAGCGCTGCAAGCCCTGATTGGGTGGCGCTCAGGGGACCGTGGACGTGAAATTTGTCCTGCGCTGCCCCTCCTTTCTGAGGAGGGACACACTGATAGCGGGGCAGAGCAAAGGCCTGGCATTGAGCCTCTCGTGACTCTTTTTTCGGCCGACTGACTCCCTCTCGTTGCGCATCTTGCACTGCACAGTGACTCAGGATTCCGACGTGTCGTGCGTTGTATTGAAGGCAAGCTCTTTGTAGTGCGATAAAAGGTATGCATTGACATCTTCAATGTCAATATCCAACAGACTCCAGAGTCACAACAATCCACCTTATCTCGAGCCTCTCCTAACATTTACCAGAAACAACAGTTCCACCATGGAGAACGCCGCCGAACCTCCCAAGGAGCCCTCCAAGAGCGCCCTCAAGAAGGCCGAGAAGCAGGCCAAGATGGCTGCCGACAAGGCTGCAAAGGCCGCTAAGCAGGCTGCCCTCCCCATCGTGGGCGGAAAGAAGACCGACGATATCATTGGAATCACCGTCACCAAGGCAGAGAACTTCCCAGCATGGTACCAGGAGGTCGTTCTCAAGGGCGAGATGGTCGAATACTACCAAGAAATCTCTGGTTTCTTCGTCCTGCGCCCTTTGTCAATGCACATCTGGAACGTCATCCGAAAGTGGTTCCAGGACCGCATTGAGCTGATGGGGGTTGAGGAGACCAGCTTCCCCATGTTCCTCTCCTCCAAGTCGCTGGAGAAGGAGAAGGATCACGTCGAGGGCTTTGCTCCCGAATTGGCTTGGGTGACCAAGGCGTACGTATTTATTACCTGGATATTCGTTCCTAGCAGAACCATAGACTAACCCGTATCCAGTGGTGACAAGGATCTCGAAGTTCCCGTCGCAATTCGTCCCACGTCTGAGGCTGTCATGTACCCTTACTACGCCAAGTGGATTCGCAGCCACCGAGATCTTCCCCTTCGACTGAACCAGTGGAACTCGGTTGTTCGATGGGAGGCTAAGCAGACCACTCCTTTCCTCCGAACAAGAGAATTCCTCTGGCAGGAGGGCCACACTGCCCACCTGACCGAAGAGCTTGCCGGAAAGGAGGTTTTGGAGATTCTGGAGCTGTATGCTGGTGTCTACGAGCAGCTTCTGGCTGTCCCCGTTGTCCGAGGACGCAAGACTGAGAACGAGAAGTTCGCTGGTGGTTACTACACAACCACCGTTGAGGGCTACATTCCTTCCAACGGCCGTGGTATCCAGGGTGCCACGTCCCACTGCTTGGGCCAGAACTTCAGCAAAATGTTCGACATTACTGTTGAAGACCCTGCCAACAAGGGTTCTCACATCCACGTCTGGCAGAACTCTTGGGGTCTGTCCACCCGTGTCATTGGTGTCATGATCATGGTACACGGTGATGACAAGGGTCTTGTCCTTCCTCCCCGAATTGCCAAGACTCAGACCATCCTGATCCCCGTCGGTATCAACAAGAGCACTACCCCCGAGGACAGGAAGAAGCACGAAGAGCAGCTGGATGGCATCCGGGATACCCTGAAGAAGGCTGGTGTCCGAGCTGAGTCTGACTGGAGAGAGGGCTACACTCCTGCCTGGAAGTTCAACGACTGGGAGCTCAAGGGTGTTCCTCTGCGAATTGAGTTTGGCCCCAAGGATGCTGCCAAGGAGGTTGTCAGCTGGGCCAGACGTGATACCGGTGAGAAGGGCACCATCCCTATCGCCGAGGTCGCTACCAAGGTTCCCGAGCTGCTGGAGACTATTCAGTCAGATATGTACGCCAAGGCCGAGAAGTCGTTCCGCGAGCACCGCCTGCAGATTACCAAGTGGGAGGATGTCCTTCCCGCTTTGGATGACAAGAACGTTGTCCTGATTCCCTTCTGTGGCGATGGCAAGTGCGAGGACCGCATCAAGGAGCTGACCACTCGTGAGGACACTCAGCCTGACGTCCCCGAGAGCCAGAAGCTCCCCTCCATGGGCATGAAGAGTTTGTGTATTCCTTTCGAGCAGCCTGAGGGTGTTGTTGCCGGCGAGACGGATTGTCTTAGCCCCGAGTGCCAGCGCAAGGCTCAGTTCTGGACCATGTTTGGTAGAAGCTATTAAATCTTGGGCAAAGAAATGGTGCATAGAAGGAGTTATTTGTGTAAAAAGTGGTTTTATGTATCCCACTTGTGATTTGCTAAACGGGTTGATACTCACAAGGGGAACGCAGAGGGATAAATTTATTAAATGACGTTAATGATCTTGATTTCTTGTTCGCTTGTTCTTTTTTCTGTGACCCTATGTATCTTTTACGTCTATGTTCAATTTTATCAAGCTAACACCACTCGAATCTCTCATTGACAACCCAGTCTATGTCTTCGGTAGCGCCCTCGCCGAACCAGTTCAAACTGGCCAGGTTCTTGTCTTCTCTAACGACAAACGTAGTCTGGAATTCGGTGGCAGCCTCAGCAGCCTTCCTTACTCTGTTGAGGGGGTTCCAAATCTCGACCTTTGAGCAGGCCCAATCCTTGGCTTCCTTTTCAGCAGCGCGGAAGATCCCCACAACAGCTGTGGATAACTCTTCGTCGGAGATGCTCTCGTCCTCAATGACGAATCTCAGGAAGCTCAAGAGATTCTTCTCCGGGTGATCTGGGCCGCCGTAGTGATTCCGCTCGAACAGACCCCATACTCGGGAGCCGGTTGAGGGAGAGGTGTAGAGGGCGCCGTGAACGGTGGGTTTGCGGCCAAACGCGGCGTTGCAGATGAATGCCTCGCGGTAAAAATGCCATTGAAGAGCATCGATGTCAGGGATGACGGCAACGCGGAACTTGGAGGCATCAGTAGCGTTAGGCTTGGCTATTTCCTTGCGGATGAGAATCTCGTCTCGCTCAGCCAGTTCGGTCAGATGCTCCTCGTGAATAAGCGTAACAGACGACGTATCGAGCTCTGCGGCAGTTTGTCTGACGCGAAACTCAATCTGAGTGTTTTCCAGGGGCAGCCATCCGTGCTTGGCATAGAATACTCTCCCAATGTCAGAAAACAGGACTGAAAACGCCGGCTCGCCAATCTCCCGCTGCTGAGCCGCCATGTACCCGCGCAGCAGCTCAATCATCTTGCCGGCATACCCCCGGCCACGGAACTCCTTGTGAGTGAAGACGCTGGCGATGCCATACGCCCACACGTCGTGGACGCTGCCGTCATCGCGGTTTCTCACGAGGGCTCGCTTGCGCAGGGTTTCGCAGGCGGCCAGGACGGGGCGCTCGCCGTTTACGGGAGCGGCGGCGGAGTCTGTGAGGATCCAGTTGGTGATGCCGCCGTTGCGGGCGAGTGGGATGGAGAGGAGGTATTCCTCGCGCTCGAGATAGTCTGGGACGGTGAGGCTGTTGCCCCATTCGGTCTGGTTGTAGAGCCAGGTTCGGGTGCGTTCTTGAGGGGTGGGATTGGTGAGGATGATGGTGGGGGAGGAAGAGGATGGGAGGGATGAGGCCGAGGCTGAGGCTGACATGATGGGCGGCTGGAGTGTTCTGGGAGAACTACTAAGGTTTGGCTTTGCTTGTGTAATACTGCAATACTCCCAAGGCTGTAAGATCGCTGGTAATATCGACAGAGGATACAGGTAGTTTCGTTGCCGTATGTAGCAAGGTGTTTAGAGTCATCGGAGAACTACTATGCTAACTCTCTTAGTCTCTTTTGTCCCCATCTTGACCTGGGTCATGTAAGCAAAGCAATACCTCCTATCACCACTAATTAAGTGCTTGTACTACCAAAAACATTGCAGATAACGAAAACGAGTAGTGAAAGTCTGCCCTTCTTATAAGAGAAAAGTCTCATGTCAACTCATGGCGTCTCAATTGACGTCGACTGAAGATCCAACGTCCAACTAAAGACTATGAGCCTACTGAAAACTGCTGCAGATACCCCGCCTTTTCAGGGTCCGAACCGGCGAGCCAGAATCGGCAACGGCGCGGGAGAGGCTTTGTTAGTTTAAGTTACAGGAATACAGTAACTCTGTACATGAGAAACCATGGGGGAAAAGAATATGATGAGATACATAATTTTGTCCTGTTTTTCTTTTTCTTATTCTCTTCCTTCCTTTTCATTTTCCTCTTTTTGCTTCACAAATTGTGGCGAGCCGTGTGTTGTAGGTCTTAGACGGAAAACGGCGGCTTCCGCTCTCTGATGAATTTGACCATCACATGCACGCGAGTGTCTCCGTTCACGTATTTCACGTCTCTTGATATTGGCTTGTCATTATTTCCTACTGTATTCAATTATTTATTTCCTCCTCTTTAATTTCTTTTTGTTCCCGTCACGGATGCTGGCATTGGGATGGAGAAAAAAAAAAACTCTGAGTTACTACTAAGAATTCGCAACAAGTTGCCCACATGTCTATTTACATAATTCATTCGTGACAACACAATGCTTTAACTCAGGACATAGCTAGTAATTCACAAAATCTATAAATGGCCTCGGATCGTGTTTATCTTCGTATCGTGTTTGAGATGCTACAGTGCCGATTACGGTAGACGCAGCCTGAAACATACACTTACCTCATGCTTGTACCACCACAGCGTATTACCCTAGAATATTTATTAGAAGTAAGTCGTTTGACACATGCAATAGTAATAGAGACACAAACGCTTTCTAAGCCTCTTGATTATGAAGGCAGTCGATTAAGAAAGTGGAATTGTGGTCTATTATATGCTCTTTATCATCTAGAATCGCACGCTGGGATTCTATTCGCGATGTAGTACATGCGCCCAATTGGATAATATGCTGAGTATCCATCAGTTGGTAATACGCAGGAGATTACTACACTTCACAGATCACTTGACGCATCTCAACAGATCTTGGTAGTACCTTTAGGCCTGACGTCTTGGCAGCAACTCTCCCTTGGGGAGCAATTTCCGGAACGCGAAGTATATGAGACATTCCACGTCCATCTCAATTACCGTTGTAATCTGAGTTCAGCTGTCTTCTTTTACTTCTCCTCCTCCTTTTTCTTCTTCCTCCCCAATGTAGATTATCGGAGCAAACATGACGAGAGATTGAGCAAAGATTACACTACGAAAGCTGCTGTATACCCATTCCAGTATATGATCAGTTTATGGAAACGAACTTTTGTCCAACAGATGCGCAACTTCTTCTTCCTCGAGATATTTTTTCCGCAGAACATACTGTGTCGGAAGTCATTGAACAACGGCGGCAGAATCCGATAAAATGGAAAACGCTTCCTCTCCTCATTCTACCATGAATGCAAGCAATCCACATTTTGCGGCAAATCAAGGGCTAGGATTACTCTTTTCTGACGCCAGAAGCCCAGTGAGAGATAGAGAACCGCACGCAAATCTCAATCCACCCAAGTCAAATCAGCATCTCCAAGGCAACACGGTTTTCGATGCCCGATTTTGGCAAGAAAATGTCCCAATGCTAATACAAAACGATGTCGCCGTCCAATCTGCCAATCTAGCTGTCCTCACCCTTATATACGCCCAGTCAGCAGTTGGTGTGGGATGCAATCACTATGAGAAAGCCTTGTGGCATTACGGCCGAGCTCTTCAGTTCGTAAGAGAGACAAGCACCTCTCAAGAGAGCCTGCGACCAGCCATTCTATGTTCCCTGTTCTTTGTAATCTTTGAAATCATGAACGGGAATACAGATGCCGCAGAGTCGCACTTGTGGAACGGAGAAAAGATGGTTTTGGAGCTTCAACGCCTGGAATCACGACCTAGAAGTATAGATGTGGACGGAGAAGGGATTTTACGACGGGAGTTACCTTGCGCGCTCCAGTTTCTGATGTTGCAGAGCGATACGCCGAACCTCAATTTTGAGAGAGCAGGTTATTTGGAAGCGTTTATTCGGACAGCTACAAACCCGGATCGCGTACCGAATATTGTTCCCGGGACATATCCAGATGAAAGAACGGGGAGGGTTGAGAGGTTATTATAAGTAGGCAATTTTATTATGATGGACAATGCACCTGTCATTTTTGAGTTGAACTATTTCGCAGACAAACACTTCTTTTTCTACATGTATTTCTCCACCTCCCTAATCTTCTTCTCTATACATGTGAATTCAACCTTGCATCTTGATATGCTTCTCCAAATCTATTCTAGTTTCTCTCGGCCTTAATAAGAAGTAAAGCCGCTTAGCCCGTCACATGAACCTAGGCTGATCTTTTGAATCGGAACGACAGGATAGCCGGCAGCTGTGGAAAGTTGCATGAAGCCTCCACTCTCTCCGGGACAGCATCCTCTTCAGTAAAACTAGGCTCTTCAAGTGCATCCAATGCCAGACCCCTCTTAAAGAAGACACCCAATAGTTCATGGAGAGGGCGGTGGAAGTAATACTATCATTTTCTGTCAGCCACTTGCACTCGCACTCAAGATAGGTATTCGACAGTGAGTAGTTATTTGCTAAAGGCTCCAACTCACCTGTTTTGTTGGCTGTCCCACAATGAACACGCCTTTAGATGGCTTGACATGGAGGTATTCCCTGATAACTTTGCTACGGATGATGTGTTGTTCGCCGGTCAAAGGGTCGAATGTGATTTCGATGTTGCGGGAATAGGTGGAGGTGAAGAAGACTGGGTGGAGGATGGTGGCTACGAAGCTAAATTGCAGAGTAAATGTTTAGAAGAAGTTACCTCGTTTCGGAATAGGAAGAACCAGATGGACATGGCTGGACTTACACGCCGTCCTTCTTGAGTAGTTTCGGAAGCGCGTCTGCGAGAGGATCAAGAGTGGCGACGTCCATGATCGACATGTTCATGAGGATGATATCGAAACCGCCAATCTTGAGACATGATTATGGCGGTCAGCCAATGCACCAATGTTTTCTGAACGAGAAACAAGACATATGACTTTAGAGTATCACCTCGGCAGCTTTTTCCACGAGAGGCTCAAAGTCGTTCGCATCAGTCACGTCCAGCTTGCTAAAAGATATCCTGCCATCTCTATCGGCATTCTCGTACTTCTTGGCCTGCTCCAGCATGCCAAAAGTGCCGTCTGTGGCGATGATGCTGGCGGCGCCGTTGTCTGCGAGCCAGCGAGCACAGAGACCATTGCCTGTAGCCAGCTCCAAAACCGTGCAGCCTTGCTTGCTGAGGTTCGGACCAAGGAGGCGTTGGAGAGACGGTTCTTGAAGCTGTTTCCAGTATTTATTGCCGTGCTCGCCGACGCCAGAGTTCCAGAATTCGGCATTGACTTCCCATGTGGAGAGAGCTTCTTTACTGAGATGGGGAGCTGACATTGTGCGTAGGACTTTTTTTTCTTTGTCTATTTAATGTTGCCAAATTCTCATGAATTTGAAGTCGACAATAATCTAAGTGAGCTGATCAAAGAAGAAAACAAAAGAACGAAAAGAGAGTCGCCTTGTTGCATCGTGGGCACAACATTTCATATTACAAGCATTGTACTTGCAGCTCTCTCACTGAATTTTCACTTCACCGGATGAGTCAATCGGCGATGCAGCGTTTTAGGCTTCGCGTGCGTACACCAATGAAAAGAAACCTGACGCCTGGATTAGGATTGGATTGCAGCGCTAGGACCACTACTACCTGTATTGGACTGGCACCGAATCAAGCTTACTTAGAGCCAACAAGCTTTGCGAGATGATGCAATCTCGAAGCTGGAGGATAGAGACGCGCCCTGTCGATGACAACTAACTTATATGTGGTCTCTCATTTAAAGATGAACACGCTTGCATTTCTCATCATACAGTGGGGGTGCCATTGTCATCACCAGTCGGGCTATCTTCATGTTCCAACCTATGGCCTCTTAGCCAAGGCGTGATCTAAGAAACCGGAGAAATATTGCCAACGGGCCGTATGTTTCGTCTAGATCCTCACTGCAACGCTCACTCTCAGCATGTTGCAGAAGTCCACTCATGTACAAAAATTTCTCGCCGCAGGTTGGGCAATTGTACATGAATCCGTTTGCCTTGTCGAGGAATCTTCGCCATTGACGACATTCACCTGCGAGCTTATCGATCCCCTCAGAGCCAACACCGGATGGACAACGCCCAACCTCTAAATGTAACACCATAGCAGATTCTCTAGAGCATTTCCGAGGGCATGTAGGGCACTCAATATATTTAGCAGTGTGGATTAGAGTGTGCTGGTGTAGAAGCTGTCAGACATTGGCGGGGGCAAGGGTATGCGGTACGAGATATAAGATGTAAACCAACATATTTCAGATTAGAACGGCTCGAGAAGTACGTTCGACAAATCCAACAAAGATAATGGTCCTAAATTTGGTGATGAATAAGTTCTTTCTAAGTGTCGTATTCTTCTCGGCAGACAGAGCACCAGTAATGAGTAGCCTCAAAATGTTCATTGAGTTCGCTTTGGGTATCAAAATCGTCCCAGTAACATAAAGGACACCAAAAATGATACATTTTGGCCTATGATTTTTCGAGCACTTCCGGGAACAATTGATGTATACCTATTAGGCAGTAAATATGCAAACGAAGTAGATTATATGTAAACTCTCCCTTGTGTTATTACGATGAAATTGAGGGGGCGGGCATTTCAGACTGCAATACATAATGCATCTTTCTCTAAAGCGAGGCGTTGGGTAACAGCAGATACAACTCACAAGGAACTTATTTCCAGATAGAAATTGATGTTAATTCTGGAAACAGATTTATTTAACTGGACCTATACACAGAGGAATGTTAACGGAAAAAGGACCAATGGTGTCTCTTCCAATGTATACCTCACTCTAAAATTGCTCCGTCGTCGGGGTTGTACTAGCTTGACCAGGGATGATACTGAAGTAGCATCAAGTATTGACGGTCCGTGCCTGAAACCTCAGAGTATGCGAAGAGGACGCTCATTTCGCTCCAAAGTATAAGACAATATTTTCCCCTTTCTCTGTTGCTTGTTGCACTCATACCGTATCGGGGCTTGGCTCAATGGGGCCAAGTGTTCGGAGGATGCCGTTCCTTCATCCTTAAGTGCAGTAGAATAGATGTAGGTATAAGCTACGCACCGGGATGCAAGGTTCTCCCTATATATAATGAGAAATTGCCTCATGGATTATGCACCAGGTGGAAATAAAGATATACTTCAATATCAGGACTCATTAATGCGTGACTGCATCCATAGTAGACAGCATGTTGCGCTGCCCCGGCGCCGGTCCGCATTTTAATTCCCGTGCTCCGGATGCTCTCCCTCGATAGGTCCGGGGCCGTAAAGCTTGGAATTATAGCTTGATAGACATAAAATAACAATATTTCGTTCCATCATGACCAGATCAAGATTCATTCTTCATTCAAACGGCTTTTTCTCTGCAGAACGTTTCTAGAGACTTTCTACCTCCAGTCTCGTCTGCATATAAGACACAAAGCATTGGAGATCGACTGAAAAGACAATGGAGAAATCTAAAGAGTAAGATTTACACATGTACTTACATAGTATAGCATGTATAGCTCTCCTATTGTTCACTATTCCCGACTAACCACACAAACCACAGAGATCCCGACGCCAGCCTTTCTCAGGCAAACTCTAAAGTCGACATGAAGCCCAAAGAGAACCCTACTGAAGATGTCGAAAAAGCATCCCATACCACTCCAAAACCTCCTGCTATCGACTATTCCAGTGGTGTTAACTTGATTATCCTCTTTGTGGGCCTCTTTCTTGCTGCCCTTTGCGTCGGCCTCGTGCGTCTCCCCGTCTCAATCCTCGCAATTGCCTCTATTCTTCTCCTGAATTACATAATTTACTTACACCATATCCACAGGATCGCACTATTGTCGCCACTGCTATTCCCAAAATTACCAGCGACTTCAACTCCCTCGACGATGTAGGCTGGTACGGCTCCGCATACCTTCTGACCAATTGCTGCTTCCAACTCTTCTTCGGCAAGCTTTATGCAGAGTTTCCCGTAAAATGGGTCTTTCTCACTGCGCTGCTCATATTTGAGGCTGGGTCGATTGTGTGCGCTACGGCACCGAGCTCGGTCGCTCTGATTGTAGGAAGAGCCGTGGCGGGAATAGGAGGTGCAGGAATTGTTTCTGGAACTCTTATTGTAAGCTCCAGCCGTCGTTCAACGCCCATCGTTACTTTTCGATTCAATAGCTTGCTGACATGTAACAATAAATTTAGATTCTCTCGAGATGTCTGCCATTGCATAAACGTCCGAAATACACGGGCGCCATGGGTGGCTCTGTGGGTATCGCCCAAATCACTTCGCCCACACTTGGTGGCGTCTTCACTGACAAAGTCACTTGGAGTAAGCTATAGCATCATCTCATGGCCTTTGAGCTTCCAACTGACTTCTCATTACTTAGGGTGGTGCTTCTGGATCAACCTTCCACTGGGCGCTGTGACCCTACTCACGATGCTTTTCCTGGTCAAGATTCCCGCTGATCCCAACCGCAAGACGAAGGGCACCATTAAGGGCTTTCTCGATCGATTCGACCTCATCGGCACATTGGTACTTATTCCCTGGGTCATCTGCCTTCTCTTGGCCTTACAATGGGGTGGAAGCCAATATTCTTGGAATTCCTGGAGAATTATCCTCCTTCTTGTCCTCTTCGCCGTTCTCTTCGCCCTGTGGGGTTTCATTCAATATAAGCAGGGTAACAAGGCCACACTTCCACTGCGCATCATGAAGCAGCGATCTATGGCTTCAGGAATGGTATACATGTTCTGCTTGTTCTCAGCCTTTTTTGTCATCAATTATTACGTTCCCATCTGGTTTCAGGCCGTAAAGGGCGTTTCGGCATACAAGTCCGGCATCTACTTTCTCACAATGAGCGCTGGTCTATCTTTGGCTGTTATAGCTTCAGGATTCCTAGTAAGTGGGACAGATGTTGTCTTTCAAGGGGGATCAGGCTGACAGCAGGTAACTAGACAACTCGTATTGGCTATTTTGTCCCCAACATGATCATGTCAACCATACTCTCTTCCGTGGGAGCCGGCCTCATCTACTCCTTCGATCCCCATACAAGCACTGGTCTTTGGTCAGTCATTTTGAACACCCGTCTGACCCTCACTTTATCCTAACTTTCATCGTAGGGTTCCATCTCTTATTATTATGGGTGTTGGCATTGGTATCGGCGCCCAGCAGCCTCTCATGGTCGCCCAAACCGTCTTCAAAGGCCCCGATATTGCTCTATCTACCTCTGCTCTTATTTTCACTCAGACTCTTGCGGGCACAATTTTTCTCTCTGTCGCCGAAAATATCTTCCAGAATCAGCTCATTTCTCAACTACATAAACTGGTCCCCGAAATCGACCCACGCAGCATCATTGAGACCGGCGCCTCCAGCCTTCGACCATTTATCGAAGCCAAGTGTCCCCAATATCTAAGTGCTGTTTTGGCAGCTTATAACAATGCTATTCGTCATGTATTTCTTCTGTCAGTCATATTTGCATGCCTCAACGCCATTCCGGACGCATTTATGGAGTGGGTGAGCCCAGTGAGGAGAGGAAAGCCAGCAGCCAATGCAGATGCAACCAACACGAAGACAGGAGAAAGCATCAAAGAAGTATCTTCTGATAAAAGGCTGTAGTGACTGAATTGAGGCCCTCTAAGAGTTTCGTCGTGCAGAAGCTTTCGTATTTACAAAAGAATTAATGAGGATGGACATGGAAGGATATGAGTCGGATTTTAATTCATATTTACCTGGTACCTACGTACTTTTCAAGATTTATGCTCAAGATTTATGCACTTTTTCAAGAGACACCTAGTCATTTTATATTTTTACCTCTCTATCTATGTCATTGCGTGTTGTCATGACCACAGTTTCCCAAATGCTGCTCTGTTCTTGTTGTCACACTGTTTACATCTGTTTCATCCATTCGACCAACCTTCACTGACATTCCGACTGGCATAATTGTCTTAGTTTAGATGCATTACATAGGCTAAGCATCCCGCTTAACCCTCAAGAACCTTTTCCATCCATATGTCAAAGACACCTCCGGCTGGCGAAGAAGTGATTCGGTTAAGCCTATTGCCTCTCGTATGGCTCAACCATCCCATTGGGTCTCCTATTCCTTCTTCCACTGTGATAAAATCGCCTTCATCTACAAGTTTAGACGCACTGCCAGCTAAAACTGCTTGGCCTTGGCGAGACCTGTTTCGACTGTCGATGATATGCATGCCTTTAGTCCATTGACCGGTTGTTTCGATACGAATATCCTCTGGTGTATCAGGTATTTCCCATGCTGGATCATTTGGCGTCATGGCGTACCAGACCGTACACACATCATATAATGAGAAACCTGCGTCCACGCTATCACCAACCATATCCGCGACACCGTCTATCGCTCCGTTAAGACAATGAGCGATCCACAAAGCAAGCGGACTGCCGGCGTTGATGAAAGGCTTGATACGCTGGTTGAGAACGCTTCTAGAGATAGTGTGCCTGGTGGTGATATCCAGTGGGAGGAGCGTCAGCTTCAAGCGCCGACTAAGTTTAGCTGGATAAGCTGGCAGATTGGCAAAGTTCTTGGATGCTGGTGGCATGGTGGAAGCGGGCATCAGCGATGTAAGTGCATAGAGTCGAGCCGCCGCAACTCTATCAGCGTACGTGTTGAACTCAGCGACTGGTGTTACGTTGCCTGGAACATTTATAGAACCGCCCATAACGACAACTTCTTTCACCCTGAGGAAGGTCTCAGGATCTTCGGCAGCTGCAAGAGCTACATTGGTTAGTGGACCCATGGCCAGGATACTGATGGTATCAGGAGGGTTCTCTTTCAGGGTGCGGAGCATCTCCTTGTAAGCAGGCGCCTTGGATGCCGTAAAAAAGGGCGAATAGGTTGCATCGTCGACCAAGTCATATGTGTGGCCATCAAAAAGGTCACTCGAGGCATCCGAAGGCGCCAGATGAGGATACGTATTATGCACATTGTGCAACCCATCTATACCATATACAGAGTCCATATTAGTCCGTTTGTTTTATTAACTGTGAACTGGACGGTTACTACTCACGGATGTGTTCAGCTTTGGCAATCTTGTCTTGTGGTGGACGATCTGCTCCTAGAGCCACGATTGGCTTATGAGATTTTATAAATTCGAAACCTTCAGATCGTCCTGTTCACTTGTGCCATTCTATCTCCTTTTCAATTACATGGAAGAGAGCGAGGGCGTTGCGGAGGCAGCTATCGAATAGTCAGCGATGTAGGTAGCGGAAGTATGTAGGGGGAGGCGAATACTCGCACCTTCGTACAGAGCTACATTACCATGTACAACAGATACCCACATGACCTTGATCTGCTCGGGGTTGGCGTTAAAAGCCAAAAGCATGGCAATAACATCATCAAAACCTGTAAATTGTTAGTCAAGTGCTTCTTGAACGTACTTCATTCCTCTCGAATTGTCTACCGAGGTCAGTATCAATTATGATCCTGCTCTTTGGAATCATTTTGTTAGACGAAACAAATGGAAGCGCAAAAAAGAGCAATGTAAATATCGTGACGAGAAGGGACAACCGGTTTCGGAAGCTTTCAACTTTAATAATAGCAGATAAAAATCCGATAAGGAGATAATTGGCCCCGAGCGGCTACACAGTGTCCGAGTATCATAACAGGATGCGAGCTAAATCAAGGTTCCTTATATCATGTCTCTGCTACTGCTACTACTTTTAGTAGTTTCTTCTACTATCATCTACTGCTGCTACTGCTGCTACTGCTGCTACTGCTACTGCTGCTACTGCTACTGCTGCTACTGCTACTGCTGCGATTGCTGCTACTATCATCTACTGCTGCTACTATCATCTACTATTGCTGCTTCTCAGAGGATATTGAACTATATAAATCGGTAGGATGGCTCTCTATTCTGGTACACTTTAACAGATGGCCTGAGCATGGACTTTTAGTGGCGACGAGCATACCTTCGGGCGGGGGGGGGGGGGGGATTTCGTAAGAGGTTTGGTAAGAGGTACGCCGGTTGTAATAGTTATTAGCGGTAAGATATGTTATTACCTTTTACGGAAAGAACACAGTGACCGATTGTAATAGATACTGTGAATTTAATAGTGATAGCTGGTTATAGTATAAAATAAAAATAGTTAGATTGAAGAAAATTGTAAGCTGTGGTAATAATTACTATTTAAAATAATTTTATAATAATTATAATTTACAGCGACTTTTACGGACCCGAAAATAGTGACTTATTATGTGTGCTATAGCGTAGCTATAGGCTATTTTAGCTAATTGGATTGGCTGCAGCTGGCTGTAAAAAGTGAAGTTTGCAATTTTTTGTTGTAATGCATTTTAAATTTCGATATATTATAAGGAATTATAAGCTTAAAAAAAATAGTTATTTTGCGGGAGTTGAATAGAGGAAAAAATTAATTAATTTATTTATTTAGACTACTAGGCTATTTGCTATATTATTTGAATTATAGTGCTGTGTTAATAAGTTGCTTATAGGCCTTAGGGTGCTGTAATGTGCTGTATTGCGAGGTACGTATCGGGCCCTGGTCGGTGGTTGTGATAGTAAACGGTTGCTGTGACTAGTGCCCTGTAGTTGCGATTAGTGCCCTGAGGCTGATAAAGTTAGTGGCTATTTTCAGTAGGTAATAGCGACTGAGAATTTCTAATTCTTTCCTAGATAAAAGAGCTGGGAATTCCGTAAGAGTTTTTTATGAAAATAGCTGTAGTATACGTAATAGAAAGAAATACAGTTTTAGAAGTGTATTACTATTTTAATTAGCGTATGACTCTTACAGCCGCCTCTGACGGTTACTAAATCTCTTATTAAAAAACCCCCCCGCCTCGTAGGTATGTAATGCTAGAATATATGACGCATGTATATATGTATATATGAGTCAGTGATAGCCAAGAGAAGGTTTTACCGGCTTAAATTAAAATACTGACGCCCGCTAAAGGCGTCTATAAGGGCAAGTAAAGCAGCTGGATCTATTATGTACTACCCAGGTAGTTATTACCCTCCGGGGGCCCTGCCGGGGGCCTGCCTGCGGCGCTACCTCATTATACCTACAGCACCTTTCCGTAGTATTCTTACACTTGTAACAGACTTTCGTATATAATAAATTATATCTCGTTTTAAAGCTAAGGAGATGCCCTTTTTTAGGTACTGAGTGCATTTGATTTCGGCTGGAGCGTTATATCGCTATTTATAATTGTTAAAGTTAAGAGACTTCGACGTAGTATACGTCTCTTTTTGGGTACGTACTAACGCCACGAAATCAACATCGCGATACACGTTATAGTTGCAAAAGAACACCAAAAACGAAGTCTAGCTACATTACAGGGCGGTGACATAGGGCGAGAAGAGCCAATTGCCAGTCGAGTTGGATTTTGACTCTTTTTAGCGCTGGCATTTTGTTCGATTCAAGAAGCAAAGCAGGAAGGTACACTTCCCTCAGGCTGTCACCTTCGCAAAGCAGCGAAGCTTGACAATACCGTTTCTAGCGGTATCTCCGCACGTTAAACTCCCCTCAGATATTACTTACGCGGCAGCTAGTCTTTGGAACTTCACTTGTTCGGGGGAAGACGTTTCCAAACCAGAGGGTCTCAGCGCACTCTTCACGTTCATTGATACTGAGTCTGGGTCATGATTTCTACTGATCAATGTAGCCATGGAAGCTAAGGCTACCAGCATCATCCAGACTCTTATAGGTGCTTTAGAGGCGGCTAAGACGCGTAACTACAGTGTCATCAGTGATGCTCTTCAGGACATAACCTCTTTCATCAATTCTGCGGGAATACTGCTAGAAAGGATGTACGAGAAGTGTGACCCGATGACCTTCTATCATCGCGTTAGACCGTTCTTGGCTGACAGCAAGAATATGGGAGCCGCCGGCTTGCCTCGAGGTGTTTTCTACGACGAGAGTGACGGTAAAGGCGAATGGCGGCAATTGCAGGGCGGCAGCAATGGGCAGAGCTGCCTCATCCAGCTCTTAGACGTCGTTCTCGGCATCGAACACAACTCCAACTGCGTCACCGACTAGAAGAGCTTACATCATGAGGCTAGAGAATATATGTCGGGATCACATCACTGATTTCTCTTGCACGTAGCCTAAGCATGCAATATCCGCGAGCTGGCAATGTTACCGGAAGGTGAAGTTGTATCAGCGGAGCACCAAAGACTGCGGTCCGCGTACCTGGCTGCCGCTGATCAACTTTGCGAATTCCGATCCACACACATCGAGATTGTGACAAGATATATAATGTTGCCTTCGAAAAAGCCGCTAATGGGGGACTCTAGGCAAAATTTAGCCAACCCAACTTCCTATAGAATGAGGAATGCGGCAAAGGAAACGATAATTGGAACAGGAGGTACTACAGACAAGACATTCAAGGCCAAGAAACTAGATGAGAGTGAATTTCAATAGAACCAGCGACCATGGTACTCAGGCATAAGGCTGTTCAGGCAGACTTTCCTTCCAAAGCCTCCATCCTGAGCATGCGGAGATGAGAATAGACCGTTTAGTTACGACATGAAAGTAAATGGAATTTCTACATTGACAGCTGAATATTCTCGTTGGGAATGTCTGTTACAGCTTCGATGCGATCAACATCTAGTTACCTCCTAGAAAGAGAAAGCGAAGATTGTGAAGCTGGTCGTTTCGCGTTTCATGTAGAATTATTTCGGCTTAGCTTACATGTACTTTCAATCCATCACGTCTACATGTCACCTGCTGCAAGCCGCAAGCCCGTTTGCAAGAATATCCGACCATGCGTATTCCATCTGATTGGATGGGGTGTCTCGTTCCGTTTGCTTTAGCCGGTTTGTGATGGACGAAAAGACCGGGATTTTAAAATATCTGTGTTGACCCAAGACGGGGGTCGTACAGCCCAAGCTAGGTCTTTATATGCTGACTTAGTAGAGCTTTGTCATGGGAACGATGCTCTCCCAGAATTTCGCGATCAATATACATACTTGTCCGTTTCTGCCCAGTTCAAGTTTGTTGCTATGCTCATGCATCAATCCTTGTCTGTTCCCCATCTACATTTGTCACCGCAATGACACTCTTCGACGACAAAGCCTGTGGCGAGACGGTCTACTACGATGGATCGCTTGAATCAGGTGATGGCAGCCGGTCGACGGTTTTGGATGTACTCACTTCATCAGACTTGGAACTTGTGCTTCTGATATCTTTATGTTTGCCCGAGGCACGCATGGACAAGGCCCTTGGCATCGAATGGCACGCTATAGACCGCAAGATAGCTTATTGGAAGCGCCCTGTCAAATGGCATTGAAGAACTTACTGTGGTATTTATTAGGCATGGGTACATGAACATTAGTTGCTTTAGCACAGAGTTCTTAAGCTAGGAGGAATGTGGGCTCAGCCTCAAGCAGTCACTGCTCGTCACTATGTTCGCTTGTTTCACAGGCGATGCTGCATCCGCATACCGTGCGACGTTCGGCGCTGCAATGGGCCTCCACCAGAGTTCTGTCTCGCCTTTTGGCTTTGGCTGGTATCCCAATAAACTTTTGCCTTACTCAACGGTATCGAATACATGTAACTCGGGAGGCCCATGTCTCTCCAGCGGCCTCGCTTCAGCCGCTGTGGCTGATACCCATATCTCTTTGGTTATTGGCATTGTCATCATCGATACTATATCGCTAGCCATCGGTCTCATTAGTTTCGGATATATGCTGGTATATTGAAGTCACGACTGGACACTCAAGTTGATCATTTACATGATCCTCTTTGGCATGGTTGGCCCCTACGCAGACGATACAACCTCCTCTTCGATCAAAAGAACTGATCTTTCGGGCAGTATGCTATCTCTTTTGGTAATTATATATGGCAGCTCATTTTCCTGGTGTACCATTGTTTCCAATTCCTACTTCCACTATCCCGCCGACGTTTCACGCCTTCAAGCTTTTGTCCTCACTATCCTCAGCATCGCCGTGCCGACCTCCATTGGTACATGTATGTCTGCTGGTGTTATTGTTGCCAGCGCCTTCAACACTCAAATTTAATGGAAGGCAGCCTACAGGAATCCTCGTGAGGGCCTCGGGTTTCTCATCCGAGATATGCTGCATCCACGCGTCTTCGCTAAAATCTTACTCGTACTCTTCTCTTACACGTATATAAACACCAATTTTATGACCCTCTACTCAGGTGCGATCTCATTTCAGCAGATGGCTCATCCGCTAGCGAAGATTCCTCGTTTCATCCGGAAGATGTTTTGGTTCGCAATCGTTCCTGCTTTAGCAGTCGCTGGTTGACAGAGGTTGAACACCCATCTACAAAATTTCTTGAGTCTTTTAGGTTACTGGTGCACCAACTATTTTGTTATTCTGATGCTGGAACATATTCTGTTACGAAAACATGAGTTCGCTATGATTGACTGGTTAGAATGGCCCCAGCCGCCTTCCTCTAGGCCTAGCAGCCTCGGTGGCATCTCTTCTGGGTGTTGTTATTTGGTGTATGGGTATAATCGAAAACTGATTGGTGCCACTATTCTGCCTGTTGCGATTCAAATAAGTAAAAGCCCATATAAACTACACCTCAGAGGCGCAATCAATGCCGTTGGAGGCTTTATCTAACTCGGCTGAGGATTTTGACAAAGACACTTCTTT